TCGCTTGCTTCGCTCATCCAAAAAGCCAGCCGCGGCGCTTTGTGGTGTGGTTTTGCTCCGTGCCCCCATGCGGGAAGGCGGAAAAATTCTGGCGGCGGCTTCGCTAGCTGGTAGAAAGCCAGGCAGCCGCAAAGCTTTCTGGTGCCCCATGCGGAAAAACGCCAAAGCATGGGCGTCGGCTTCGCTTGCTTCCAAAAAGCCACGCGCGAAGCTTTTTGGCGTGGCTTTGCTCCGTGCCCCCATGCGGGAAAGCGGCAAAAACCTGGCGCCGGCTTCATTCGCTAGCTGCTAGAAGGCCAGCGGCAAAGCTTTCCGGCGCGGCTTTGATTGCTCCGTGTCCCCATGCGGGAAAGCGTGAAAAAATGGGCGCCGGGTTCGCTTGCTTTCAAAAAGACAGGCGCGAGGCTTTTCGGCGTGGTTTTGCTCCGTGCGCACATGCGGGAAAGCGGCAAAAACCCGGCGCCGGCTTCGCTAGCTGCTTGAATGAAAGCCAGCGGCAAAGCTTTCTGGCGCGGTTTTGTTTCGTGCCCCCATGCGGAAAAGCGTGGTAAAATGAGCGCCGGCTTCGCTTGCTTCCGTCCGAAAAGCCGGCCGCGCAGCTTTTTGGCGTGGTTTTGCTCCCTTCGTGTCCCCATGCCAATCCCCGCGAGAAACCGGGCGCCGCCTTGCTGCGCCCATTGTTTTGCGTTTTGTCGTCGCCTTTGCATTTGGTGATCAGCTGCTTCGATTTGTGTGGGTCTGGATGCGTCCTGCTTTAATTTGTGGCGGCTCATGCAAAACATGCATGACAAACAAAATTGGGCTCATGCAAAATATGCGTGACAAAGTGGATCATGCAAAATATGCATAAAAAAGTGGACCACGCACAATATGCGTGACAAAGTAGCCTGCATCATAGTGGATCAGGCCAAATATGCATGACAGACCTGGGCTCGTCCAGACCCAGACCTATCGGCCAAGGATATCGCATCGGCTGGAGTCGGGTAGAGTCGGGTCGAGTCGGGTAAGGTCACTTTGCCTTTCCCGAGCTATTTACCCGACTTTACCCGACTCAAAACCTACCCTGGACCCGACTTTTACCCGACTCTTCACCCGACTCCACAGCTCGTGTTTGTTTTTTTCCCCGAGCTGTATCGGTCGGTTGAGGAGTCGGGTTGAGTCGGTTCCTGGGTCGGTTCCTGGGTAGGCTGTACCCCCCCCCTTCTTAAATCCACTGTCCCCTCGTGTTACCTACCCCGGAACCTACCCTGGAACCTACCCTGGAACCAGGGTAGGAATGCCAATTTTGGCTAGTTGCTGCAGTTTCAATAGTAATTGTTATATTTTTCTCTTGGAAAAAGGGAAAAGAATTGCAACGCAAAAAAAGAGAAGAAAAAATTGATTTTAATACTGGAGAACGGTAGTACTATTTTTTTCGTTGCATAACCGGCGAAATTCAAGCAATGGGTTGAGGACGTTTACAAGTACACGATCGCGGGCTTCAAGCCCTTCGACCCGCGTGTAAATACAAAACTGAACTACTGGTGGGTGGATACGGCCGTGCAGAACGACAACGGAGCCTTGTGCCGCTTGTGGTCGGTTGGAGGGACCACCTCTGGCAGCGCGCCGAACCAAAACCAGGTTTTTTGGTGCAGCGACCCGGCGGAAACGGACCTCAGTGCAGCGACGTTCGAAAACGAGAAAAAGTTAATCGATCACGTCAAGACGTCGTGCGAGTAATTTTTATGTTCAGACTCTTTTCGATCTAGACTCAAAGATGAAGATAAGTAGCTTGAAAGTCAAAACCTCGTATTGAATTGACATTGCGGCGCACCCAAACTATGACTTGTTGTTCAATGCATGTGCATCAGTGCTCTCAATATGACAATATCATGATAAAAGATCCGATCATCAAAATGAAAATGATATACTACCGCAACTACACACGACCACAGACCCTCGAACCACGGTTGGAAGCAATGGACGATTCTGGTGCTTCACAACGACGAAAGCATCAAGGGCGGCCGGGCCGCGCCCGACCGAGCCTTCTATCAAATGTAAAAATGTCTGGGTCTGGAAGAATGCAACTTGTGATGCTGTATTTAGATTCCAAAAAAATCTGTATTGCATGAGAAGCAAACGGAATGCAAATTTTGCTAAGCTGAGGAGGTATTTGAATTTGTCATGCGGAATAGGCATCACGAATCCCTCAGAAAATCTGTATTGCTGGGGTATGCATCACAGACGTCATCGCTCATGCAAAACGTGCATGACAAGTGTCAGAATCTTCCAGACCCAGACATTTTTACAGTTGATACCTTCGCCGTCGTGCCCATTTCCGCCGATGCGAAGGAGGTGGTGAGCCACGAGCTGGCGCACGCCTGGTACGCGCTATGGATGTGTCCGGATCGAAATCGACAAAATCGAAAAATTTTTGATGCATAAAATGTAGGGCACTGGAGGCCTGTATTGGGGAGCAGGGAAATGAGACCGATTGTAAGCCTGTTTAGGGGTATGCAATACGATGCCAGAGTAGCACGACAGGAGCAGTATTCTTTGCCCAAACAGCATGACAGACTGGATTTGGGTGCTCCCGAAATTTGTCATGCGCCGCTTGCAAACTGAGGCTCCAACTGGTATTGATTTTATGCATCACAAGTTTTTCGATTTTGTCAATTTCGATTCTGACACTTCCATACGCGCTAGGGGACGAGTACATTACCGCTTTGAACCCGGGCGGCGACAGTGTGGACGCGAAAAATTTTGGGAACTGCGACAACGTCGGCTGCCCCAAGTGGCAGGACTTGATTAAGGCGGAACTAGCACAGTGCGTCGGGAGGGGGTGGGTCGACCCGACCAAGGATGAAGAGGACGCAGAACCCTTGCCGGTCGGCTACTGCGCTGGGGGCTTATACTACGCCGCGCAAGAATCTTCCCTGATGAAGAGCTACAAGGCGGTACAGAACACGGTGGAACAGCTTACCCAAGGCTTCCAGTACCCGGACTTTGGCATTCAGAACGAACGGATCACCTGCTGCAAGTGGGACGCAGTGTTCGATGACTACGAACCGGAGTACTGTAAAAAATTCACAGACGGGCCCAAGGATCTACACCTGTCGGTCTACTGCAAAAAGCATCTCTGGGTGGCTCCCTGCGACCAAGCGTTAAAGGCACTGGGAATCGAGCCGAAGTTTGTGGAAAAAAGCAGTGCATCAGCTTCTAGTAGTGCTAGTAGTAGCTCAAGCTCCTTCCTTGAAAAGCACACGCGGCACTTCACGTGGTTTACAAATATGCAGCAGCAAACTTCTTCTAAAAAAGCCTCCGGCTCCGATGGCGAAAAGGAAAATCTCGCCAATCTTCCGTTTCTGGAAAACATGCAGCGAGAACTCGCTTTGTGGCGGCAGCCGCCGGAGGAGGATCTGGTGGATGGTTGTTATTTGGAATTCTTGAAGCAGAAACTGGCAAAAATGGCAGCGAAAGACCCGGAGAACAAAGAAGTGCTGCAAATGGTTGAAGAAGACAAGGAAATGCTGCGGGAGCTGCACGAACACTACCACGGTGCTATGTCAGATGAAAACACAAACACCATCGCCGAGAAGTGCGACCTTGTGTCTCCCGATGGCGCTGTCGATTACGATACCCAGGGCGCGCGCGTCGCGCACGCAACGAAGAGTGTGTTTCCGACAGGAAAGGCGGCGATGTGGGTGTTGCGCTACGTTGGAGCTGGTGCTGGAAATCCTGCACACGATAATTTAGGTCGTACACGAGTTGAGAACGAAGACGAGGATACATCGTCCGGAGGGGCAAAGAGTGCGTGGGTGTGTGAGAAACTTGAAGGTCATCCCGTTATCGAAATCGGCGGGGCTAGCACTGCTGCTGGTGTTCTTTCTACTTCCAAAACTTCTAGAACCTTTCCGCGGGCCGAGATTTACGGGGACGTAACGCCGCTGGGCATGTTCTATTTGAAGTACCAGATCGAGAGCCACCTGATAGAAAACGCGGAAGAACTACAAAACCAGATCTTCGGACACCCAGAAACCGGCGTGGTTAAGCCCGGCTACGAGAGGGTGACCGTGAACATCAAGAAAGAAGTTCAACTTGGCGCAAGAACCACTTCTAGCAGCACCAACAGCGCAACATGGACGAAACTCCGTTTTTGGCAATTTGAAACCGAACTTTTGGAGGGGGAAGCACAAGCAGCTGACTTCAAATCAGACGCCGAGAATGAACAAGCTGTTGAAGAAACAAAAACTCAAGAAATAACCAACACGGCGGCGCACGTGCTGTATGTGAGTAAAAAGTCGCAGATTCCGCTGTTCTCCTTCGCGGGAAGTGACTCCTCGCGCATGCTCGCGTTTAAACGGGAAATTCGCTTTCTGCTGGACAGTGCAGAAACCTGCGACTCTGTGCAGCACGCGCACTCGCTCCGCGCGTTCGGGGAACATCAAGTGGTGACTCGTCCGCGGGGAGACGGCGACGCGCCGGCGCAAGAAAAGTCCGCGTCTTTTGCGGAGGTGGTAGACGAGGGGGAGGAGCGGGCCAGGGAAGAAGGTTTTGCTTCGACCGGTGAAGGTCAAGATTTACTTCCTACGGAGGATGTTGATGATGTCGGGCCACCGGTGGCGGCGTCGCAATATCTCGCACTTTGAGGGGCGGAGTCCAGTACAGGCGTGATCCTTCTGCTAGCTGCTTGGCGTTCACGACATCTTCATGCGTAAGTACTTACTTGCGGACTCATCTCAACTGCCCGCCTACTCTATCTCTCTTTTTTTTTTTACATTTTCGATGTTTTCCCCTTCAGAAAGCAGCCAGTGACCCCCGGCACAGTATTGTCATTCTGATATATCTTCTCGGCCACGATCGCGACAAAGAATGTTGCAAAGAGAAGACATCAGTCGTGGACACTCCCCCATTCCGAATTGTGTTTAAGGCGAAGACCGACGATGAACAGGCCTGAGGCTGAGTGATGCACTATCTAAGCAGAAGAGCTCTTGTTTCTCGACGGCGAAGTTCTACTGCAAAATATCTCGCGTTCTGTTCGTGGTTGGCGATGAATCTACTTGAAGCACAAGCAGCAGTGCAAGTCTACTCTATAAGTCAGCGACCGACCGCATCAACATGAACATCGTCGATCAAAGTTGAGAAAAGATCGAGTTCGAGCTGCACATCCATTTACTTAATTATGTCATGGTTTTTAGACAACTCCATGAGTCCCAAGAGTAGGATCCGAAAAGTAAATTTTTCACAACGACGAGAAACTTTGAGGATCTGTGTTTGTATTGATGGTTCTCCGCAGTTTGGCCTGGTATATCTCACCACCGGCAGAAACACTTTTTCTTCAAGCACAACTTGTTAGTAACACATGCACAGCGAGGTGTAGTAACAAGTAGAAAACATTGAGATGTATCACAAGCACGTAGCTATGTCACTCCACAACCCACTAACATCTTTTAAAACTTTTGCAGCAATTGCGCCCTCGCCCCTAACCCTATACAACAAAATCGGCTTCGAATAGTACGCTCCACGTTTTCGAACGCAGCTACTAGCACAACATCAAAGCGACCTAAGTTTTTCTTCACCTTTCGGAAAATCTAAATCGTCGCGAGCCCTAAAAGAAGATGTTCTTCCAACTGCAGATGAAGTCCTCGCGACTCTCGAAGGCCGCAGCCGGGGTGCTTCTGTTTGGCTGCTCGACGTCGACGCAGACTCTTATTACAGCGCAGCTTCCCACCCTCTTTGTCGCGGCGAAAGAAAAGAAACAAGGAGCGGCGAAAAAAGCAGCTTCGACATCAACAAATGAAGATGGGATTAACAAATCAAAAAAGACAGCCACGAACACTGGAGGTAGTAAGAAAGCTGCTGCGATAAAAAATGATGAGCACACGACGACCAAAGTGCAAGAAGGTTCATCTCCGGATCTTGAGCAGGAAGAGCCTGAGCCGACCCCGTTTATTACACCAACACTTTTCTTTCTTCTGCTGACCACCTCCGTCGCGAGCGTGGCTGGTGCGTACGCGGTCGGGCTCGTGGGGTCAGGCTCGAAGATCCGGGGCGGGAAAAGTAGCAAAGGCTTACAAGTCACGATTCTGGGGCAGAACAATGCGGGAAAAACGGCGCTGCTCTTTGCCCTCCGGGACGACGAAAAGCAAATGAAGCTGGTGAGCAGTTATGCATTGCAAATATGTCCGGGTCTGGAAGGACGCGAACTTGTCATGCTAAGTCTGGATCGTGCAAAAATTTGTGTTGCATGGTTACCAAAAGGTGTCCACTTTTGAACAAGTTTAGATAGAGGCAGTTTGTCATGCAGGATAGACCTGATAGAGACTTCGCAGAACCTGTCATGCTAGGTCCTTCATTGCAGACCTCATGGGGCATGGAAAATATGCATGACAAGTTTGCACTCTTCCAGACCCAGACATATTTGCAGTGGGTAGCAGTCTGAAAATCACCAGTGCGAGCTTCGAGCTCGAACACCGGCAAGGAGGAGCCTATGAACTGCAAAAGTATCGTACTCGTATGAATGCAATGCAAATTTTCTCAGCATGAGAAATGAAATTTGCCATGCTAATTTACCTTAAGAAAAATATTTGTAATGCAAGACTTGCATTTATACGAATGCGATACTTTTGCACAGGATAGAGCCACAAGTGAGACCACCACGACCGCGGGAATAGATAAAACGAGCCCAACGAACAGTCGCAAACCAGAACAAACACAAACAGCACGCGCAGAGGACAAAGATGAAATCACAACCTCCTACACGAAGCCAACTTTTCCGATCTCGCTGACCGAGTGTCCGGGCCACCCGCGGATGCGCACGGCCGTCCGCCAGGAGCTGTTGAATCGGAGTCAGCCTCTGCACTGCGTCCTGTTTGTCATCGACGGGACGGATATGAGAGTGCACAACTACTCCCCGGCCCCCTCATTTGTATGGCATGAACAAGCTGCAATACAAACGCCAGCACTCCTGGAGACTTTGCATGACAAGCTCACCTGCCGAAAGTAGTACTGTTTGGTCTTCCGTAATTTGTCATGCAAACAGTGCCAGAGGGCAGCAAATCGATTTGCGGTAAGCGAGAAGTAAGGAAAAGATAATCATAATATTAGTGCCCGGGAATGAAGATATACTCGCGATACTTTTCGCGGTTCTGACCCTAGATCTCCTGCGGCCGTAGCTGCTTGCAGCGACGGTGCAAAGGTTTTCGATGTGGTGCAGTCGGGTATGCGTGACAAATGAGGGGGAGCGGGAGTTGTGCACTCTCATGACGGACAAGGTGGAGTTGAAGAACGCCGCGGAATTTTTGTACGACCTGTTCACGGACAAGGAGCTGATCACCCAGGTCTTCAGCACTGCGAAACTGCTGCTCGTCGTGAACAAGATGGACAAGATGACGCGGCCGGAACGAATGGTGCTCGAGGAACTCGAGCGGGAGATCGAGCGGATGCGACAGTCGCGCGCGTGCGCGTTAGAGAACCAAGACGCCGCGGACCAGTACTTGGGCGTCGAGGGGGAAAAGTTCAAATTGAAGGACCACGCGCCGATGGGATCCACCGCGACCTGCTGTGTCTCGATTTTGAACGACAAAAACATGCAACTGGTTCGGGATTTTCTCGCGCAAGCAGCGGCGGAAAAAGGGTTTCTGTACTGAGAATTATAATTGTCATTGAAGATTGGTCTTGCTAGTGTTCGTGGTCAGCATCACGACCACGCGCACAGAAAAATATTAACCCCGATTTCATTTCGCAGTGCAAAAATTTCAAACCAGAGAAATGATTGCAAGAAGTAGCAAGCTTCTTGTGCAGCTGCTCGTCCGTCCTCCCCGACGAGGAGCCAAAACGACCCAAGAAACTACAAAACGGCCATCCTTAGTATCTCGACTTCTATGTTGTGTGACTGTGGTCTCGCCTGATTTAATTGATCTTGAAAATGAGAACAGCGCAAGCTTGCTGAGCAAAGAGCATGATGGAGAACACTATTGCTATTGCACTACTTCTCTGAGCACCAGCATTAATATGCCGCCTACCTGTTCTACATTGTGTCTTGAGACGGTCTTAGTATTGATGCTTTGTTCCCGTTCATCACTACCTAGGTCGCAATTTCATGTCGCCCGGAGGTCACACCCGCACAGGATCATGCGCTCAACAGTTCTTCTTTGTTTTTTCGGTTTCCATCTTCGATTTTCGTGTTAGAAAAAGAAAAATTGCGTTTGCAGTACCTTTCCACGCCTTCCCAAAGTAGATCTTGGCAATAAACGCAAAAGCTTTGACCTGGTTCATCATCATCTGTGAATCAAACCGCACTTGCGAGCTTGGTCCGTTTCTTCGTCCGAAAATTATGCAGCATCTTGACTGGCATGATGTTGACGACGGCAATGCCAATGCCACGACGGGGAGGTGCTGGGGTGCCGCATCCTCTTCAACTTCGCGCACAAGGTCACCTTTTGACGACACAGTACAGGAGAAGATCTGCCCCCGCCACGACCCGCTCGAAGACAGTGGCGCAGGGCGAAATTACCATGAAGGAGCCCCGAGGTGGACTCTTTTTCTCGCCGACGCAACGCGCCGATGCGAGCAAGCCAGTGCTTGTTCCAGCAGCACTGACATTTGTAGAATTTTTGCGAGGAAGGGGAAGCGAAGGTGCGCCGGTGGCGGTGAAGCTCCTGTCTGTTCTAAGCAAAACAAACGCTCGGGAGGCCACAAGAACGGGCGGGGCTATAGGCGTGCGAAGGCTTGGATTTTCCGCGATCGAGACAGCGCAGGACATTGCCGGAACAGGCCGGAAAACTACAAGCAACAGAATGACTGCTAGTTGTGCAGCAGGAAGAGTGTCAGCCTCTTGCTTTTCGTCCGCCGCACACAACACGACCCGACAGTCGACATATCACCAACACCCCCCTCCGCGAGGGGTTTTGGTGAAGCAGCGAAATCTTGTGCCTTTGAAAGAAATGGACATTCCCGCGCTGTTCGACGCTTTGGCGCACGTCGAAAATCTGTCCGAGACCGCGTTTACGAAGTTCCAACTGCGGGCGGCTACCTTGTTACCACACTTCTCCGCTGTGGAACTCGCCAAGCTGCTTTTTCTCTTTGCGGCGAAGGGACCTGACGTTGTTGTGCCGCAGGCTAGGACAAGAACCCTGCTGCCGCCGGCGAGACGAGAAAGTGACGGCGGGCAGGAGCCAGAAACAAATTCAAATTTTCGAGATGAAAACCCGATGTGCAGTAACTCTCTCACTTCTCATATGTTGGACAATGATCCAGATGAATGCGCTCGTAAGCTATTCTCATCTGGAGCTCCACATGCACAACTAGGGCCAAAGACAGGACGCCGGCCGCGACAAGCGCCACCAATTAAACAAATGACGCCCAGCAGCACCAGCAGCTTCTTTACTGAAGAGCTGTCTCTCTTTTTCCAAGACAAGTCGAAGTTTCCGAGGGTGAACGACGCCGTGGTTCTGTTGAAAGGAGTTACCAGGTTTCTAGTGCACAGTTCTAGCCTGAACGGGAACGACCGGATAAATATGAATGGTACAACATCGACGGCGACACACGAGCACGACAGAAGTACCCGCACGCCACCAAGAAATATTGACCTGCAGCCGCTGTTCGATCAGATTGGGAACCAGTTGGAGCACGTGACCGCGCACGACGCTTGCGAAATTTTGTCCAGTTGCTGCCAGCTGGTCGGTAGTTCTTTGGGATCGGCGTCCTCGTCGTCTTCAACACAGGAAAACGTACTACAAATCGACGAGCTTTTGATTCGCGCTATTGTGGAGCACGTTGTGCTCTTGCAACAAGAACACAAGACGCCCTTGTCTCCATCATGCCCTGACTTGGTGAACCGATTGGCAACTGCAGTTTTGGCCTTGGGTCGAAGTCCGACGCGCAGCTGTACGAATACAACTGAAGAAGTACTAGAACCTCATCTCTCGAAAGATAAGATGCTGCTGCCGTCGCATTTGCTGCAAAACTTTTTCCGAGTGATTGTGCTGGAAATAGGAGCTGCAAGCGGCCGCGACGCTCGCGGTTCTTTACGAAGTGGCCGTGCTGGAAGAGCTGCGGGGTACGGGCACTACATGGCCCCTTCCGTCTGTTGTGATCGTCTCGCCCTACTGGCAGCCTATGTGGCGCATTTAGGTCGTCGACGAAAAAGTCTTGTTCAACTACATGGGAACAGACAGGTGGATGAAGATGACCATGACCTCGACAACCTAAAAAAAGCAGAAGAGGTTCATCAATTTCTACCAGAATTTTTCCAACAGATCGAGCAGCACCAATTACCCGCTCTTTCCTACCACTTGGGCGCCTCTGCGGTTCATCTGGACGCCGAGAACATGGTATGCGCGTTTGAGGATTTGGTAGCGCTAATTTCGTTCTTGAAAGAGAACTACTCTATGTGGGACCGATGTGAAGCTGAAGCTGAAGGCTCATGTTCTGAAGATTCCTCGTCAACATCTGACAGACTCGGCAATGGCTGCGCGTCTTCTGTGCGAAAGACAGTTTCACTGCAACCAGCACCTGAAGATCTTTATGCCGCTCCTGCTCTTCAACTTCATCGTCATCCTGGAGACGATGATAAACGCGTCACATCTGTTTCATCGCCACCGTTGCACGCAGAACAGGATGGAATCTTGGAACTAGGACTTGTGCAGGACGACAGGAAAGAAGAAAAACCCAGCTGCGTCAGGAATGAATTGGGAGAAACATTGCCACCACCGGCAGAAGGAGCTTATGTTGCACAGGTGGAGTTGGAAAGCGAAACCCGTTGTAGCTCCACTACTCGTTTCCATCATCTTTTCGGTGTCTGCAACAAGAACCTGCTTCCGTTCTTTTCCGCAGCAATGCGCCGCGTGCTGCAGACCATGGAAGACGACTTGGCTCGGAGGCTTTACGATGCGGTAAGCAACTGGAGAGAAATGGAGACACTGACAACTACATCAGGAGCGGTAGAAGTTCCGAAGATTTATTCCAGCGGGGGAAATCGAAGTGACACAAGCAACTCGAGAAGAGCTGGCCCTGGCCGCAACTCAGATTGTGGGGCCGCGGCCAGTGTGGCCAACTACTACATAGAAGATATCAAAAGAGGCGCGCCGGCGCGAGTGATGAATTTACGCGACCGGCTCCTAGCTGCTTTGGATGAAGAATTGGAACAGCGAAAGAACGCGATCGCGTCGAGCACGAGAAGGAGCACCCAGTACGAAATTTAGCTGCATAAGAGAAGAACAAGAATCACCTAATCGAAGAAATATCCATCGTACCATCGGAAATGAAAATCTTTTCGTATATCGATGGCTTTTCCACATGGCGCGCAAGCATCAACGGACTCTCCCTTTTTTTCCGATTATGTCGGTTGAAATTCAATCCCTTGTTTTTCCATTTATATTATTCAGCTCAGTGTGGAGATTGGCTCGGTCGATTTATTGTACTTTTTCTGCAACACAAAGAGATTCGGTTTTGACTTTTTTCATGTTCTGTCCTTCGTTTTCGTGCGAAATAAAGCAAGTAGAATTATGGCAACATCGTGCGACGCAACCAACACACAAAGCTTTTATCGTAGATGGTTTTATTTTTTCGTAGAGCAGGTTTCAAGACCGCACACGTACCATGCACCACGTACAACAGGAAGAATATCAGAAGTACGCGCTTCCTCAACATCGTGCCCGTAACAACAAAAAAAACTCTGCGGTCGGTTTTCTTTTTACTTTTTCGGTGTTGGTTACTACATTCAGCACGACAAAAATCGTTTTATTTTACCGAAGAATTGCCGCTGCCGGCTTCGTAGATGTGGCTGATTTCGAAACTGCACTCAAAATTTTCATTCGGATTACTCGAGTCATCAACATCATTGCGAATCTTGAACTACCACCCCAGGTCCCTCATTTTCCGTGGCTACCCATCCTATTTCACTAGAAGGAGCATACATCTCTACTTCTATCATTTTTCTCCCGCGTCTGCGACGCGCGCGTTGATAAGTATCGCTCCTCAACAAGAATATGCATTTTTAACTTTAAGTAGTAGCACTCACTATAATATTTTTACTGCGCACACATACCAAAGTACTTCTCTCGACACATATATCATTTTCCAGCTTGGTCCGTCCTAGCAATCGAGATTGGTTTTCATCATCTCTTGCTAAGTGCGGAAAGCTACTTACAGATTTCCACGTGTCACGGGGAGTAGTGAAAAATATCCACTTACTTATTTTCTGATGTTGAAGGTAATAGTGAAAAAGTGCAGTGAGTTTCCATTTACAAATTTGTTCTGAATTTTTTGTGGAGCAACTATCTTCTTGCTTGAGACGTTATCTTTCTTTCAGATTAGGGGCGATTAGACCGGAGTGAAAAATCGTTGAAAAAAGAGTGGTGGATGTGGAGTTGGGAAAGATATTATATCGTGAGTAAAAAAGTAGGAGCGCTGCAAAAGAAGCACGACACGTAGGTCACGACTCGTCTAAGTACTCAGAGCGGAAAGTAAGCCGTACTAGGTCATTTCGATGAGAAGAGCCAGCACGTGCGAGCGAAACAATAACAAACGAGAGGTAGGAAGAAAGTTGGTTAATAAAAGCAAAGCTTTGAAAACTGACGGCGCTTCTCCTATCATCTGCCCTCGCGACCGACGCTCGGAAATCATCATGGTGCTGAAAAACAATTCAAAGAAAAACCACTAGTAGGAGTTACTTCTCTGCTTCGCTCGATCAAGTGCCATAAAATACAATTAAATAACATCGCGAAAAAGTAGAAATATAATTTGTGGCCTTCGCAACCCCGGGTCCGGTCCGGGCGCACCCACCTCCTGCAAACATCATCTCTCTGGTACATTACAAGAACGCAGCACGACTGTGGAGGAGTTGAAGGCACAGCACCCACACCGGTTTAGTTTTTGAACAGAAGGCATTTTGGTAAAATGACGGCGAAAAAGAACTGGGCCGACTACACCAGTGACGAAGACAGCGACGAGGATGGATTCTTGTACTTCTATTTTCGACATGTTAACGAATACTTTATTTCTTCCGATGCTGCTTTTGCACTACAAACTGCATGACAAGTTGTAAAGCGCAGTAAGCCACGGCCACGCTGCGTGAGAATGAGAAATAAAACGTGAAGAAGGGATAAAGTGTCAGAACAATGAATGAAAAGAACAAAGGATTATTGATTGAATCTCCATCCAAAAAGGAGAAAAAGCTCGAACGGATATAAAAAAAATCAAAACAGCGTCCGTCGCGATCCTGGTGAGAACAACAAAAAGGGACCCGGAGCACCAGGAGGGGCAACAAATAAGTCCGGAATTACGTCAACATCTAGAATTGCAGCTGGAGGAGCTGTTGCAGGAACAGCACCCGCCCAGATCAACCTGAACAAGCCCACGCCCGGGCTTTCCCAGCTGCAGATCCGCGACAATGCGGACAGCTACTCCTACAAGAAGCGCACCGATCTGGACGCGGCCGACCTGGAGCTGGAGCGGTCGCTAAACAACGCAGCGTTGAATTTTCGGGGCGTGGAAGAGCGGTTTCAGAATGACGAGCAGCTGGAGAGCGATCGCCTGGCGGGCAGCAAGAGCAGCTCGCGGAGCAGCTTCGGACAAGCTGCGGGGAACAAGAAGGTTATAGGTGGTATGAAATGTAAAAATGTCTGGGTCTGGAAGGTTGGAACTTGTGATGCTGTTTTTGGACTCTAAAAAAATCTGTATTGCATGACCACCAAGAGCGGGACAATTTGCACGACGCGGACAGGGCATTTCTCATGCGGAACGTGCATCAGGAAGCCCTCTAAAAGTCTGCGATGCTAGGTCATGCATTACAGACATCATGGGTCATGAGAAATATGCATGACAAATCTTGCACTCTTCCAGACGCAGACATTTTTGCATTTGATAGGTGGGACTGGTCAACAACAACCTGCATCGGGCGTCGCCTCGGCGACGAGCTCAAGCAGTAGCAGCAGCTCCACCACGGTTGTAGCAAATAGTAAAGCAAATACTGCGGCCGGTGGAACTACTGGTACAGCAGCTGTTCCTCCAAAACAGCCGAAGCGGCTGGCCACACAGCCGGAAAGCGAGTCGGCGTCGGCGTCCAAGATGCGGATCACCTCCGGTGTCGACGAATCGGACATCGACAAAGTCGCGAAAATGGTGAGTAAACCCAGTCCGGGCGGCGGCGGCGCGAAAAGCAGCACCTGGAACGGAGGTAGTAGTACTGCAGCTCCTACTGCTGGATCCGCACAGAAGACCACGACGACCAAAGACAACAATAAGCCGTCCACAGGGGGCAAGCGCTGGGCCGATATGCGCAGCGACGATGAAGAAGACGAAATGGACCAAAAAGATCTGAAGAACAGTAACAACACACGACAAAGCAACAAAAAAAATACCTCGACTTCGAATGCATCGAAGCCCCCACCAGCTGCAGCACCGACCGCTCCACCACCGACGACGAAGAAATGGGGGAAAGTCGATGATGAGGACAACGACGAGGATAAAAATAGCGACGCGTGGTCAAAGCGAAAGAACGCCCCTTCGCTGATGGAGATCATCAGTAAGGAACAAGAAATGACCGCCGGCGCAAATACAGTTTCACAGCAAAACAGGACCACCAGGACAGCTAGTGTCGCGGATGGTGGCGCGAAAAAGGCCACGACGAAAATCGTGCTCGGACACTCCAGCTACAGCAGCACGAAAAGAACGGAGCGTGGTACTGTTTTTTTTTGGATGAAAATTATCTTTCATTTTTTTTTCTTCAAAGACCTGTAATTGTGAAAATCAAAATGAAAATGTATGGAGACAATCAATCAAATTGAATTTTTTTCCAAAAAACACGACAGAACGCGGCCCGCGAAAAAGTGCCGAGGTGTCCGAGGACATAACGCCCGGTGGAGCAAAGGGTGCGGGAAAGAGCAGGGGCGACTCGCCGCATGTAGACCACAAGGGCTCCAAGAAAGGAACGAAGGGCTCATCGGATCATAAAGGTAATTTTGAGATGAGATTCTTCTTTATTTATGATGCGATGGAGATGGACCACCACGGTGGTGGTCCATCATAATACCACCTTTTGGGCAGATTACGCTTAGGTTTATTTGAAGATAGAACGCATCAATTACATTTTTTGTGTGTACGCTGTAAAAGCGTTGTGCTTGTGCAGATTCATTTCTACTTCCACTCTCAGGCGGCAAGAAAGGCGTGTCCAAGGGCGGGAAAGCCGCGGACTCAGGGGATCCGATACAGGAAGACGACGACAAGATGAGCGTGGACGAAGCAGCTGCTCCGTCGCCGAAGAAAATTTTTGAGGAGCGACCCGCGCCCGCGAACTGGGCAGCGGCCTTCGGCAAGACGCTGACGGAGGAGGACAAGGAAAAGTCGCAGGTCGTGCAGAAAAAAGTCCCGTCGGTCAGCGAAACCGTGGCGAATAGCACGTTAAACGCAAGCGCGCCGGCGTTCATACCAGGTAAAACTCGAAAGTGAAAGAACAGGTGGTTGCTGGTCTTTTTTTGTGCATGAAGATAACGGACTGCTTGTTCCCGGCGTTCCCCATGATGTTTACATTCTTCATCCTACTGGCGTACGTTGTCGAGTTCGAGAACATGAAGGAAGACGTTGACGTGAAGTAGGCTTCATTAGCATTACGAGAACGACGACGACCGATTTTTTAGTTATTTGTTTGTTGTACAATCAACAATCCAACATGCACAAGTCAAATATAGTGTCAGCACGAAAAGAAATTCATTATAAAAATCAGGTGGTTTTCCGGGCGGCACGCAGGTGACCTGCTTCCAAACGGTACCCGCCGGACAGGGCATCAAGCGCACCCGCGACTGCCTCACGCCGGCAAGCAGCGCGCACGCGGGGTACCTGCAGAAGATGCAGAAGATCGATCTGACGGGGAGCAACGGAATCCTTTTCCAGCCGACCAACTCCACCTCGACCTCCACGTCGACTTCTTCCTCCGCGGGGCCCAGTAGCAAAGTCCGGGCAGCTCCTGAGGGGGAAAACAGACCACAGCCACAGGCCAATGGTGGTGCAGCAACTTCTGGCACGACAGGGGATGTTGTGAACAACGGCAACCTCAACGCAGCGGCAGGCGTGTCTCGAACATCGTCTGTCTCCGTAGGCGGCCAACATCATCAAGTAGGAACGACCATCATCACACCGATGAATCCACCCAGCGTAGGTGCGGGAGCAGTTGTAAATCGGGGGAACTCGTCCGGGGTACATGGTACAAACAACAACATGCTGATCGCCTCCACAATGTCGGGCATGGACACGCCAACCAGCAACGGCGATGCGACGATGAGTGTGCTTTCCGGCGATTTCATCATGGCGCCCTACGTGGTCGGGTGGACTCCGGTCGAGGGGAACTACGGGAAGCAGCGACAGAAGAAAAAGCTGAATCTGTATCTGAACAACGCAGTCGCAGTACCACCTATGATGAACAACGGGGGAGACACACCAGACATCAAAAACGGAAATAGGAATAATAGGCTGAAAGCCTCGCCAAAGCTGAACCTTTTAGGGGAGCAGGTGGAAAGACCGGGGTCAGGAGGCAGCAGTACTTCAGGGACCAAGGAGAGAAAGAAAAACGCGGACGAAGGTACTATATTGACATAATTTGCGCTGCGCGTGTTGTAGCCACGATGCCAGCTGCACTCGTAGTTGATTGTGTTGACGTAGACATTCAGTCTAGATCTGGTGGTGCAAGTCCAAGTAACTTGGTGGACCAACGCTTTTTATTTGTTCTCTTGTTATGTTGTCACCGTGAACGTGATGTTGCTACTTCATTCAAGTGCGATATGAAGTTCTTGAATGTGCTGGAACCGTAGCCGTATGGTTATGGTATGATCGAAAATTTATTTATACAAATCAGGCAATTATCCCCGTTCTTCCGCGTCCTCCGTATCTGAGCCGATCGATGAGGAACAGCAGAAACTGAACCAAGAAGCGCAAGACAAAAAGCGCACGGAGAGGCTCGCAAAGACCCTGAAAAACCTCCCGGAGTACAAGCTCTACCTGGCTGACGTACCCAAGGAACGGCGCGAGGAAGGCCACCATCCGTCCACACCCACAATGAAAGACTCGAATCGTATAGATTGATCATGCTTTGTTTTGGAAGAGGTTGGTTCTTGTAGGCAATGAATACAAATTTACTTATTCATATTCTCCAGCAGTGCCCTTTAGGTTTAACGCATACGCATAGGTATAGTACTAATAAGAAATGCATGACAACTAAAGACGAAACATTGCAGGGCGCTTCTATAAGTATTTCCAAAATGATTCTGAACAGGTCAATTCCGGTACAAAACCGAGGAGATGCGTCGCTGGCTACAAGACAATTACGGGCATTCCGACGCTGGCGCCACAGCTAATGGGCACGGCGCTAGTATGGAGGTCACTGCGTAGCCGTTCCAGGAAGGTGCCGTCGCACATCGACGGCAGATTATAGACTAAAGGCTTCAGAAGGAGTTTCAATAGGAGATAAAAATTACGCAACAAAAATAACAACTCATCAATCAATCCAGATGAAGGCGTAAAAATCGCATACTAGAAAAAGCACCATCTACTTTATGGCAGAGAAACACAACAAATTAAGAAAACAACTACAGCAAACATCAAACCTGATGAGTAGACAGTTTAGAAGCTGGAAGAGAAGAACTCAAAGAAAAAGCTATAGCTGATCGCGCAGCTTGAACTAAAATTTGCAACACGACCAAAACAAGTCGCTACAGTAGAAAAATTTACGCAAGGACACAAATCTTCAACCAGTATGAGAGCTTTACTTACGTCAGGCCAATAAACTTTTCGTAAATATCTAAAGCACAACCCGCAGCTGAGCTTCTTTATTGTTTTGAAACTTCTTGTTCGGATGAAATAAAACTTCAACTTGAACTGTTACACTTTCGCGGGAGAAGATGAACCTTTTTTCCAGTACATTTGAACTTCATTCTACCAATTGCAAAAATTTGAAGAATACTTTTTCCAGACTAGCAAACAGCAAAAATAGGCGAGCACGTCGGCAATTGTAGCAGCGGTGGGAAGTCGTGCTGTCGCCAGTGTTGAAGAATATCATGTTTCCGTTTCGCTTTCGCTTATTACGCTGAACAAAAACTCGAACGAACACGAAAAAAACCTTTATCAGTTTGCACAGGTTATTAGAAATAGAAGTACAGTATAGAAGGGAGATGTTTAACTAGTCCGCGAGCTTTAATATTGCAGTTCGAACAATCACAATGGGTCAACAAGAATAGCAGTATAAACACGGCTCGAAGTGTTGGAACGAATGTCACTTCGAGGATTATACCGCTCTATTGAAACGGGTAGTGCGTCTTTCTTACGTTAAGAACGACCAATAACCTTGTCATATGATTAGCTCACAACTCTGTCGATGGGCATGGGATGAACAAGAAAAAAAGTACAGTTTTGGTATCGAATCTGGCAGGTAACGCTTCTAATCTTCTTGTATCAGATTTGTTTTCAATATCTTGATAGTATCTGTTTGTTTTCATTTTGTTTTTTGATGGCGCCAGCGCGTCTGCGCGCGGCGCTCTGTACTGCAGCAAAGAATTTCTGTTGTACAGGAGCATTGAGCAAAAATGTGGCAAATGCACAGGAATTATGGCCGTATTTAACTTTCCTCTTTGTGATCGGTTTTCCACTCGGAGGACGACGCAAGGGGTTGTAAACTAAAAAGTAAAATTTCTATTTGTGGCCACTGATCCACTTCATTGAAATTTAAGCGCGCCATTGCACAGACAGAAACGGGCCAGATGATTTATCCAAAATCGCTTGTATTTGGTGCGGGAGCTGTCAGATGAAAGTAACAATAAATAATTCGAAGTAGAACAGCACAACAAGAACAAACTCAAATTGCACCAGGTAAGAACGTCAGCGCTATCCCGACGACGTTGGCTCAAAAATAAAAGCTTGTATTGGTCAACAAGAAAAGCAAGATATTTTGAGCCGCCTCGTACAGAGGATCATTTGCAACAGGGAAGATGTTTGTGAAAACGAACGTAAAAAAGTATAGTCCAAAAAAGTATATTGTGTAGCAGGGACCATTTGTGTAATGGAACAAGGAAACACAAGACCGCAACCTAGAAGTATTTCTTGCTGTGAAGCAGCCAATGCTTTTTTTAGACCACGACGACCAAAAGCAAAGCGATCTGATTTAATTCAGATCAAACCTCGAACTCCTTTTCTAGTCACTCTACTTTGACCTTTTGTTTTGTGCTTGACGCTGCAGCTTTCTCGTCCATTCGTCGAGAATGCTCAGCGTCAGCCTGCGCGACGCATCATTTTCAACAGCGCCAGTTGTTAAGGCCTTGAAATTGTGGTGAAACAAAAATGTTGCAGGTGTTATTACAAGCGTGATCTACAACTTCCTGTTGTCGTTGCAACGAGCGAACAGGCGATGAGTAGACCGTTTGTGGTAGCATGCTCCTGCTGGTGAAATAACCTTAACAAGGATGTTGTGGATAGGGAAAATATAGTAATTTTTGGTGCCGGAGCGGGAGCCGGCTACGAGTATGGAGGGAAGGACATCGCCATCGGATCGGCACTTCTCACGCTAAAGTTGCAGTCGCAGACTTTGAAACCTATGTTTACCAAAAAAAGTACTACCGACGCACGCGCAGATATTTTATCTTTTTCAGTAGAAGTAAAAAACAAAAACGAAAGCAAGACGCAGCTATGCGGCCTGAAGCTGAAACTGGCTTTGACCGTGGAAGACGAAGAGTGTAACAGAAGGCTTACGACAACGACTGAGCTTTCCATCGGTAGTGTACGCATTGGTCCTGGATCGGTTTCGTGTGTGTGGTCAACCACTTTGTTTTTCTTTTTGATGTAGTTCATCCACATCCTGATCCTCCGGTTCCTTCTGGCTACCTATTAGTTTGTGGGCTGTTCGGTGGAAATGGAAATGACAGTCATCGTTCGACGTCCAGTTGTTGCATCGTCCAGGAAAAAAAATGACCCTCGGTCATCTTCTTCAGTGCCCGGTGTTCCGTGAAGACCGATCTGCAATCATCTACATCTTCATCAGGCGGATCCTTTTGTTGAGTCTTTCACCTAATTAGAGGAACTTGGCAAAGAAAAAGATGTTGTCATCGTCGAGGTCAAGAACCAACGCTAATTCGGGACGACCGAATAGTGGTGGCGCAGCATCTTTCGCCTCTGCCGTACCCAGTCGCAGCGCTAGTTTCCAGCACACGGCTCTTGCCGCGTCGTCTTTTCACTCTATTCCACCCAGCAGCAGACCGCCTGCAGATGTTGACGAGCGAGGCTCAGGCAGCAGTAAAAATAGGAGAAACTGCCAGAATTTATCATTATCCCCCGATAAAGGTCGCCAGCTTTCTGTGCGGCCGCGCCGTGGCCTTTCACGGTCCAGCACTTCCAGTATGATCATAGAGGAAGGCCCGTCTGCAGCCTCGGACGCAAAACACGACGACGATATGACGACCTCTAGAAATGCATCAAAATCAACCACACGAAAAAAACAGAAAAAGCCGATCGGATGCTTGAGCCGGCTGTTTCTCTCGGTGCTCGGGACGTTTCTGCCCTACCGGATGCACCACCAACTGAAGCAGCAGAAAGCGGCGAAAATTCTGAAGTGGTGGCAATTAGCGCCGTTCGCGATCACGTTGGTTGGCGCGCTCGGCTCGAGCGTATTGGTTTTGTTCCGCCACTACATGTATCCTGTGCAAAAATATCGTGCAGCTCGTACGAGTTGCAATCTCCCTTCTAAGGTAAAACACCATTACAAATTCCGCTTGTCTTCTTGCCAAAATTTGTAATGCAATTTATGCTAGTGCGATAGCTTTGCAATGCAGAACATGCAAACCTGCCAGATGGAGGCGGGACTGGCTTTCTTGGGAACCACCACCGCTTCTTCCATCTACGGATACCACGGGAGCAGCAGCACGCTCTCCATCGGTAGTAGCACGACGCCGGCTCCGGGTTCCTCGGCGGTTCCTGGTACCACGACTGCCGAAGCAGTAGATGCGCAAGCAACGAGAAGCCAGGTTCTTACTCGGCACAGAACCAGGAGGCGGATTCTCGCGGAGGACCACACGAGCAAAAGTGTAGAAAGTGCAACAGCGCATGATCATGTTGGTGTCCATCCTCAGCTACATCATGCTGAATTACCCTCCTCCGCCGTAGGGAAACAAGCCAGCTCATCCAGCACGAGCACGACCACTTCCGCGATCGACGCACGACTGGTTCTTGATGCAGCGGCCTTGCAAAATGATAATGATCTTGCAGGTGGTACTAGTAGCGGCGAGACAGAGCAGTCTGAGAGAACAAGTACTTCTATCGACAATACAAGCACGACAGACACAGACGGTCCTCCGGAAAATGAAAATAATCCACAAGTAGATCACGGTGACCTCCCGCCGCACAGCCACGTCGGCCGCGCCTGTGGCATGAACGCGGGAGATTACGGCAACTTCCGCCAGGCGCACGAAGGCTGGAGCATTTGCTCGGTGCGGATGCTGGAACCTTTCTGGTTCGAAGGCGACGACGAAACGCATTTCCGCATATGCGCTGCAAAAATCGATCTGGGTCTGGAAGGATGCGGCTTGTCATCCGAAGTAGTTCCGATCTTCACAAAAAGCACATGATCTGTATTGCACGAATCCCAAAAGTTGCTGTCCGTTTATTTCTTCTAGGCTTTTAAAGGCAGGCTGCTCTTGCTGGAGAGGCATCATGAACAAGAAGGTCTCGCAAAATTTTTTGTGCATTCCAGACGAGATGACCATGATGTGCGTGGTCCGCGAATTGCAAAGCAAATTTTCCATTTTTCCTGCTCCAGATATGTATTTGCGCTCGATATCGCACGCTGTTCTGTCAAATTCACTGCACCACGGATGCAGAGGCGCGACAGGCACGGGAAAGCAGGGCGGGAGTGCTGGGCGGAGCCTCCAATTATTCGGGGATCACCGACGAGGCGGAGGCGAGTAGCGAAGGTAGCAAACAAGACAATAAAGTCTCCGCGACCACCAGCACCACCTTCGCACCTTCTGAGGAACCGTTCGAACACGAGCTGCATACCGACCGATATCAAACAGAAAATACGGCACAAGAAGATTTTGTTGTTCTTTCCGAGAACAATGTGTTGACGCCGGGAGTTGATGATATAATCAACGCCGTTCCGAGCCCGACGTGCGAGTCTTATGGGGCGATCGATTCCTGGTATAACGAAGGGAAGGATTGTTTCTCCGAGCGGCTACCAACCCACGTGCTGAACGAATTCAAGTCCTATGAAATGCAAAAGCTGCTCGGGGTGCCACCTGCTACAACAACCTATGTCTACCCCTCAACTAGTACTTCTTCTAGTAGTACGACAAGCAGGCGGCTAGACCATGGGGAGCAGGGGCGACAGTCATCTTCAAATGGAGATGATTCATTTTCGACTTTATCTCCAGCTTCTGCTTCAGGTACTAGTTCTTCCAACCCACAACAAGAACCCCGCAGGACCCGCATGCCAGACTGCCACGGCATTGGGCTGGTGCAGAAGGTGAAGTGCCCGACCTGGGAGACCGCCTTGCCGAACGTCTTGGCGACGTTTCCCTATGTGGAGGTGATGGTGGTCTACGCCTGCATTCTGCTGTTCATGGGCATCCGTCGGGCGTCCTGCGTCGGGGAGTTTGTGACGGAGTTTTTCGGGGACCCCGTCGATGACTTGCAGGCCGAGGTAGACGAACTGCGCCAGCGGCTGGAAAAACTGGAAGGGAAGAAAAAAAGCTCGGCGGAGGTGGAAGAAGGAGAACTGCAGAGGAACGGAAACTACTTCTACCCGACGGGATTAGTAGATCAACAGCAAATCCAGATGCAAGGCAGCACAATAGTGGACGAGCATGATCCTGTTCTTGAGGATCTTGCTGAGTCGGCCACGGTGATGTCGCACGTTTCGGGCCGGGTGGTGCCTGCACGATCTGCTTCGTTGGAGGAGCTAGTACACAGTGCAGGAGCAGCCCGAAGTAGAAGCCAGCTGAATATTTTTACCAGGATCAATTCCCAAGAAACGGTCGACATAGACGGGTTCTTGCTAGATGAAGAACAAGGAGAACGACCGCAACTCGAGCAGATGAGTAGTACGAACAAGAAAGACCCCGGCACCATTTGTTCAGTTGGCAGTGTAGAGATGAACCGTTTCTAAATTAATATAATTCCTCGGTGGAGTACTTAGATTCTTGTAGTGAATGTGAAATGAAGAAAAAAACTATCCTGGTGGAAGAGACGTAAACGCCTCCTCTTCTTGCCGGGTGAGAAGTGGGTTTCTCGAAAAGAGAGACCACGACGGCACTCCTCAGGTGTCATCATTCAACTAGTCATCTTGGTAGTACTAACATAGAAAAACTGCTACAAAAACTGCGGGTACTAGCCATGTACCTAAGTAGTTCGTCGGCAGCCCCAGCCAGAGCCACTGGTGGTTGGCGGCCTTGTGTTTGGTCTTTCTGGAGTTTTTTTCTTGCGCGAATATTCTTCCGTCTTCAGATTCTGTTTGTATTATGTTGCAGTACTGGTATTTTCTGTGTCAATTTGGATTTGCTCGCCCGGAACAAGATCATGTCAATTAGGTTGTGGATGTCTTGCTGCCCGAAAGTGCATTATTTTCAACATGGCAGAGGAGTCGCGATCGGGATCGATTCGATTGTTCCATCAGCATCATACTCGGAGCAACTATCGTCGTCACCAATTCGCTACAACCTCGGAAGATAAAGTATTTGGACGAGAGTATTTTTACACTTTTGAACAGGCGCACTAAAATGTTGACCGAGAGCCGCCCCGTCGCTAGGTAGGAAAAAGCTTGAGACTTTGCGTCTTGATCGGTTTCAGAAATAACTCGCAGTCAGAAAAAAAAATACGACCGAGAAATTTCTACACAGGGAGTAGCCCAAAAAAATGAAGGGCCTCTTTGTTCATGTCCTCGCCGCGGCAGAACTTGCCAGCTGGAGCGTAGTTTTTCGGGTCGCGGCCGTAAAGAAGCCAGAAGACCCAAAGAAGCGAAGTGGACGTGGAACTGTTCCTGCAGCAAGTAAAAAAAAGGGGATGAAGAACGACAATGAGAACGAACCGAACAAGGAGCAGCACAGAAGTAGAGGTAAAATTGAAAATTCTAATTCCGCCGCACCAGCCTTCTCGTCGACGACACTACGCAGCACGGCCTCTTCTGGAAAAAAAGCGTTGACAACTCCCACCAACCCGTCAAAAAGTAACAAGGGCAGTCGAAAAGCGACGCCAGCCAAGAAAACTCCCGCGAATGCAAATGCAAAAGCAAGTGCAAGAACCTCCATCAAATCCGAACAGCCTGGTGACTTCCCGACGAAGGAGGGCTCCTCTTCACGGCCGCCTTCTGTTGCAAAGAACAAGAAACAGGACGAGAATGATGCCACCTCTGCTTCGAAGGCGAGGATAAAAACATCTTCCACACAAAAGGCGACGTACCTAAAAGCAAGGCAAAAAGTAAAAGAAATCGCCAAGCAGCGGTCCAAATCAAAACCTACAACGAGCAGTCGGAAAGTAGATGATAATCTTCAACACACCACCAGCGGCAGTACCACCGGTGCGACCAGTAGAACAACAGGCAGTGTTAAAAACACTAAACCTGCTTCGGAGCAGCTTGTTCAACATCCAGTGCTGGTCGAGGTCAAAAATGAAGCACGTAAAACAAAGCTGGAAGATTTTGTCGAGCGCCGAATGCAAGATCTGATGGACGCGCGGCGAGCCTTTGAGAGCAGCACGGCAGTGGTCGACGAGCTGCAGGTAGAAGATGATCTTCAAGACGATGATGACGAAGATCCACTACTGGCTGCAACACCAGATCCTGAAGATGAGGAGCCGGGGCGGCCTGCTCGTGGTTTATTTCGTCGTGACCCGGAGGTCGCTGAAGACGATAAAGCAGATCATGAACGGGCACAACTACTTGCAACTCTCAGGACATCAACTCCTACTAGTACCGCCCGCCACAGTTTGATGAAGATGAGCTGGATGCTGAATAAGCAGGAGCAGGACTACGAACAAGACCACCACCGTCGAGTAGATCATCATGATGGAAAGAATTATCTTCCCAGCTACTTCTCCTTCAAACCCCCGCCACGCCCCCGTAAAGTAGATGAACCCTCGGAACAATACTTCAATTATAGCCCCACCGAGTCGTGGGAACAAAAAGCACAAATCGCGCTGGAAAGAAGAAGAAAGATGATGGAGATTAGCAACCTCTTCAGCATTCCGCGCACCGACAACAACGACAGCGTCAACAGACCGTTGGTTTTCACGTACGACACCTTCGTGAACCAGGCAAGCAAAAGCAAAAGCTCGTCTCCGGTTACTAAGAACAAGAAAATGAAAAGATCTTCGGCCCCCGGTGGCGGGCATAAAAAACCAACCAAAAGCATGAAAAAGAAAAGCAATACCTGGAAGAACAACTGGAAGCTTTACGCGAAAATGGACCAAATGGCCGCGCTCCAGGAACGGAGGGACAGACGGGAGCAGGAGAGTCGACGAGAAAAGAAAGGCGAAGATCGTCGTGCGGGAGGGACAGTAGATGTTGAACGAGCAGCACTACTACAACATTACGCTGCAGATACAGCAGATACAGCAGCTTCGGCCAAGACGACAATGAAAATGATGAGAAAGAACAACGAGAAAAAACAGTGCAAGTTTTCACTGATTGCCTGTGCTCCGAGGAGGAATGAGAAAATTAGTCGGGCAAGACGTCGGCCCAGCATCGCCGCGCGTGTCCAAGGGGGAGGCGGTGGAGAAACTTCTTGCGGTAGTGGTCTGTCAACATCCGCGAGCAAGAACGTCAGCGAGAACCATCGTAGCAGCGACACAAAAACTCGTCACGATCAGACACCATCGGCATCGTAGCAGCGACACAAAAACTCGTCACGATCAGCTACAATGCACTTCCACCTGAGAAGTTGCGCTGGGTGGTTTCTTCTTGTACGACTTTCTTAATATCCATCTGAATTCTACAGTGAAACAGTGCTATTCGTTTTCAAACAAATGCCGCGTTCTTGTACAAGTACACGACTTCTACGTCGTGATGTAAGCAGAATAAGACGAAGAAAAAGGGGAAGCGTACTTATGTCTTTATCCCTTTGATAATGAAAAATCAAAAGCAAAAATGGACAATACGTAACATAGGAAGTATGATGAATATGCAAAAATAAACTGTGTCCAACATGACGCAAAGTAAGTGTCGCGGCCATTACAAGATGAAAATGAACCTGTAGTTGTAGTCGTAAATAACCTCCCGTTTGCCCTTACCTGGCTCAGACCTTGAATCTTAAATGAACGTCGTCTAAAATTGCCAATAGCATGAAGAATGTGATAGTGATTTGCATTTGGCTTTCGCTTTTGAATTGTGTCACCTTCACCTCATCAGATGCAGACGTACTTCAAAAAGATAAGACTCCAAGATGTCGTGCATCTCGCACACTCGCGTGTCGGTGTGTGTGCCGATCATGATTAAAAGGATGTGATATCTTCTTAGAAGATAGTATGGTTTGTTCGCCTTCTCTGGAGGTTTCGTGTTTTGTCTTGTATTTCTTGCGTGTAAGGACAACGGACGTGATCTTAGCTCTGTTGCAACATCATGTCGGGTCGACAAAGAGGTCGGTCGTGATGATGCGCTGAGCTGATATGAGGATCCTCTTGCTCTCGCTTTCCTTGTTATCTTTCGATCCCTGCAACACTATTTTTTGTTGTCCTGCCCGGTGCCAGCGCGAAAAAGATCCCTTTTTGCTGTTCGCAGCCAGCCCCTCTGAATAAAAATGATTTTTGTATTTGCAGGTCGTATGTTCACGATCATGAAGCCAAGTGTGAGACCTCATCGTCCACTGTGGGTCACGATTATTTTTGAACGAGGCAGCACCAAAAAGAACAACCAAGACCAGTTTATTGCGGTGGCTCCGTTCAGCAGTCGTTTTGATGTCTGTCTCTGTGTGACGATTTGCATCCGTGTGATTTTGATTGACCTTTTACAAAAAGAATAAAGGTAATGGTTACCAGCAACACAGGTCCTCGCAGACGTGGCGTCCTCGGCAATCACAACAAAAACGCCGAAGCCGACGTGTCTGCTTTCGAGCAACGCGCAGATGGAGGCGCTAGCACATGCCAGAATTTAGCCAAGAAAAAAGAGAACTACAAGCAGGCTGCGAAACTCAGGAAGCCGTCTGCGCGCGTGGACGGAGCGAGTGAAGGCGGAGGAGAGAAAGACGAACAGAGCCAGAACCTCCAGTGTCACGATCTACAAGACGAGGGAGGTCACAACTTTGGGCTTTTCGGCACAAAAATCTTCAAAGCCAGAACGCACTCGCCGGGTCATCCTCTCGATGTGGATGGAAGTAGCAAGAGAAGGACGACGCTCTTCAAGAGTTTCTTCAGCAGTTGTGGTGGCGCCTCATTTTTGTCCAGGAAAACAAGTTACGATTGCGGCACAAGAACAACAACTGGAACTGCAGTACCAGCATGGAATCTTCACGACAGCAAAACAAGATCCTCTTCGTCAACCAAGTTGATGACGTCTTTCCTTCCCACCTGGTCGGACCATTTCCTCTACTCTGCCAAGCTGCTTCTGATCTCTCTCTCCTCTTTCGCGCTACTAGTCGAGACCCTCGCTGCCTACCACTCGCAGCTGGGGAGCCAGCACCCGACTTTGGTCGTGCAGGCCTCGGCGTTGACCACGGAGTCTGGTTTCTACTACTCGTTCTACGAAGAATTTATCCGCGCGGAGAGCTGGGCCGACGCGTGGAGGCAGCTGCTGTTTGACGAGAGGTCGGAATATCCGAACAATATCAACGCGTTGTCGCGCTTCAACATTTACGCAGAGGTGTCATGCGGGGTTTTGTTCCGCGCGGTGCATGACTGCCACGAGCTGTGGGTTGCGTTTATGGCGCTTGAAGACGAGCAGTCAACTTCCACTACAACCTCCAGCACTAGACGCTGGTCGGTGGAAGAAGTCACGCTGTACTCCTGGCATTTCTACCAATTGGTGTTGTTCCTGATCAACGCCCTGGGACAGGGAGCACTGGTGGCAATGGCGTTCGAGTTCGTGCCGAGGGTGAAGATAATGGTGACGCGTGGTGAAGAACAAGAAGAGACAAGCGATGATGGCGAGGTCGTGTTCACCTCCGCACAGCAAGAGGAGCAAGGAGGGGTACAACTACAGGATACTAGTAGTGTTGACGCTCGAAATCGCAGGGCAGGAAGTGGGTTTTCACTTCAAGGAGGAGACGACTGTGACATGGAGGATCAGCAGGTCGTCGTGGATCGACGTCCCGGAATGACGTCACACAAAAAGGTTGACGAGCAGCAGGACCCACTTGACAAAGAAGGTGCAACTGAGAAAGGAACCGGAAATTTGTCGCGACATAGCAATAATTTCTCCCCGCGACGTAGTTGTCGCACCCCCGCGGCCGGCGTAGTTCAAGTTTTCGTCCTGCAGCAGGCCTGCATTTCTTCTCTTTGCGCAGGTTTTTTGATCCTAGTTTGCCTGTACACACAACGAGCGCAAATTTCCCGTTTGCTCCTCCCGACCGGCATGAATCTGCGTGAAAACTGGGCGCAGCCGGTGCTGGCCATGCAGATCTTCTTTCTGCTACGGTTCTTTTGGCAGTCGGAGCTGCAACGTGTCGTGGAGAAAAGTTGTGGTGCCGCTGGCCGACACGATCAGGAGGAGAAAAATCCCGTCAGGATTAACCTCGCACACACCACCTCCTTCAAGACCACACAACTCCTCTTCGCAACCACGACGCTCGCTTCCTTGCTCGTGTGGCAGTTTACCCCGTTTGTGCTCACACTGCAGGGCGCAGCGGTGTATTTTGTGTACATCTGCCGTGGCATTTCCTTCGAGACTTTTGCGAAATTATTGAACCTCTACTTTCTCGCCTACGCTTCCGCGATCGTGCTCTTCTCGGGGAGTGAACTGATTCTCAGCAGCCTGTTTCTGTCGCAGTTACTGGCGTTCAGAGTGGTGGTCTGGGTTTTCAGGGACGACGGGTCGAGGAGCAAGAACAAAGCGAATTACTACACAACTTCAACACCGCCCACAGCCGGCGAGGATCGCAGTAGTTCCACTTCTTGCGCCGACTACGTTACGAAATTCCGCTTTCGCTTCTTCCAGTTTTTCAAGGAGGGGTTGCTTGCGGTTTTCGTTTTTTGCGTGCTGCGATTTTTCATCAGCAAGAGTTTCACCGGGGACGCGCACATTCTGGAGATTTTTTGCGCGAAAGCGGAGTACGAGGCCTGGCCCTGTCCGGCAACGCGAACGTTCAACGCGCGACTGTATCTTGTCATGGGCGTCTTCCACAAGGTCGCGCAGGACGTGGTGGATTTTTTTCACACTACCTACACTGTGCAACTTTGTTTAGCGGGGGCAACTTTGTTGCTTCTGCAAAATTTGTGGCACTTTTTCGTGGACCCGGTACTGAGAGTATTGCTGTTCTTCAAGAAAAATAAAAGCGGGACGATGTGGAACCATGAAGAGGACACAAAATTTGTAGCATCCTCTTCCTCCTCGCCAGCTGGAGGACATGGCTGTACTAAAACCGGTGGTGCAGAAATTTCCAGCGGCAGCGAATATGAAGAAGAAGAAGGGTGGTCTAACGAACTTCAACATCTTCAAACAGTAGACCACACGAAGTACACCGCACTTCTGCAGATGAGTCCGTCTGTGAAAGTCTTGGCGCGCAATTTGCGAAGGGACCTCTTCACGACAAACGCCTACGGTCCGGGGATACACATGCGGAACTTTTTCTGCCTGCAGCTTGTGCTGTTCTCGTTTCTTGGATACCAGATCGCTAGGCTAAGGTCACTCGCCGCCCCGTTCGCAATTGTCTTCGCCTGTATAAACGCTGCGCCGACAGCCTGGAGGTTTTTGCAACGGTGTCCGGTTGGGGAACTGAGTTGTTTGGCATTTTTATCTACTCGTGACGAGGACAGGGACAAGGTAGTGGCAGCGGCTAAAAACTCGGCGAGTGAGACGACAGGTTCTTGTAACACAACCACCAAGAAAAATCGGGTAAGTACGCCGACTGTGAACAAAACGGCGCGCCAGCAACCTTTGCTGCGAGGTGGACCTCCACCTCCGATGAAAAATACAAGAAAGGACACTTCTGCTGCGCAAGCGCAACATCAGGGTCCACTGTCCAGAAAAATAACTGTCTATTGCCAAACCGACCCGGTGACCGAATCTGTAAGTTGTTGCGCCTCGCGGGTAAGGCGCGCCGCGTTTGGCGGAAGGATAGCCAGCATCCTCTGCAGCAAAAACGGTAACGGAGGTGATGAAAATAACAGCAACTTCCTTGTGCCGAAAAATAGTAGAGCCACACTCTGCACCTTAGCAGCCTTACTAAGTAAGATTCGACGCCTGGTTTCCTTCGTCCTGCTTGCGGCCTCTTGCTACGGGTTCTTTCTCTACGCAAAGCTCACGCTTTCCTGGCTGCCCTGCGGCCTACCCACGGACAAAAACGAAAACCACGTTTGTGGAAGGGCTGTGAGCTACGTCTTCAGCGGCAGCAAAGACATTTTAGAACTCGCTGGGTACATTAATCAGCGCATTGTCGATAGTCGTGAAGAGCTTGAAGGTATTAATGTTGGTTCTCCTGCTCTTGAGGCTGCAGCTGCACAGGAGCACGCGCATGTCAATCGTCTGCACACTCACACGACCTCTGGGAAAATAAAGCGAATCATGTGGAATCAGAACGGGTTTGATTTCGTGATTCCAAGCACTTCAACTGCGTTGCAGCCAGCAAGGACAAGCAGAAGCGCGAACATAGTACCGCGGCCCTCTCCCGCTACCACATCCATCGCTCTACCGTCGAGCCCAAGGCCTTCTACTTCCATAGCCGGTTCGATGAGCACTCTGGGCGCCCTACGGCAGTTCACCAAGGCGCCCCTCATCGTGCACCCCCACTACGAGTCGGAGGAGTTGCGGCGCCGGGTGCAGTTTCTCTACTCCGGTCTGTACCACTGCACCACCCCGGAGGTGTTTTCCTACCAAATCATGAAACCGCTGCACGCGCGCTTCGTGGTGATTGACAACCGGCGGTGCTTCTTCACGCCCTTCCTCGTCGACGAGGAGTATTCCTCGAAAATCAAAGGCTCGAATTGTGACAGGAACACGGAAAAGCAGTTTGGGAAAGTACTAGACGCGGAAACGGGGGAAAGGGAGAAAGTGGACCAGTTTTATGACAGTGCACAACCCCCCCTCCCCCTCCTTTGTCTTGCAAAATACCAAACTCGCGCCTTGCTCGTAAGCGCTGCTAGCATGACAAATTTTGAAACCTCAAATAGTACTACAATCCGCATGCAGATTTGTCATGCGAAAGCCGCTTTTCTGCTGTTTCTTGTGTTGCTGTTCATGCAACACAAATGAGGGGGAAGGGGATGGGGAGTTGTGCCCTGTCATAAGTTTGCCCTGGTCTGCCGAAGCCTGTTCTTCAATCCCCTCCACTTCCGGTTCCGCTTTGCGAACACGGCGTATTCGCTTTTTGAACGGGTTTCCCCGGACGAGGGCGTGCAGACTGTGAACAATCCAAGTAGTGAAGTCGGAGCTCCTTCCGGTGGATCAATACCGGTTCCGCAACCCTCCGCAACCAGCTCCACAACTACTTCCTCAACAAGTGCTGCAAGCACAACTTCCCAGCGGAACTACCGGTCGTATCGGCGGGTTGTTACGACAAGGTCCTCTGCTTCTGGAGGTGGCAGGGAGGACGACGATGATCTCGGCTGGGACTCAGCGGGAGTTGACGAAGAGATGACGTCTATTGCGACTGAAAGTCCACCGCGCTCCAGTAGTGCTCTCGATGGCAGTGCGATCGACGGTGAGGTGGAAAATGTCAAGACAAGCCGGAATAATGACGCGCCGTCATCGAGCGGGGGAACTACACGACGAGCAGCGCCTCCGACACGAACTACGCAGACAATTACAACAACCCGCGGGCCGCGGATGCAGAAGTTCATCGAGAAGCAGTTGGTTCGTGAGCGCAAAGAGCGGCTCAAGTATGAGAAGAAGAGGGAGAAACGACGAAAACAAGCAAAAAAGAGCACCTCCACGAGCGGTGGCGTATTGGCAGACTCCTCCACCTTCCCTTTTTTTCTCGACTCCTTCACTTCTACCCTGAGTTTAGAGGAGTCCCTGCTCTCCGAAGATTACTGGGCCGCGATTATTCAGGAGTCGGATGCCGATTGTGCCAGCTTCGCGGAGCTGGCGCAGATGTGGTTCAGCCCCGACTCACGGGAGAAAAGTCCGCACTTGAAGCAGATCGGTATTGCGTTGATGGACGCCTTGGAGAAGCAATTCGCGAGTACTTGTGGGAGAGATCCGCTCGTCGTGTTTATGAAAGGTCGGTATCTAGATTACAACTTCAAAAACCAGAAACAGGCTGAGAAAAAGTACGGGGAGGCGTTTGAGATGATACATCAACAAAGAAGCGGACTTTTGGAAAAAACAGCACACCACCGCAGCAAATCTAGCTCGCGGTTATCAAAAAAGCAGCAGCACAGTGAAGTGAAGAAGCAAGTGGCACGGATTGTGAACGACATCGCGGTGCCACTGCCGGTGTTTGGAAGTAGGGATATAGTACAAAATAACGGCGGGGGGAACAATAACGATACGACGACGACATCGAGGTGGTCCTCGTCGAAGTCAGACTCTTACCTCCCACCTCCCTCGATGAATGCCATGATGGCGGGGGAGTATTTGAACTACCTGGATCTCTCCGTGCAAAATCCGGAGAAGTCCCGTGAGGCGGTGCACACGATCCTCCACGCCCCCTACGACTGGCGGCACCATGCGAACCAGCGGCTGCTGTGCGACGTCGCCGTGATATCAAATGTAAAAATGTCTGGGTCTGGAAACTTGTGATGCTGCGTTGGGACTAGGGAATGCTCTGTCATGCACAGTCAAGCATGAGAAATATCTGCGCTTCTTTGTGTTGCGTTTTTCGCATGACAAACTGCGTTTTTGCATGACAGGCAAAATCGTCTCTTCTAGGACACGCATCACAAACTTTTTGGTCATCCCAGACAAGCATGACAAATCTCGTAGTCTTCCAGACCCAGACATTTTTGCATTTGATACGTGAGTCTGAAGGACAACTTTGAGAATGACAAAGCCACCGCGGCGAAGTTGATCAGCTACGTCCGCAAACGCTCGCCGGTGCACTGGTGTTTGAGCAACAACGTGTACCTGGCAACCGACCAGCACGACCGCGAGGTTACGGACCGCGTCAAGTTCGAAACGGTTTTGCGCTCGGCGTTCCCACAAGTCGCAGCGGTGGTGGAGCCGCTGCTGGTGCGGATGAACTGGAAGCAAGAAGATCCGTACGCGAGTTACGTCGGGGACGTGTTCGCGGATTTTCAACCGTTGATGAACATCCCGCTGAAGGGGTACGGGGTCAAGACGGAAGCGGATTTGGGCAGGTGGTGTTGAAGAGTTTTAGTGTGGAGTTGGTGTGGAATTGATGTGTTTTTTGGATGGAAAGGTGGTGGACCGTATGAAATGATCGTTGACATTGTCGTGGAATGCGTTTCGAGAAGGCGGCTCTAGTGACTTGGCTGTTAGCGAGTAGTTGTGATCATGCTCGTTCATTATAGGTGGCACTACCTTGGTACTTACTAAGAAGTGAAAGAATGTAGCGCGCATCGAACAAGATGCCGGGATGTTTGCTATTTCGCGAAATAAGTATTAAAATTTCAAAAGCCCTAGAGCTAGAACGTTCCTCAGACACTTTTGCAATGTCTGAACTGAAGCATAATACCGAAAAGGATGTGTTCGGAGTTCTGTAATTGCATCATGCGGTCTCGATGTCAAAGTCAAAGAGCCTTAGGCTGGGTCCCTAGAGCGCTTCTCCACCGCAAAGGCCAACTAGAGGAAGGCCGTTGCCAGGGCCGTGAAGGCGTCGAGGGGCCGGGGCAGAAAGGTCGCGGCGGTTGCGCCGTCGATAAAGCCCCCCGGCGGGGGCCGCGGCAGTGCGTGGCATGGGCTTCCGGCTGGTGCGTTGTGTGGAAAGGATGCCGCGCGTGACATAGTTCGCGCGAACAGACACAGCCGCGGCACGGCGCTGCTTGGGTGGGCGCGCAGGTTTTTCCAGTCGGCCCAAGGCGAGAGGCGCAGCGGGCGCCCGCTCCGCCGCGGGAGGCGCCGGGCGTCCGTGCGATGATCAGCGCGCAGAGCTTGGCGAAGTTCTTGCGGCCCCTTTCGACAAAGCAGGCCGCTACGCCTCAGAAAACAGCGGGCGCCGGACTTGGGCCTAGTTACTATTGTGCGCGAAGCGCAAGGCGCAGCCCGCTAAGCATGCGCCACAGGGGGAGCGAACGCGCGCAGGCGGGCCCCGCGCGCTCCCGGGCAGGCGCACGCGTTTGCGGGACAGGGTGTGGTGGGCCCTTCCCCCTTGGGCCCCCCGCTGCCTGTGCCCCCCAAGGGCCGGCCCGGGTCGGTGCCTTAGGCGCGCCCGCCCGCCCCGGGTGTTCCAGCATGTTGCGCCCCACGTTCCCACAGCCACCACGAACGAAGCCCCGCGCGCCCGCGGGTGGCGCATAGGCATAGCGCGGCGAGTTGTGTTCTGTCGTAACCCTTGCCGCGTTTGTTGGATTTCGTCGCCATGTACACCAGTGGGAAGAGGCCGGCCGCGCCGCTCGGCTTGCTAGGAGCGCAAAGCATCTGCCCCCTTGGGCTTTGCGTTTTGTGCTTTTCGGTTGGTGCGAAGCGGGGGCCCAGGCAGCAACACCGCCAAACGGCCGCGCCTTCCCGAAGGTAGGGACCTCTTCGGCGCGGCCACCTAGGGAAATGCGCGGGGCTTCGGGCGGCCCGCCTTCCGGGGGAATATTTCCGGCCCCGAAGGCGGCCGCTTTGGGTGCCCCGGCGGGCCGGCGGGCCCGGAAGGAGCAAAGCGCGCTCTTCCGGTTGGAAACTGGTCGCGGCCGATGGCGCGCCGCCAAGAAGGACCAGGAGACAGAGGGAGCGCGGTCCGTGCTGTTGTTGATTGCCCGGGCTGGGCGGCCCTCTTGGCGGGTATTTGGGCCGGACGGCGGGGGGGGCGCGCGGCGGGCGGGCCTTCGCGCGCCGCGTTAGCTAGCGCCCGCCCCTTCCTCGCGCCCGGTAGGCCCCGGCGCGGTCGCCTATAGGCGGCTGCATTCTTGCGCCCCCGCCCTGCCAGCCACGGTAGGGGCGTGGCGGGCGTGGGCGTCTCTCTCACTCTGAGGGAGGGGTGGGTGGCAGCAGTTAAATTTGCGTGGGCGGTGGGGGCGGCCAGATGTTCGCCCACCAACCCGATCCTGCCGCGCCCATCCTGCTGGATGGTCAGCGGGCTACCTAGTTGTGGCCGGCGCGCGCGGGAGAGGAGTGAGTCAACTGACTTACCCCGGTCGCCGCGCGCGCCCGGGGTGGGCGCGGCCTGTGGCAGAGGGACTTCGGGTCGAATTGCCGTTCTGAATTGCGCAACATGTGCTTCGGGCAAATTTCGCCCTGGGCGATATAGATGAGACATGTTTATTTGTCCGATTTTCCGACCCGCCTGACAACTGCGCACGCAAGGTTCCGCCCCCATGCTGGTGTTCATTGGTCAGATCTTTTTGATGCTGTGACTTCGTGGTCTTGCATTATACTCCTTGGCGGCAGTTGTAGTTCAAGTTCTAGTTTTAGTTTTTTTTTTCTCATTTTGGCCCTCGGCGGCGTAAGAACATACAACACTAGAAGCACCATCCCGGAGAAGGAGACCGATCATGAAGTTGCGGGATTTTAGCACTGGGGGGGCACACTAGTGCAAGATCACACCTTGAGAGGCCGGTGTTGTATGAAATGAATGACGTATTTCTCTGCCAGAAGACTACATGTTGACTTAGATTTACGTCCTGCGACCAGCCGCGTAAGTAGATCGATTGTCTTTTAGTTTTTCACTTGTGATTTTTTGATGGATCTGGACCTGCGTCAGAAGTGGAGTCAATCCACAAACTGCATTAGTTGTTCACAATATATCATCAAAACAAACAAAATGCAAATTTTTAGGCGTAAGTAGTATTGACAGTGTGCGTATTTGCACAGAAACAGACACACGATCACTGATTGTACTTAGGGTGATAAGTATCAGAAAATGAGGATTCAAGTAGAACGAAGATGAGGTCAGCGAAATTCAAATTTGTCTTTTGCATTGTAGATCATGTTGCTGAACACCCAATGCAAGTGCGTTTCATTTCTTGATTGAAGTGTCTCATTTGAAAAGATCGATAAATTGTCTATAGCCGCAAACTTCTATATACGTGTGTCTGTATCAGGGGTGGCTTGCAGCGCCACCGCAGTACCGTCTTGACACTTTGAGTAAGCGGATCTCCACCCAGCTCCTGAAATTCTAGCAATTTTGATGGCGAAGAAAATCAAAATCGCGCTTCATCTTCTTTTATTTCTGCCACTTCTACAACAAGGACTGACAAGAGCATTCATAGTGTGCCTACAATATACAGAATGAGAACTATGATTCGCAACAACAAGTGGAGCCTAGTGATAGAGCGCTCTAGTCCGTGACTCTCTTCCCTTAAGTTCTTGTAGATGGACCATTGTGATCGTAGTCTGTTCCTGTAGTCCTAGTCGTGTCATCTTCGGCTGCACATGATCAATCGCATTATCCTCCTCAGAAGCGACGGCGACATCACTTGCGGCAACACCACGCCCACCGCCATCAAGCGACCCTGAGCGGAGGAACGAGTGGACGACGTCGGTTTGTATCGATAGTACGGAGTTTGTGCAAAAACCCGCCCGCCTAAGCGGTTTGTTCCTGTTCGCACTTATTTTTCACGACTCGCCTTCGCAACTCCCTCGTCCAACAAGATGAGCACAACAGCAGATCAACAGAAGCCTGCCACGACCGGGTCAAATGACCAAGACCCAGACGCGGCGGGGGCTTCATCCCAGCAAGACGAGCAAAAAAACAAGCCGAAAACGGAAAACAGCGAAATGCTGGACTTTTACGCGGTCCTCGGCGTGGACAAGTCCACTACGCCGGAGGTCATCAAGAAGAGCTACCGAAAATTGGTCATCAAGTGGCACCCGGACAAACACCCCACGGAGAGGGAAAAGGCGGATGAAATGATCCGAGATATCAACAACGCGTACGAAACACTCAGCAACCCGGCCAAGAAGCAGGCGTACTACTTATACAACTGATACATTTGTTCTGTATTTTTGTTGCATAAATCTGTTTTGATCATAAACGTGACCTGAATCCTGATCGAGACTACATCTCTCTGTGACCGTGTTCTGGTGATACTGTTGGCACATGGTGATTTATGCAAGATGAGCGCGGATATCAAGAACGTTTCAACGCGTCGAAAAGAATGTCCAAAAAAATCCTATTTCCTCATTCCCTCCCCACAACGAAAAAAACTACAGTTACGACGAGCAGATCGCTGCGTTGGAGCGTAAGCGCAATGGCGTCTCCCTCCCCACCTCCGGCATCGCGCCGCGGATGGCCATCCCGAAGGAGTTCATGCTCTGTCCGCTGGGGAATTCGCAGAAATTCATCCGTTACCAGGGCAGCAACCTGTTCGTTCAGTCCCGGGAGGATGTGAAGGCGGAATTTCTCCCCTTTTTCGAAAAAACAAAATTCAATCTGTACTGGCTGCCCGAGGTGAACAACATGTGCCGCATCCGCCCGGCCGCGACCGCGGCGGTGGGATTTTCCGGCGGAATGAACCTCACCTTTAGCGAATTGACGGATGAGGTTCTCGAATCCGAACTGCAGCTGACGAGCTCGCAACTCGGGAACCTGATCAACTTCATCGCGGTACCCTCCCCGACCATGACCAACGCCTTCCGCTTTGAGGCCGCCTACTACCCGGGGGCGTATTTAGCGTACAAAGAGCCCAACCATCTGCGGGTCATCAAACAGATGGAAGACGCGGAGAAAACCAGCGTCGATTTCATGCTGGTATAAATTTCGATTTTTGTATAAATTGCGCTGAAATAAGTAGTGCTTCTCTACTTGTAGATCTTGAGCCTGTAGTTGTAGTTACAAAACCAATTTCAACATCATGTAGGAGCTGCCATTAGCATTGCCACATGATCTTCATCAAAGTTATATGTTGGTCCACTATCAGGTAAAATACGACACGATGTTCAAGTATGTGACTATGGAGGAGGTCCTGGTTCCCAGCATGTATCAAAGTGAAAAAAGCCCCCACCCCATACGCAAAAGACAATTTGTGTTGTTGGATTTGTGTACACAAATGAGCTTTGTATTGCAGCAAGAGCTTGTCGGCATATTCTAAGGCCATTTTGGACACGCATCCGGCTTGCAGCTGCGCATGAGAAACAAGTCTGACATAGGCGAAAACGCATGACAGACTGGCTGCACAATGCGGCACATGGGTGCCGTTTGCCTTGTACGCAAGACAAAGCTGATTTGTGGTCACAAATCAGCATCACAAATTTCCGTTTCAATATGGTGCGGGGGGATTTTTCCTCGCGATAGCATGAAGGACCTCTCCAAGGACGAACACGGCTACGTGGAGCTCGACCGGTTGCGGACCCACGAGTCGGTTGCGATGTACTTCCGGAACATCCTGGGCACGTCCGTGTGGGACGTGGAGGATTTCGAGACCTACTTCGACGCGCACTGGCAACAGTGGTACTACAGCAACGGGAAGGTGAAGCTCCGTACCCGGGACGAGCAGCTCGCCCACGCGCTGCGAAAAGCGAAGAAGGGCACCGACCTAGCGGGCCCGATCGCCGAGGCGGATCCAAGCGGGCTGGAAAAGCTGCACTTGGAAACTGTCGAGCGGTGCTTGATGGTGCTGTGGAAGGATACGGGGAGTAGTGCTAGTACTAGCGGCACAACTTCTAACGAAGCAGGAGGACCAGTATCTACTTCTGCAACATCTACCTCCAGCAGCGACAACATTCAGTACGCGGTGGACAAACTGACGGCGCAGAAGAAATTACTCACCGCTCTGCCGATGATCGTTGACAGCTGCTTCCACGATCCGAGTTTGGAGTTGCACCGGTTTGTCACCCTCGATTTACTGATCAACAGCATCGAGGATAAGAACCTGAGTCAGGCGAAACTGAAAGTGCGGGAGAAGCTCGCGGAGCTGTTTGCGAAAAAGCTAGACGGGGCGTATCAAGCGTTTTCGAACGGCAGTAGTGACACGGTGTCGACCACCTTGCTCAAGTACTGGCGGATTGCGAGCATTGAGGAGCTGGAAGTGCTGCTCACTCTGCCATTGAAGGCCGCGGACGTGGACACGCAGTTGAGCGTGTTGTGCGCGGACGCGATTAGTGGCAGCTCGACGGAAAAGCTACTAGGGGTGGTGAAAACCGCAAGGAAAATGGAGATGCCGCTCTTTGTCGAGACGGTCGGCCGGGCGCTGCTGCAGAAGCTTCCCAAAGAAACGCTAAGCCCGAAAAAGCGAGACATCCTGCTCTGCGTGGCTGAGGTACTTTATACGATGGATGTTTGCTTTTCACCCGATGAATAATGAATTTGGACTTCAATTTTTTGCACGATCGAAACTAATGCTAATCTTTTCTTTGACTACTTCGAGTTCGATTTTGTGCATAATCGATGATAAAATTGAAAATAAACATCTCCACGAAACTACTACCCTTGACAGATCCCCACCCTAGTCGACGCTTGCATCGTGGAGTTTTCACGTGGCCAGCTGCATAAGGACGATTTTGCCGAAGTCCTTGCCCTGGGGGTCGCCGCCCACCTGGATCGCGAAACGGCGCCCGAGGAAGCGACGGCAAATATTCTGAACGACGTCTCACCCTTCCTTGCCACGCCGCCCGCGCTGATTCACCTGGCGCAGGCCGCCAGCCAGTCGGTGCGGTTAAGTCGGGTACGGTTAACCGACATCGCGAAAGCGGCACCAATGCACATCAAAAGCACGCTGAAGACCAACGAGGTGAGTCAGCTCCTGTTCCTTCTGGCCAAGGCCTTCGCGCGGTTGGCGACCGACCCGGAGAGTGAGGCGCTGTTGGACACGGAGGTGCGACCGCATTTGACAAGCGCGTTCGTGACCGCGTTTGGGAAAGTCAAAGTCGCCGACTTTTCATCGGGAAAGTACTTGAGATTACGGTTTTTTTGGCTTGATTATTTATCATTCCTTCTTGCGCCGCTGGATGAAGTAGAACAAACAAGTCAAGAAGAACGTCGTCGCCTTTATGATAGGCTTATAGCTTTTTTTGTGTGAATTCTTTGCCTTGTTCCCTCAAAAAAATCTGTCACGACCATCAAAAACATCTAGCACTACCTCTAACCTTCCTCCTCACTCCTCTCAGGGACCTGACCAAGGTGCTGCTCGCTTGCAACAGTGTTTGTGGCGCGCTTTCCCTGGACGACATGCCCCTGGAAGTGGTGCAATTTTTCGAGGCCGCCAGCCAGGACGTGCAAAACCGGGTTTCGTCCCTACCGCTTCCGCAGCTCCTTTGCTACACGGAAGGGCTTTTGTCTTCCACGATAAACTTCCAAATGCGGTCCGCGGATCTGCGCAATATGAACTGCAAAAGTATCGTACTAGTAGTAACTGCAATACAAATTACGATTACCTCAAAATGATAATTGGAATTTGTGATGCTGTTTTGCCTTGGGATGGAGATTTGTAATGCATGACTGCGATAATTACTACGAGTGCGATACTTTTGCACAGAATACGCAAGGAATTGAACCAATTGCTGGCGTTCTGGGACCAGATGCTGACGGAGATGAAATCCAGCTGGTCTTTGCTGCAGGAGGAAGACAGGAAGGAACGGAAGGCGGACAAGGACCAACAAGTTGACGAAGTTACGAGGAAGCGGTTGGAACTCGAGCGGGAGCAGAACCAGCTGTCCATGAAGCAAATGCTGGAACTCGGTATGATCGTGGGAAACTTTCTCCAGGACGAGCAACTGCAGCGACAGGAAAGTATGAACATTAACGACAAAAACCAAAACGACAACTCCTCCGCCGAGGATGGGACCACCTCCAACGAGATACCCCAGGTGGAAAAATCTTTCTGGAAGACGTTGACCAAAAAGCTACTTCGGCGACTGGGGAAACACAACTACGAACTGCTCCTCCAGAAAGAGTCCGAGATGTTTCTCCCCGCAGTGATTGCGCCGTGGCCGACGCGGTTCAAGGAGCAGGTCGAGGAGCGCGTGAGGAAAATTCAGGAGGCGGTGAGTAGAAGCGAGCGGGAAAAGGAGCGGGAGAGGGAGCGGGAGCGGGACCGGGAGGCGCGACGGGGAGGGGGTCGTAGGGACGACCGTAGTACCCCAGAAAACAAGACCGGAGAAAATAAACGTTCAACGGACGAGGAACAAGGCGAAGATGAAGTTCTTGTCGAACGACCACGAGACATGAAGGAGAAAGAACGAAGAAATCAAGACCGCGATCGGGAACAAAGAGAGAACAAGAACCGCGATAGAAGGTCGCCACGAGCAGGTGGAGAGAACCACGACCGGGAAAGACCACGTGCCCCTTCGCGATCTCGGCGCGACGATCGGCGTGACAGGGACCGGGAAAGACGGGGTGGTCGGGGTGACGCTGCTGAAGACCGGAGATCTCGTCCACGAAGTAGGGACGAAAAGGACAACAAGCGTCGGGGCGGAGGTGATAAGGTTTCCCCTCGTGAAGAAAGACGAGAGCGAGCAGACAGGCGAGACCGGCGGTCGACACAGGACAGGCCAGATGAAATAGTAAGCGGTGGAGAGGACGAAAAGGACAGAAACACGACAACCTCCAAACGAGAACGCCGAGACAAGAGCAGTAGAAGGAATAACGGCACCAGATCAGAGCGGGACCGTGGCCGAACTAGAGGCGGCTCAGCCGACGAAAATAAAGACAACGACGACGACGAGATAGAGGACGTTACGAACCGACGAGACCGCGATCGGGAGCGAGGGCGTCGTCGGCAAGACCGAAGCGATGACGATGAGGAGCTCGTGGAGGCATCTTCCAGGCCCGCTAAGAAAAAGCGACGATAGAAAAGTTCATCCAGGCTTCATCGAAAATTATGGCCGCCTTGTTTCATCTGGAATTATATGAAAGTAGCGGAAACAAGAAACAGCGAATAAGAATAAAGAGAACCAGCAAGAGCAGGTAGTGATCATAACAACAAAATAAGTAAAACCTCTTCATCAACATACAACTACTTATCGTCTGGCGACTCACCGAAATTACTACAACAGCGTGCTATGTGTTCCTCTGCGCGAGGAGTCCTCGCACCGTAATAGTACAACAAGCAGTTATGACTCGCACCACATGGATGCGTGCCAGTGCGCAAAGAGCATTAATATCTTCAAAAAAACCGTCACCACCCACGGTGCGAATCGACCGAAAAATTTCGATTGCGAATGGTGCGACTTCGATACAGAATGATAAATCAAAAATTTTTCGGAAGTAAACCACGCAACAACTCATACTACTTTGATCTGATGCTTGCAGTGTCTCCTGTTGTTTTCCTTTTCAGTTCTTTGCGGTCGTGGTATTGCAAGAAATCAAAATTATTTCTAATTATCATGGAATCGTTATCTTCGTCAACATATGATGATCGTGTAGTATTACTGCTCCTAGAAACCTTCTGTTGAATCGGTTGAATCAGGATCAGGATCGCCACCATATTAGCAATTCGTTGCGGTGTGTCTTTGTATGCCGTCTTGCCGCCAATATGCACCTATCTATTTTTGTCCTGATGTGTTGTCGTCATCCATACGAATTCCATTGGTCGTGTATTAGCACGAGGAATGTGGGAATCATCCTGGATAGAAGGCGTTCGTTTGGGTCGTACGTAAATCGAATCGACGTCGTTTTGTTGCAAAATACACCGGTATACAACCACGCGCTGCACCTTGTGGCTCGAGTATTTGTCCTGCTGGTCAATCTGTCGTTGTACGTCACGAATTTCTATCTTCGTTGCCTTCGACTCAATCACGTGGTGGATCTCGTTTCGTGAAAGTAGTGAGCTGCTTTCTGGTTGTTGTTGTGTAAAGGTCCGACAGCATGGTCGTGGTGTCTGTCCCATCTCATGCAAGACGACAACACAAGATCGAGTAGAGTTTTTCATTCTGACTCTTTTATGCGCCGCGGATAAAGAAAAGAAAATTATGATTATCCTCGGAGCAGTAGTTTTTTTTTGTTTCTATTGTAGTTCGTTGTACTATACACATCAACAAAGTTCGCGCTACACTTGTTCCACACAGAAGCAGAACACCCAAAATCTTTTTTTTTCCCTCATCTCCTGCTTCTTTTAGTCGCGAAGATGTTGAAGATGATTCTCTCCGTGCTGATGTGGTTTCACCTCGCAGGCGTCGTCGAGCGAGCCGCTAGCTCCGTTGTTGTCCTGGATGCGGAGGCCAACTCTTTTCTGAGCGTGAGCAACATGCAGAGCGTCGGTCGGGAAATGAGCAAGGTTGCCGGCGCGCAAAAGGACAACGTCAAAAATGCGGCTTCTTTTGCGGAAAAAGATGGAGACGAGGAAGATGGTCACGATTCCACCGGTCCACCATCAGGAGAAGACTTGGCATCTGTTGAAACGGAGGACAAGCAGCTGCCGTCTTCCAAGCCTGCCGAGAAGGTTGGGGCTGCCGCCGCTTCTGAGAAAAAGGTCAAAAAAGTGAGATTCGCGGACGAGGTGGAACAAGATCAAGAGAAGACTGACGCTGCCACCAGCACCACATCAGCTGAGGAAAAGACCACGGAGCAAAAAACGTCGAGCGGTTCCGGCACGGCAGCGGCCGGGGCTGGTGCACACGAAGAAGCCGAAGCCACGGCGGAGACCAGCACTGATGAAACTGACGAGACGTCGACCCACAAGGTGGGGCTCGGGCACCACGTGGTCAGTGCCGCGCGCGATGTGCTGACCACAGCCGTCGAAGCGCATGCGAACCACCAGGCGGTGGTTGCGCAAGGGTACTTTTTAGAAATATCACGCTAAAGATTAAAAAGATTCAAGAAGGGTAATGTGAATGAATATACTTAGTTGTCATGATAAAGACCACCACGACTTTATTGCACGAAGATGCCCACCCAAATCTTGATCTTCTAACAGGTGCTGTGGCACGCCGCCTCATCTGACGTCGCAGGTCGATGAAAATGGCAAGCGCGTCTCCAACCCCAGTAGCGGTGTGGTGACCTTGGGTGGCTACTACGGTTGGTGGCTGCAACACCAGTGCTGCATGATGTCCATTTTTCTGATTTTCCTGGTCACGATGCTCTTGTGCCTCATGTGCTTGATCCACGATTGCCAGCACGGGCATTGGAAAAGCGGGGGAGGGCCGCGTGTGGTGTACGACGACTATGGGTACTATGCAATACAAATTTCCCTTACATGTACGAAATGCATCACAAATTTCACCAATTTGGAGCGTAAAACTTGCCATGCTAAACTAGGATCGAAGTCAAGTTTTCTCATGCAGAGACTGCATTTCTACGTGTGCGGAAAATTTCCTGTGGATAGGTATGCCTACACCACCTACGATGACGACGACCACCGCGGCTATTTCTGTTGCGGCCTCCTGCACGGGAACAGCAGCGCCTCCATGCTGCTCCTCATCTGCGCGGGGTCGGTGTTGTGCTTTTTGTTGTTTCCCATGGTCCTCATGCCCGCTCTGAACATTAACGCGTGCGGAACGGGGCCGGCGGGTTGCAATCGCGGGATTCCGGGGTGCCTCTGCAAGTACAACTGAAGACAAAGACTGGAGGAGGAAGATATGAAGAGGTGAGCGGGATGAAGAACTACGGACATGAGGGTCTTGTACTACAACCGAAAAAATGCAAGAGGAACTGATGACCGACGTCGGATTGCTGTATCTTCTACAAAATATATTTCACACCGCACAGAAAAAGAATTTCAATTTGAGTTTCAACTTTTTACACTTTCTGAAGTCGCGGACGTTTCTATGGAAGGTTAAGTGTTACTTTCCTGCTCATTCACGATATGACATTTTTTTGCGTTTCCTAAAGCACTCACACACTTCAATTGTTTCTGTTTTATTGGCCTGTTGAAATCTTCGCAGCGGATGCTTTGTTTCAGAATAACCACGAACACCAGCAGCGTCTGGACTACTTAACTACGTGAAATTAGCATTGTTCCTGTCTCCAATAATTCTATGCGTCCTTCAAACTTGTTGCTGTTGGTGTCGTAATGTGTCAGTGTGTGGATTTCTATCTACAGACTAGGAGAACAAGAACATAGATGTAGACCACTGTAGTTTCTGTTGGACAAGTCTATAGTCACTTCACTTCATCGGGCTCCCTTTATCTCGTTGCCTCGCTTTGAAAATCTCTCCAGCAGGTAGTACGAGGCATTCATCCCTACGTGCGTGCTGGATTGCAGACTTCGACGATGAGTTTTTTTGCAGCGGTCGATATCTCTTTCTTCCTGCTCCTCGAGTCAGTAAAACAATCGGAATAGCACATACTACTGCCACTCACGTGACCAGACGAGGGCAAAGGAGCGACGCTGACGAGAGCTAAATTGACAGCCAGATCATGCGGTGAAGATGCGAGGGAATCGAAATCGTGCCAGAGAGAAAATAGAAACAAAGCCATGCCCTTCCTCAAGTTGTACTTGTGAGACACAAAAACTTGCGATGTTGGCTCATATCCGTGCACAAATAATATTCTGCATCTAGTTTTTTAATCAAATCGTTACCTAATGCAATCATCTTCCAGGCACCCAACACAAGAACGGAAAAACGTTTCACTTTTTTCTCGGAGCTACAACCAAGTAAGTGCTTCAGTAGTTACAGTTTGCTCTATTAATATCCGTGCTCTGACTCTTTTCGCATAAGGTATTTATGTGCTACTCGCATGTATTAACAGGTGCTGGTAATTGTTGCTTTCTCTTGCACTGAGACTGACACAATCACAATCTACTATTGAGCCTAAGTTTCGTATAGGCGTCAAGCATCTTCGATAAGGTAAGTCATACTCTTTGCCGCGTCAGCTACTTCAAGTGTTGAGTCGAGTTGATAATATCCTCAGCACAATTCCATTTGTGTATCCATAGTTTAGCGTAGTTCTACCTTGAACTTGGTGTAGTAAACAAACGACCTAAAACTATTTATTGAGAGAAAGAAAATAAAGGCAAAAACTAAGTCGACGCATTAACGAATTGTGAGGGGGCAAACGATATTCTATATCCATCGAGAGAGACAAATGTGAGCGGAATTCGAAGTTTCACGAACTTGTAACTTCGCCTTCCAAACATAATAGGCCTGGAGGTGAAGTATTAGCAGCCGTGTCGTGTGGAACTAGTCACAAATCTGAACTGGAAAAGAACGAGCTTTGCTTTACCTTTTTCCACCACAGCCTGTTACTACACAGGCCGCGTCAGAAAGAGAAAAAAAATGTCGCAACAACAACACCAAAAGTTTACTGCGCCGCCGCCTGGCGCGGTTATTTCGCCGAAGAAGAGCGGCATGAAGCGCACTGGAGAGGAGCAGGAGAAGGGAGACCTTCGTAGTACTGTCAACTCGCCATCCAAGAAGAATTCGTCGTCCACCGCTTGGCCCACCTACGGTTCGACCATCGTGCTCCCGTCTCCGGCCTTTGGGGAGGTGATCAACACCATGGAGTACTCCATTAACCCCTTCATGCAGGCGGGGCACGTGCCGAAAAACGTGCGGAGCAAATTCTCGTCGGAGCTCATCAAACTGCACCGCACGATCAGTCGCCATTTCGCGCTGGATAGTACTAAAAGTTCTACTTCTACTTCTTCCATGCAGGACAAGGTCAAGGGCACCGCCACGACTGCATCAAGCGCAAAAAGCCCAAAGAAGATGAAGAACAACGCCAATGGTGAAAATGACAGCGCGACGTTAACATCAAGCGGAGGCTTTAGTTGCGGCGAAGGAGGAGCTTCATCGATCACCGTTAAGGCAATCCAGCCGATGCAGACCTGTTTCCCCCTGGACCTGATTCTGGCCGGGATTCGGGGCAACTACTTTTCGGAGGGTGCAAAGGCCGAGATTGTGAAAACGCTGGGAGCGCACTGGATGTCTTCGAACAAGAACAGTGGTGTTTCATCCGGAGGCTCTACTGCTATTTCGCCAAAGATGAATTCAAATTCTTCTCCCAGCATGGCTTCGTCCACTACTTCTAAGCTGAAAAAGGCGCGTCCGGAACTGGAAAAGCAGGTGGTCGAAGCGATTCTGCGGCTGAACGAGAAGCACAACTACGATGAGCAGGAGGAAAAGGAAAACCAGGAGCAGTTACAGGGCGGTCTCTCGTCGTCCGGCACTAACCAAAACGCAACAGACGCCGACACGTTCCGGAAGGCTTCCTTCTCCACCTCAACGCGCTCGACGACCAGCTGCAGCTCCCGCGCGTCCTCCACCAAACGTGACCATGCCGCTGCGTTTCTGTCCAGCAGTTCTTCACCGAGCTCGGACGAAGTGATGACTTCTGCTCTGCTTCTTGAGGAGCCGCCGCGCAAACGGGCCAAGACGGACTCCCTCGTGACGAAGACGAAGAACTACTCGACTTCTAATATCGCAGATGAGGATGTTCTTGAAAATAAGATCGAGAACCGCACGTCCCTCGCAGTGTTAATATCCGACGACGACGCAAGAATCCAGAAGCCGTTTATCGAGAAGAAAGTGAAGTCTGTGTTTGACTCCCTGATCAGCAGCATGGCGGACGCCGTTTACTTGGCGAATCTTGGGCTGTACCTCGGGAAATCCCCCGTTTTGGACAACAAGGAGGTTTTCATCGTGCAATCCCCGCGCATGCTCGAGCGGCAACTGGAGAACCCGTTCATGCGGGCGGTAGCGTTGCAGCTCGGCTGGTTTCCGCTCGAATTGGCGAAGACCTTCGAGGGGATGGCGGACCTGGTGTCGGTGAAAGTGACAACTTCTTCGGAGAAAAAGAAGAACGTGTTACTCGGGTTTGACAGCAGTCGGTCGGACAAGAACGCGTACCAAGACGTGATCACCTTGGCGAAGGACGTGCTGAAAATCGATTCTTTTCCGGACGAGGTGATCATCGTGGAGGCCAAGGACAAGGCCCACGGCTACCACCAAGACCTGGCGATTCTTTCCCTGTTCAACGGGATATGAGAGTGCACAACTCCGCCTCGGCCTCATTTGTCATGCAAAATGCCTAATTTACGCCTGGGCTCTTGGCACTGTTTGCATGATAAGTTCTGGCGGCCCCAAATAGCACTACACGCCTACCCAAATTTGTCATGCAAAACCTGTATTCTTGCTGACGCTTGAGTTGCTGTTCATGCAATACAAATGAGGGGGAAGGGGAGTCGTGCACTTTCATACGGGAAAGCGTGTGTGGGCGATCAGGTTCTCACCGACGCGTCGCTGCAGAAACTGCGGAGCGAGGTGTTCTATGACCTCCTCAAACGTTACAATCTCAAACGTTACAATAGAATCTGAGATTTGTGTTGCATGATGAGCATGACAGATTCGCACAGCGTTCCACCTTTTGCAATACAAATTTCGCCAGATCGTCGTGGGGTTTAGGGCTCCGGAACTTGTCATGCGCAACCCTATCAGTAGATTTCGCTAGATCATGCACTTCTTGCATCATAGATTTTCATATTCTATTCTAACGTTTGAGATAATTGTAACAGCTGAGCAGGTTATATCTTCGACGAGGTGTTTCTGATTCCCAAGCAGGAGTGGATGGCGTTTGCGCTGAACTCCATTCTGGTCGACGAGCGCAACTGCGCGAACCTGTTGGAAAAGGCAAAGCGGTTGGCCATCATTCCGCCCCGGTGCCCGACCTTGCAGGGGATTTTGGAGAAGGAAGGTATAGTGCTTTAGTAGATGAAGGATAAATGGAAAGGAAAATACACAAACTACTACAACGCAAACGCTGCATGTGCATCAAGAAGACTATAAGAGAATACTAAGATTAGGATGACACCCGAATATGAATATCTTCGCAAGTTTGTTATGCCGTCGAGTTGTTGCACTTGCATGGCAGCCTAATTGTGGTGCAGGAGTACTACTGCGTAATAATCCCACATTTGTTTCTCATACTAGAGCAAGCTGTTTACGCACCATGACCATCACAGGTTACACCACCGTCGTCCAGGACCTGGCTTATGCGCATGGTGGCGGCTTCCTGCGGTGCTTGACCCTCTTCGCAGAACACTCTACGGCCTCGGGTGGTTCTTCAACAAATGAAGGAGCGAATCATGGAAGCGAGCCCATGACTGCAGCGGAATACGAGCGGTTGTGTGCGAAACTGGATAGTAAGAACTGCAGCAACAATCCTTCCATCGCTACTCTCTGCCACTGGAACAACCCCATGATTCACACTGCGACCAAGCAGATCGCCGAGTCGATTTCGATATCCTGTGCAAAAGTTGTATCGTAGTCGTACTAATCGCGGTCATGGTCATGCATGACAGATCTATCGCCGAAGGGAAATCAGCATCACAAGTTGGATATTTTCTCCTGGACCAATTTGCATTGCAATTTGTACTAGTACGATGCTTTTTGCAATGCATATTAGAACGGGAATTTGTCGGTTTTGGACAATGATCCGACCAGAGTGATGGTGACGGGGACGAAGGTGAAACCGGTCTCCGGGGCCTCGTAGGACCTGTCAGTTCATCTTGCCGTGGTTGTAAGTACTCAACAGTACGAATCATGTGAAGAATCAATAGTGAAAAATTGTTGAATTTTTGTTTATTGTATGAACTCCAACAGTAGCACAGGAACCGAAACCACGCTTGTGACCTTCATTCGACCTTGTTTTTCCGATTTACTTATCGTGTTGACTCGTGCTTTTCGATCGACGCCCTGATCGACGATTTCTTTTTTAGTACATTAGAAAGCTGAATAAAATCACCCCTATGTGGTGATTTATCCCGAAATAAACCTCCTTGAGCCACTATGAGTCATATTGAGCTCTCAAAGAACATTTGAAAACTGGCGATCGCCACACAGCTTGTATCTGTATGCAGAATAGTAGTTGTCGTACCGGAAGTCGATTATATCCAGCACTACCACGATTTCTAAATATTTATACGAGTGATAAATGAAGAGTATGACATTCTTTTTATCACCACATGCTTTTTTGTCCCACCCTGTAAATTGTACTTGTTTTCCCGCCGTTTCATTGGCAGCTTCCTCCTATCGCGAACTATTTGTTTGTTCTATATTTTCCCTGACAGGTGAGTAGAGATGACTGGTGGTAGTTTCCTTCTATCACAAATAGTTTTCTCATCGAGTCATACCGTCGCTGTCAGCCGGAAGAACTCCAACCAAGACATCACAAAGTTTGACGTTTTCTTCTCCACATTTCGCTTATTTGTCGTTTTGACCTAGATCTACCTGCGCAGACGTTATTTGTACATAAGTACCTATATTTGAAAAATTCAACATCAGCACGTCGTCCTCATCGGTCTTCATTTATTCTTGTTTCATCTTCCAGACCGTGTGATGAGCGCTGTGATAAACTAATATCTGCTTCACATGTTGTTGTCGTGTGGTACGCTGGTACCGTCGTGAACTCTCTTTTATTGCAAAGCACAACAAGCAAAACGAGAATGAAGAGGAGATCATAACATAAGCAAAAGAACCCACGACATGACCGAAGTTCTAAATCAAGTTGTTGAAAATTTAGTATAAATAAATGGTACGCTTCTTGACACTGAGCTGACATCACGCAGCCTCCACCTACTACTAGTCTTCACAGAGAAGTATAGCTCCTGGCGCTTCAGTTACAGTTCGAAAGAGCGGTAGCAAGCGCGCTTAGCAACTACATGCGGGACTATGCAAACTCGTGGTCGTGGTAATGAAAACATTTTCGGCGAACTTCAGTAATTAAGCAAGGGGAATTGATTTTTTGGAAATATGGAAAAGGTGTCTTCATTGAGAGCACGAGTACAGTAGAGCACAAGATAATGATACTGTGCATGCCGGGAACCAACTAGATGACGATGAGCAGCAATGAAAATAAAGAAATTGAACGATATGGACGAACGCAATAAAAGCTCGAGTTATCATGATTTCGCTTTCGGATGTTGATCCTGATCCAAGCAGATGTAGTTGCAGCCGATGCTAAGAAGTAGGCACAGCAGCTCTTTCGAGGGAAGACAATGAAACCGGACCCGTCCTCTGCTCGAGTCAACGAACTTTAATTTAGGGAAAAAGAAAATGAAAAACAAATACCACACGACGCCGAGTTGAGATGGAGCCAGCTATTCTCCTCGAGATACAGATTTCTTTTTATGGATGTGATGAACTGCATCTTTTTCTTCTACTGTGATACAACGATGAAAAGACGAAGGCTCAGAAGAAGGCATGAAGGCGATCGAGCATCTCGTTCTCGTGTTCACGTATGCTTATGCAGCAATGGCTTGTGGTATTCGTGTTTTGAAATCAAGAAGATGAACACGAAACCTCGAAGAAGTCAATAGAAAAACAGAAAACAAAAACTTGCGATCCTTGAAAGAACAAAAACCATTCCAAGTAGAGAAGATCGCGAGTTCCAAGAACTCCATGCAGTTCCAGAAGATCTAGATCACTGCCTGTCGCGTCCACCGTTGTTCCTCGCTTTCGATCTTGTCTTCACATATGGTTTGAGTTTCTGTTGTTCTTGTGGTCGTGCTGTCACCAGCGTTCATTCTTCAGCACCGGAAGTGGAAGAGCGATTCAGCGAGTGTCCATCTTGTCATCGCTATCATCTTCGGTCGTTTTTGAGTCAGTAGTACAGTATCGATTTGCAGTTTTTATTTCTATAGTTGTGTCCTGAAAATTTTTTTGTAGTTGAGAGCAACAAGTTTATTACCTTGTAACCTGGAAAAATCTTTTCACGCGAACCAGTCGCCGCACTACGCAGGAGCTGCAGGTGTCGTATCGGCGGCGATGATTATTCAACAGACGAACGAGGACAATGGCAATATAATCACATTCACAAGAAGCAGAGCAATAGATGAAAAGCTCGCCATGATGACTACATCGCGAACTTGTTCAATAAAAATGCATCATGCACATATGCGAAGAAAAAGATCTATAGCTGCTAGCGTCGTCCGGTGGTCGCTGTTTCATCTACAACTCACGGAGATCTTCATTCTCCTCCTGCTGCCGGGCCACGACCTCCTCCGCACATCAACCCCGGGTGTAGTACTCGCCAGCTCCTTTCGCGGGTGGGTGAACCCCCTGAAGTACCAATCTTTCGACCCGGCGACGGGCGAGCAGATACTCTCGCTGTTCCCCAACCTGAACGACGGAGAAAATGTCCATCAGGTCGAAGCCGCAATCCAAAGCCACGCCGAGGCAGAACACCTGTGGCGGGTAAACCTGGTGGAAAACCGACAGAGAAGCCTGGTCGGGGCCACGGACTGCGACCTCGGACTCAGCACCACGGAGTATTTACCGCATTTTGAGTTGCTTCTGAACTCGACAGTGATGACAGGTAACACTGGCCGCGGTAGAAGTGGTAAAAAGAATACGGGGAAAAGACGGAGAGGAGGACGCGGCGGGGGTGCGTCAGCGTCTAAAGACACAGCCGCGAATAAAGGAGCTGCGAGCGCGAAATCATCCAAGGCAGCAGCTGCAATATCGTCAGCCGGTGATGTGGTTGAGGACCACGACCTAGGGGACGACAACCACAGCGAAAACGAAGATGCCGTTGCCACTACGTCCTCGTCTCGCCTGCTTACTTGGACTTTTCTCAACATTGGCGCGTACGATGGAGTGTCCGAAGATCCCGTGTACCCGGTGGTGAAAAAGTTCCCGAAGAAAATGCGTGGCCTCTACGTGGAAAAAGACCCGGAAATGTGCAAACTCGCGGCGCGGAATCTGTTCCCCACAACGCCGCAAAGCGTAGTTCTCTGTGTGGGCCTGACGCCCCGCAACGTCGTGCCGGTAGTCAAAATGGGGGCGAGGGTGCTGTTTGAAGAGGAAACGCAAACCACCTCTGCTCCGGGAGAAAGCAAGGACAAATCGCTGCGCATCGTGCACGAAGAAGAAGTGCTGAATATTAGTGCTTCAAAGACAACAACAGCTGCTTTAGAAGGCCTGTCAAGTAACCCTGTACTCTCAACAAGTAGTACCAGTGCTGGTTTGGATGGCCTGCACTTTGACTTGATCAAGATCGACATTGATTCCTACGACGCTGACCTTTTGGATGCCCTGCTTCGCCACGGCTTCTCCGCAAAACACTTTCTCTTGGAAGTGAACCCAGGGATTCCCCCTCCGCACAAGTTCGCGACGCGCTTTCACCCTAAGCTGTTCGATGCAATGCTGCAGCCGGAGGATGAAATTGTAGGGAAAAGGGACTCTAAAAGTAAAAGCAAAAGAACCAAAACTAGTCCGCAAAAACAAAATGACTTGCTCACGTCGACATATTACGAAGAGGCGGATCATGACAGCGACGTAGACCACAGCAAAGAAGTCGTGAAGAGCAACTCCGAAGATGAACCCGAAATATCTTCAAGAAACGACGTCGATGATGATGCAGCTCCTGTCGTGTATAAGATGCACAACTGGCCGTTACGTGGTATGAGCCTCAGCTACGCGGTGAGCGTGATGGCCACTGCGGGGTACGATTTCGTCACGTTTGGGTATCACGACGCGTATTTTGTGAATCACCGTTATCGCGAAATCTACAACTTCAAGGCACCGTACGACGAATTCGACTGTTTTCACAAGGCCTTCATCACCATGAACGGAATTCTGATCAGGCAAACGCGGGACTGGTTCTACCGCTTACCCGTGGAGAACGCACACGCGGAAATTTTCAAGCATATGGTGAAGCACTCTTTGACGAATACAGGAGGGAAGTACGCATTTCCCTTCTCCTTGAGCTATTGACAAAGTAGCAACAGGACGAGTAGAGACGTTGATGTGCCAGTTTATCTTTTCAGAGCGCCCGATTCTGGCGCTCTACTCATACTTCGGCGAAGCTGCTTAACATGAGGATGAGTGTTTAGAGTTGATGGAAGTAAGGACGAAGCGAAGGCAATAAATCACGCCGAATTTATAAAACGGCGGAAAATAAACCAAAGCAAACCTTGTTTACGTAACTCTAACTAGTACACCAGATCTCAGCGCTACTCCTGTTAGTTACAACTGGGCAGCCGCTGGCGCTGTATACTCACTCGGCTGACGAGGCGAGGGCTCTGCGAGGGATCATAGGGAATCCCCGGCACACCAGCTGCACCTGCTAAAGTCTGTAACATGTTGTACTTGTATGTACAGCGCTGTTCAGTAGATGAACAAGATACACTACCTTACCTTCCCGTACAACTACCATCAACAGGCCTTGCATGCTTGCAGGTGCAGCAGAGAGGTTGGGCACTGAGTGAAAGAAATGGAGCTTCCTTGAGGGAGGGAGGGGCACGACCAGGGCGCAACCAAGCGGAGGGCAGCAGGAGATGGATTAACGGGCTGCACCTTGTCTAGCGGTTCCGCTACCTGAGGGTGTTGAGGATTAGGAAATCCACCAAGTCTGTTTACTATTACATTAGAATCTCCAATGTGTCCAGCAAGTGTTTTTAGACATTAACGAAATAAAGCACCTACATCTTCACGGCAAAGAATCCTCCATCGCGGAAAAGTATACCAGTGCAGCTGCTGTCTGCACCATGTCTACTGCACCGCAAGAACGACAACCCGCGCCGACTCAAAGCGACCGCTCTTCGCCATCCAGCAGTAGTTCGTCGAGTGATGAGTCCTCGTTTCGCGATGACCCCGAAATCGCCGCGGTGCTGGAGCGGCAGCGGCTTCGGTACGCCAAGGAATACGCCCACCGGGGCACGGAGTTCACACAAATCACGCCTGAATTCGAATTGCGCCAGCAACTTCTAGGGCAAGAAATACCACAGGGTGCTGGAGGAGCTACAGGCACTGCACTTCCGGCCGGAGGTGGGGAGGCGGGGGCAGCTGTGCCGCTTTCTGCTGCGAGTGCCGGCGCTGCTCCGACCAGGGGTTACACCATGTCGTCGGGAAGTGCAGCTATGGCACAAGGAGGGTCTTACCTTCAAACAGGCCTAGGATCTGGGGGCGGCGGTGCTTCAGGTACTTATGTCATCCATGTGTATGTTCATCAAGTACAGTAGAGCAAAAAAAGGTGGAGCGATTTCAGTGCAGTCTCCATGACACGAAAAAAGTGGCAAGAATTGCCTGTCTCGACCAAATAAATGTTGCGGCTGCCGCTAAAAATTGTGTAGTTTAAACCCATGCCCATGAAGGTCGTACCGCAGGAGCAGCGTATACCGCCTACGACACATCAGCCCTTCCTCGAACAAACCCGGCCCCTGTGTACGTGACAGAAGGCCCCGTACAACTTCCGACCCAAACGGCATCCGGATGTTCCTCTGGTTTCGTTCCCGCAACGTCCAGCCGCGACGATTGGCCGCAACGGGACCGCGATACGACGATGGCTACGTTGCGCCGACAGCTGCAGGACGAGCGGGAGCAGTATTTGCGCGGACTGAAGCAGTGGGAAGAGGAACGCACGACGTTTTTGGAGGAGATCCGGACCAAGGACCGGATTATCCACCAGCTCGAGCAGGAATTGATCGAGCGACCCTCGCATCGGGACATCGCGACCATGCGTACTAGTCATGTTTTGCTGTAGTCAACATGTTGTACATGTACTAGCTGACTTATCACAAGCTAAAGCTTTCGGTCTTCTCTTCTTGTATGTTCATATTCTGTTCTGCAGAATCTAGCTCTACTCTACTGCATCTACCTCGCATCTCCCCCTAGGTGCCGAGCTGCAGCGAGCGCGCGACCCCTCCGGGCAGGTGAAACAGACGTGGAAGAAGGCGGACCCGCGAACCATGATGGACGCCGACCGCAAGCTGCATTCGCTGAACCGGCGGCGCAAAATGAAGAATCTGCCGGAGCTGGAGCACCTGGACCCGATCGAACTGCGGCGGTTCTGTACCGCGGTGCTGATGCAGCTGAAGCTGGCCGACCTGCAGGAGGGCGAGAAGGCGATCGAGATGATGTGCAAGATGGTGGAGCGAAGTCTTCTATGCATTGCAAAAGTATCGTAGTCCTCGTACTAGTAGTAATTGCATTACAAGTTGGCCCAGCATGGCAAATGGAATTTGTCATGCTGTTTTGCCTTGGGATGGAGATTTGTAATGCATGACTGGGATTACTACGAGTGCGATACTTTTGCACAGGATATCTTCCCAACCTCCGGGCGTTTGCCGAGGAAATCTACCGCATCTACGCGGGCGCCGGGCTCGGGTCCGGCGGCTCGACGGGCGGCGGCGCGGGGGGCAGCGGCGTCGCCGCGTTTCGGGCGCGCTTTCGCGATTTCGGGGACTGTCTGGACGAGGAAAACGACTACGTCGACCAAGACATGCTGGTAAAGAAAATCCGCAAGTGGAAGCTCGATGCCATGAGCCTGGAACACTGGTTCAAATTCTTCGAAGGTATAACGCATGCCCATCATCATGATGCATAAGTAACAAATTTTCTCTATCATGCATGCTATGCAATACAAATTTGGGCATCTTCGTTTCCCGCGCATGCGTGCATGCCAAATTCCAATCACGTTCACGTCATTTAGCAGTTTTATTTCGTTTTTGGTGTCATATTACGGCATTTTTATCAGATCTTCTCGCCGCCCTGGCCACCCGACGGTCCACTGGCGGCAAGGTTCTCGGCGGGCCGTCGCTGGTGCGGAACGCCCAGCTTGTTGACGAGGCGATCGACGGTTTGATCGGGGGAGAGAAGGTCAGGAAGAACTTACTGACAACCGGCGATAAAAATCTGAAATCATCTCTATCTTCCAGCGAGAACAACCCCAACATGCCTTCTGCAACCCTGACCGCGCTGGAGAGGATGCGCAAAGACAAAATACAGACGGAGAAGACGCGGGACGAGATCCTGCTCGCAGTGCAGGGATTGGTGGAGTTCGAAAACCGAATTCTGCAAACGAAGAAGTTTTTCGCGGAGGTCGACGTGGACTTGCAGAGCAGCCAGGATTTGGTCATGAAGATTGTGCGGCACTTCATGCAGCTGTTTGACGTGAAGGAACTCGAAGGGGTGTTGCCCGCGATGAACACGGTCTTCGCTCGGCTACATGAGCTGAAAAACTTCTGGAAGACGCTGTGTGTGGAACTCCGGGTCGACGCGAATTTGCCGCCGTCGAAGATTCTAGAGCGGCTCGCGAGTGAGCAGCGGAGTAAAAGTGCGGGTTTTTTAGGTGGTGGGTTGACGGGAAGAGGAGAGGACCACGAGCAGGCCGACTACACGACGCCGACGAGTGCAGCGTAACGTGCTTACTTCATCAGCTGTTGAAAGAGGGTCAAGGTCGTTAGTAGTTCCAACGCTGAAAATCCCAGCTGTGTTTTCGACGACGCAACTGGAATGAAGCGGAAACCACATGGATGATTGAGGTGGCCGTGGTGATCCACATTTTCGATTTTGCAAAAATCGCGAATCGCAAGAGAAACTCGTCTGTGGTTCTGGAGCGAGCAGGGCGATGCGGATCATACAGCAACTGCAATCAGTTCAACATGAACTGCACTCAATGTCGTGGTTGTCAGCGCCGCAAACGGAAGTAAGCTAGTCGTGGCAGTCGCAGCTGAAATACTACCTACCCTGCACCTGCTGATTGGTAGACTGCGCAAGTGCCTTGTCCGTGGCGTGTTCTCTACAAGAACATAAGAAGTGCGCACAAGAACTTTTGCCTTCCGCATCTGAAGAAAAGTGAAAGTCAGCTGTTGAAACCCCTTTCACCGTTTCATCTCTCCATTGGCTTCATAAAACCCCCTGTAAGTAGTCGTCCCAGTTACTGTAGTGGACACCCTGGCGGCCGCGGCGCCAGCTCGGCGTCCGAGTTCGGTCCGCACTAGTCAAAATGTGCACCAGGTCCGCGTTTCTGAGGTCGAGATCCTGACACCTGACTCGTCAGAAGTCGACCCGTTCTTACGGGGTGTCGGGGCCGGAGAAGGTGAGTATGACACTCTCTTGTCGAAAAATGTTTTTCGTCCTTCCACCGCGGCTTTATTTGGCCATCTGTGCCTACAACTGGAACTGGTGGAGCGCCACGACCCACACCCTCCCGGGCACGACGCCTTTCGTTGCCGCTCTCGACGTTGGTGACCAATCGAAAAACGATAAGAGCTTCGGGTATTTGCGTCGTCTCTTGAAACGGTTGGAGCCAGCACATAAAGATTCTGGGGCGGACTTCTGCGGACAAGTGTGCAGCAGCACGAGTGAAGTAATACAACACGATGATGTTTTAGAAGAAGATGCAGACGGAAAGAAATCGAAATCTCCTCTTTCCCTGCTGCAAACTGCTTCGGGCTTATCCTCCACCTCTACCTCCACCAAAAAACTGCGCACATCTTCCCTCCAGCGGCAGAAACGCGCTTGCGGCTGTCCGCGTTCGGAGACAAACACGCGCAGCGCGACGAAAAGCGAGATTCTCGTCGCCGACCAGTGCACGGTGACAGAGAAGGACCAGCTGTTACTCGGCGTCCGCAAGACCGCGTTTATCAGTCAGGGCGTTCTGCTGGACACGACGAAAGCCTACGTTTCCTCCTGCGCAGAGTGCGAGCGACACAGCTTAGCCTGTGCGGGAACCAATGTCGAGATCAACGACGGGCAGTGCTTGTGCGTGTGGCACGGTGGCGGCGAGAAGAAGCAGATGCTGCAGCTCCCCTGCAATTCCTGCGTACCGCAGTGCATCGGGCGGGTGCGGATTTTTGAAAGCACCAAGCCGTATGAACCAGACTACGTGGAGGGCATGTGCGTACAGAAAAAGGACCTGGAAATGCCGTAAGGCGGGGGTTTACTTTTGAGTTTTTCTTTTCCATGATGCAGCGTCAAGAATTTCTGCAAGACAGAGAGACCGTGGTGTGATGGTCGTACATGTTCCTCTCTAGCAAAGGAAGGATAGCACACTACTCCTACCAGCGGGCTGCACCGCGGCTGGAACAAAATGAAAATTTCTCCTGTTCGCCAGCATTTTCGTGGAAAAGGAAAACAGAAATTCCAAAGTACAGACGGAAAGCTCCTGGCTGCGATCATTCGTTTTCTTTTTTCATCTCTCGTTTTGTTTTGTGATCCGCGTGATCTTCGGCCGAACAGCAGTAGATATTCAGATCTACAGCTGCTCAGCTCTTTTGTAAAGAGCAATGAAGCGATCTTGTACGTTCAATGAAGTTGTCAGATTGGAAGCAGTGGATCGTGGCCTTTCGAGAAAGCGATCATCTCAGTGGTCCTTCGCGTTTTATCCGCCGATCATCGTAAGCAGGTGGACAAGCGAATTTTGAAATTGTCCATCGAGACTGCCTCCACCGGAAGCCGAGGCACGCAGAGAGAGAAATACGGATCTATTTCTGGGTCTCTTCGTTGTAGTTGTTCTGGGTGTGGCTCTGATTTGGCGCAATCTGTTTACGAATAGAAGTTGTAGTTGATTCTGTACGACCATCCATGTCTGCATTTATCGCGCTTCTTGATGGTACATCAACTTAGCCATCTATGTTTCGATAAAAAAGGTACCGCCACAGGGTAAACTGCAGGGGCGCTCTTTTCCTTTCTCTTGATGAACGTGGTAACGATGAGAGCAGGAGCCGCGATTCCGAGAAATTTTCCTGGATCATTAGGACGACCTCCGCTGAGTCGTCGGGCATCTTCCGTATGCTGCAGCATTGCGTCGAACGGAGTTGTGGCTGGGGTTACTTCAACATCTTCTAGCAGCTCCTCCTCTACCTCTTCGTCGTCGTATTCGACCTGTCGTGTCGCACCAGTTTCGTGTCCATCTTGCTGCACTACAACTAGCCCCTCCCATCTGGTGGTGCACAGGTCTTGTCGCGCGGTCTCTTCACTCGCTCAACAACCCGGTTGTGAGCACGAGGGTGACGCGCTCTCCGCATTGGACACACCTGTAGCTACAAGTGGTCTTCTTCGTAATAGCGGGGGGTCCTCGTCCGGCAGCACTGGACATCATGTTGCTGCACATGCTGGACAAGAAGCTCGTGGAAGTAGCGGAGGACGATCACGAGTTTCGAACGATGAAGGGAGAGATCATGGAAGAGCGATGTTTACATATGAAAAAGCAAGCAGCAGCAGCAGCAGGATAAATCCGCCGCCATTGCAGCAGCACGATCAACCATATGTCGAAGAGTCTAGTTCTACTCCTGCAGATGCAAGAACCTCCAACGTGCGAGGACCTAAACACGGATACGACCGTTATTTGCGGAGCGGTCAGGGCAGAACTATTGCCGTTGCGGAAGATGAAGATCCTTACCTTCTCCGTAGAAATAGGAACAAGGATTCCCATGGAGGTCTTTGGAATAGTAAAGGGAAAAAGCGCACTGAAGATGAGGAAGTTGTTGATCCCGAACAGCTCCAGCGGTACGAGGAGGACTTTGCTACCGGCGAAAGTTACGGGATAGGCACCACAAGCTCGTCTAGTACTTCAACATCTTGCGGAGGCGATTTTTCCTCTCGTGCAAGTGCCAGCACGACCGAGGAAATTATCAGAAACAGAGATTTAAGTATGTCGATGCATCGTCGTGCTGCTGTTGACCAAAGTGATGAACGAACGGAAGATGGACAGTGTCAGGGTGCTGCGGATCTGACTGCGACTTCCGGAAGCTCCACAACTTCCTTCTCGTCCCATCCCTTCGCCACGGCGTCCTTCGCGTCGCAGCAGCCGCTCACGACGCCAAAGCGGTGTCTCGGATGCGGGTCCAGGTTTCAGTCCAGCAGCCCCTCGGAGCCCGGATACGTGGACGCGCACATTCGCGCGCAGTACAACGGCGGCCGGAAGCGGATTCTGAAGCACCCGCGGGGCTTACCCGTGGACGACGTCCCCTATGGCGTCGAAGTAACGCGAAACGACCAGAACCGCTTTCGCCAGGTGACCAGGTTGCTGGTCTGTCAGCGCTGCTGGCGGCTGCAGCAGTACAAGTGCCTGCCGCCGCTGCCGACGCCATCAACATGCCGAGGGAATAAAGAACTGTTAGGAGATGAGGAGAAAGAGCCTGGAAGTCGTCAGGGAAAGGAAGTGGTCCAGAACACCGAGTGTGCGGAAACCAAGAGAAGCAATGAAAATGACAATGAATCAAAAACGAGGCAGCATGATGCTAGTGATGTCGCAGTAGATCGCACCATAACAGACACCACTCGTGCGGCCCGCGGCCCTTCCGATGTACCACGACAGTTGAACGAGAATATGAAGAAAGAGAAACCTCCGCAAGTAGAACGCGCCAGGAAGAAAACAACCACTGCGGCGATGATTTCCCCAATTTCCATGTTGCAAAATCCCTTTTACAAGGTCGACGAGGAGACGGGGGCTTTGTACAAGCACCCCAACGAGATTGTGGACAAAATCGTGCAGCAGATCCGGCCGCACTCCGTCGTGCTGCAGGTCGTCGACCTGTTGGATTTCGAAGCGAGTCTCTGTCCGGAACTCTACGTGGCCTGCCGGAACCGCCACTGCTCCGTCTTGTTCGTCTTGAACAAGTTGGATTTACTTCCCGCGAAAGCCAACGAGCAGCGGATCAAGCTGTGGGTGCGGCACATGGCACGGCAGGTGCGAAACGTGAAGTCTGCCGATGTCGTGCTCGTGTCCGCCGCGACGGAGCGGAATTTTGACCAGCTGGAAGAGCGCCTCAAGTACTACATCGCAGACGCACTGGACCAGGAAGAGGAGAAGAGAAGTGGGACGAGGAATGATGAAGATGAGCATGAGCATGACCAGGGCCGCAATAGAAGTGTCAAGAAGTACCAACTGTCGGCAGGAAAGACCGCTATTAACACTGGTGGTGTTAGTGATCATCAGGACGATATCTTCAGTACTACGACATTGTCGTCATCCGGTAAAAAAGAAAACGGTTTGCAGCTCTTAACGCCCGAACAGCAAATGGAAATCGAGAACAAGAAGCACATCTACGTGACGGGCCGGGTGAACGCCGGAAAGACGACGTTTGTCGAGCGGTTTCTGCTATGAATGATGAAGAAGTTGTATATATGATCCGCATGTGAATTTGGAATTTTAGTCATGCTACAGAGTAGCATGGATGAGCATTACCATTAGGTGGTAGAAGATTTGATTTGAATTTGTGTTGCAGGATGATTGCAGCGAACAGTAGTACGACGAATACTTGAAAAATACTACAACATCTGCATTGCATATCTGAAGTACATCGGATATCGACACCTTCCGACGATCGACTGGAAGCGGGGTTGCGGAGGCATCACCCGCGCCCCCTTACCTGGGACAACTGCGCATTTCTTGTCGTTTTCCCTGCCCCGAAATTTCAAGCTCATCGACACACCAGGCGTCCCCTCCACGCACCAGATGACGAGCAAGTTGCTGCCGGGTGGCAGTCAGCAGCAGCTTGAGGGTTCTGCTGACGGTGGAAATACCAATCTTCCGCAACACTGTCTGCAAGACCTGTACGATGTAGTCCCCCGTTCGCAGCTCCAGCCGGTCACATACGCACTGAAACCCGGGCGCAGCTTGATCATTGGCGCCCTCGCCCGGATTGACCTGCTGGAGCCGAGCACCTTCGCGTTTGTGACGTGCTTCTTCTCGAAAAACGTGACTTTGCACGTGTGCAACACGGGCAAAGCCGAAGACGCGATGGAGCGGAAGGCGGGGTCCTTTTTCTACCCGCCGCACCTGAAGGAAACGTTTGCGAAGTTCGACTTTGTGAAGCACAACGTCCGTGTCTTCGGCAGTAACCACCGCGCATGGTATCCAGGAAAAAACACCCATCCATTTTTTGCAGGACAAACAAAGGAACTTACGCATGAATTGCATGACAAATTCAATGGAAGTGGGTGTTTTTTCCTGGATACGTGGGACGACATTGCGATCGCCGGGCTTGGTTGGGTGGCCGTCAGCGGGTTCGGCAGCAAGGAGTTCGCGGTGCACGTGCCCAAGGGCGTTAAACTGTTCCGCCGACCCAGCATGATGCCCTGGGAGCTGTGCGTGAACGGCGTGCAGAAATTTTCGCACCGCCACCGCGCCCGGGGGTCCAGTGTGGCCCGGAAGAAGAAAAAAATGGTGCAGCTGCTGCGGGACCGGGATCGGAAGTACGCTTTGTGCGCGGAAAGGGAAAAGCTGGAGGAAGATCGGGAGGGCCGTGGGAGAGATGGAGAACTGGAAGTGGCAGCAGGAGGAGGAGGTGCTGACCAATTTACTTCATCAGGGGAACAAACACTACACGGAGGAGCAGCACCACTAGATAGTAGTCAGCCTGAAGATGCAAGTAGGATCATGCGACCTTTTACTAACGCTAGTACAACGACGTCGAAACAAGACGACTTATTTCCATACCGCGGCACAAGAAAGGCAGGAACAACAACCGCCGCGCCTTTCTCTTCTGCTATTTTCGGCTCCGGAAAACTTGCATCGACTGGTGCTGCGGGGGAGGAAAACGAAAATTCTAGGGTGTTGGGAGGTCAGTTTTACCGTCATGAAGTAGACGAAGGCCATCGTTGTAGTTGCGAGACTAGCCGCTCCACCACCTCCGGGAGGACCACGGATCATGCGCAGAACGTAGTGCCTTTCGTCGACCCGAGTCTGTTTCTTGTGCACGAAGATGAGCCATGTAGAGGTACTAGGAGTGGTGCCAGAGTAAATGCAGCTGCTGCCGGTAAAGGAGCCAAGTGTTCGTCCGGTGAGACGACGACAAACGGAGGGATAAAGGAACACCAAGAGGCGTCAGCTGGTCCTGAGGAAGCCATTTCAAGTCATGACGATACCGAGCAACATTTTTCTTCCGCCTCTGCAATAATCGAGGACCACGACGAGGAAGCAGACGCGCCCGTCTTGGAGTTGCGCATTTGATTGGTGCGGGTTGGTTGAGGTGTTTCAACTTCGCCACCTGATTCCAAGCATTTCAATTGCACAAAAACAGAGCCACCAATATAACAGAGTTGTCACACAACGAGGACCATCAAACAACAGTATGTACTAAAGCGAAGCTATAGCTAGCTGATGTAGGTGAATATTACCGTGAAGTCGAAGCCGAAGTGGGAAAGTTTCCTTAAGGACCCCATCTGCACATATGAAACAATGGAGACACCAAAATTTCGCGCAGCCGCGACTTTCGTCAGCTTGTTCGTCACAAACTTTGAGCCCTCCATCTGCACAGGGAACTACAACATGCAACTCCGCCGACTTCCGCTTGAAGAGCCGGGAAAAAATGGCTGCTATTTGGTTTAGCAGCCATTTTTCACCGGAAGGTGAGGCCGGTCCAGGTGACCGGCCAGTCCACCTTGCCTACCCGCCCACCCACCGACAAAATAAGTGTAGTGCTTTTTTTTACCGGCAATAAAAATAAATTTTTAAAGTTTCGCGGTTTTTTGGAGGCGATAAAAATAGAATTTTGAAAATTCGCGGATGGAAAAATAGTTGCTCTTTCCGGTAGACGCACCTCGGCAAAATGGCTGCTATTTGGTTTAGCAGCCATTTTCGCCCTGCGCTTCCCCTTGACGAGGCGGGGAAAAATGGCTGCTATTTGGTTTAGCAGCCATTTTTCCCCGGAAGCTCCCCTTGAAGAGCAGGGGAAAAATGGCTGCTATTTGGTTTAGCAGCCATTTTTCCCCGGAAGTTCCCCTTGAAGAGCAGGTGAAAAATGGCTGCTATTTGGTTTAGCAGCCATTTTTCCCCGGAAGCTCCCCTTGAAGAGCAGGTGAAAAATGGCTGCTATTTGGTTTAGCAGCCATTTTTCCCCGGAAGCTCCCGTTGAAGAACAGGTGAAAAATGGCTGCTATTTGGTTTAGCAGCCATTTTTCCCTAGGAGCTCCCCTTGAGGAGCAGGTGAAAAATGGCTGCTATTTGGTTTAGCAGCCATTTTTCACCGGAAGGTGATGCCGGTCCATGTGACCGGCCAGTCCTCCTTGCCTACCCGCCCATCCACCGACAAAATAAGTGTATTGCTTTTTTTTACCGGTGATAAAAATAAATTTTTGAAGTTTCGCGGTTTTTCGAACGCGATAAAAATAAAATTTTGAAAATTCGCGGATGGAAAAATAATTGCTCTTTGCGGTAGAACCACCTGCGGGGCAAAATGGCTGCTATTTGGTTTAGCAGCCATTTTCGCCCTGCACCTTGACGAGCCGGGGAAAAATGGCTGCTATTTGGTTTAGCAGCCATTTTTCCCCGGAAGTTCCCCTTGAAGAGCAGGTGAAAAATGGCTGCTATTTGGTTTAGCAGCCATTTTTCCCCGGAAGCTCCCCTTGAAGAGCAGGGGAAAAATGGCTGCTATTTGGTTTAGCAGCCATTTTTCCCCGGAAGTTCCCCTTGAAGAGCAGGTGAAAAATGGCTGCTATTTGGTTTAGCAGCCATTTTTCCCCGGAAGCTCCCCTTGAAGAGCAGGTGAAAAATGGCTGCTATTTGGTTTAGCAGCCATTTTTCCCCGGAAGCTCCCGTTGAAGAACAGGTGAAAAATGGCTGCTATTTGGTTTAGCAGCCATTTTTCCCTAGGAGCTCCCCTTGAGGAGCAGGTGAAAAATGGCTGCTATTTGGTTTAGCAGCCATTTTTCACCGGAAGGTGATGCCGGTCCATGTGACCGGCCAGTCCTCCTTGCCTACCCGCCCATCCACCGACAAAATAAGTGTAGTGCTTTTTTTTACCGGTGATAAAAATAAATTTTTGAAGTTTCGCGGTTTTTCGAACGCGATAAAAATAAGATTTTGAAAATTCGCGGATGGAAAAATAATTGCTCTTTGCGGTAGAGCCACCTGCTGGGCAAAATGGCTGCTATTTGGTTTAGCAGCCATTTTCGCCCTGTACTTCCCCTTCACGAGCCGGGGGAAAATGGCTGCCATTTGGTTTAGCAGCCATTTTTCCCCGGAAGCTCGGTGATCTTTGTTAGCAGCCATTTTTCCCCGGATGTTCTTTGTCCGTGTTCCCAGTGCCGAACAGGATGTTGATAATTACAGAACATCACACGCACACCTCAAAACGATTTTTTTTTTAGTTCGTCGTTCGTGAAAAACAGTGATTGCTGAAAAAAGGGCACCGACGAGCGATATAGTCGAGCTTTTGTTTTCGTTTGTCTAACAATATCAACCACGAGAGAAGGACGCATACAAAAGACAGACCGCATTTTTTCCGGAGGCTGAGGCGAGAGAAGTTTCGCTCCGGAGGCTGAGCGAAACGAGACGAGTGCGTTTGTGCTGAACAAGTACCACCGAAATTGGCTTCATCGAGACATGCCGGAGAAGAGAGGACGGATGCTAGTCTGTTGACAGTTTCTTCGCCTTTAATATGTTGACATGCGAGCGACGAAAGCCAAACTACAAAAAGTCAACGAAAACCGTTGCGCTATGTTCATCACAGACTTATTTGACAAGGCAAGAATTCTTGTCGCGCAGGCTCTTTCGTACCTGTCGTGGACGAGAAGTTATAGATTTGGATTGCATTTGGGATTCTATACACCTTCACCTTTACCGAATATTGATAAGTAAATTCTAGTAGGGGTCGAACAGGTTCAGTCTAACTCTAAGGCTTAGAGTCGAACAGATTTCAGGCATCAAACTCTAGTAGGCAAAAAAAAAGTAGAAGTGCCAGAAAGAAAAATCATGGAGGATCACCGCGAACTGACTCAGGGGCAAAAGATTCAGAAACACATCGATGACGGCACGTACCAGATTTGGCAAACTGTAACCCTCGGTAAAGAATCTGCGGAGAAATACCCGATTGATGTGATCCTCACGTCCTCGCCCGTATTAGCCCGAGCAAGCCATGGATAACTATAGGAGCGCGCTGCCGCTGTCCGTTTCCACTTTGTCAGTCTGTGGTCCTTCTTATTCGCATGCGGTCCATTTGCATTTAATTTGCTCGTCGCAGCAGTAACAGTATTGCTAGGCCGGCACAGAAGGTCGCTTTTTCCTCCGCCCATGCATGTCATATCTTTGCCTGTTTCTGTATCAGAGCAGCCAGTGGTGCCAGAATTTGTATTGTAGGACCATTAGTAGCATCGTGTTGACTGACTGTACGTGGGACCATGCTCCTTAGTTTTCTCTTTGATACGGGGCTTGGACGGTCCAGCAATTCGATGTGTTCGACGAGTGGCTTCATATGAGGGGAGGAGATCTCGGTCTCCGCGCATCGTCGCGCGGGACGGCGACCGCAGGCACCACCATCCATCGCGAAAGAAGTGGGCGTTCAAGCAGACCTCGGTCCCCGCGCATCGTCGCGCGGGACGGCGACCGCAGGCACCACCATCGCCAAAAAAGTGGGCGTTACGGCCGAAGCGGTGGTACACTCTTACAAGGGTGAAAAACGTATTCGCTTTCAAAATTCAAATTTTTTTGAGGCCCCTTTACAGCATCCGGCCCGACTGTCCTCATCCGCGTCACCCGGCTCAGCGGCCCCACAAGCGGCTCCGGATTCTCCGACCTATCAATTCCTTTTTTTTGAGATGTAGCCTGATAGTGATGAATGAGAATGCGAATGAAGGTATGTAGCTTGTCGCGGTGATAGCTAGTGTAAAGTAGATAGCATTTGAGACGTTTTGTGACAGATGTCGGCAGCAGGTAGACACTCATCAGCGACAGGAGCCTCCCAGCAATGCCATCCGGTCTGGGCACCAGTCCGAAGCGCCGCGGCTAGTGATCGACCACGCCCAGACTCGACAACAGTTCTCCCACTGGTTCCGGTGAAACGCCCGCCATCTCTTCGGGACTCAATATTCGGCGTCGAATGTCGTTGCGAGGTGCAGCTTGTCAAGGGAGAAATTGGCGGCGTAGAGGCTCTATGCTTTGCAAAAATATCGCACTGTTATAAATTGCGACACAATATTAAATTTTTCAAGGAGACAGCCGGGATTTGTGATGCGTAGTACGTTAGGACAACAGATCTGTAGACGCATGGCTGCAATTTATGTTGGTGTGATACTTTTGCAATGGATAGGCTCCCCGAGAATGTGCCCCACTCCTTCGAAATATTCAAGAGACTCCGCTGTAGGTTCCGGATCCTTCGTCATCCCATGAAAAACGAATCACCCCCTGCCAAATTTGTATTGCTCTTTCGTCTTAGTTATGCATGACAAATTCACACACCGAGCCGAAACTGCATTACAAATCTTCGCAAGACCGCGGCACTTTTGCGCAGTTAGATATACCAAAAAACTTGTCACGCGCGATATGTGCAGCCTGTAACGCAGGGACCATTTTTAGCCCAGGATGATAGGGAGTCGCAGCTCCCCGGCATGCATGACAAATTCAGCATGGCAATCTGCGCCATGCCACGAAATCAGCAATACAAATTTGGTCAACAGGGGTGACGTTTTTCCGTGCATATCTGCAGGTCGGACAGCTTGCCACTCCCATGGTTCTCCGCGTGGTCATTCCCTTGCTCGTCCTCATCCATTCCTGCGCTTGCTGCAAATGGGTTCTCCGGACCGTCGTAGCCGTGTCGGGCGGAGCAGCATAAAGACCGTCGACCCCCGGCGGCTCGACGTCCTCGTTAGGTGGAAGCGTCTCGGGGTCGACCTCTTCGGGGTGGACGGCCAGCAGCTGCACGACGTCGCCAAACTGTGGATATCCTATCGTATGGAAAAACGAACCCACAATGTGGCTGCATCGCAATTGCCAAAATATGAAGCCTTGCATGACAAAATCGCGACCGCGTCGAATTTCCTGCATTTTTACAAATCCTCTATATTGCGTGACAAACTCCCTACCTTGCATGACACATCCACTCAATTCGCCATGCTCAAGCTGCGACGCTAATGCCCATGCACAAGGCTGCGACGTGAATTCCCACTGTGGGCGCGTTTTTTGTCCCGGATAGCGGCCAGCTCATGCAAACACGCCAACAGAAGCCCGGAACTTTTGGGAAACCACCCTACTACCATCTGCGCGCCGAGCCACCGCATTCGGGCGATGCTCGCTATCTTTGTACCAGGAAAAGAGTTTTGCAACATTTTGATAACCTGAGTCGACATGGCCAAACCTTGACCACCAGAAGGACCAAAACCGTGGCCATTTGCGTCGGTCATCTGAAGGGCTTTGGCCGCACATAGGAAGGGGCATAAAAATCGAGTGAGTACCTTTTTCCGCTCCTGTAAAAAAGGTATTCGCGATTTTTGGGTGCCAAAAAAAGGTATTCAAGGGGGGGGCATAAAGGAGGGTCAAGGGCACGCCTTGAGCGAGGATTATTCGGGCTCCCGGGAGGCCGAAATAATCATTGCCACGGACCCAACAGCTCTGCGCCCAAGCCTAGTGAAAAGATGCCGCCTAAGTGGTAAATGCTTTGGCCCGGCATCTCGGCGGTTTGGCAGCCCACATCGCGGTCATGTCTGTCTTCGTATTTGAAAGGCCTGCGTGTCGCCTTCGTGGCTGCCAGGCGGTTGGCCGCGCGAGCCAGCCCGCCGCGCAAGCGCTTGCGACTTATTTCCCCCCCGGCGAAAGGCCGCAGGCCTTGAGCGACTTGCGACCGCTTGCGGCACTTGTTGGCGTGCCGGCTGCCCCTCTGGCGCATGCAAAAAAACGGCGCCACCGCTAGCCCATGCGCGCCCGACCCGGAACTGCGCATCTCGCAGTCGGACCTGCCCGCCGAGGGGCGAGCGAATGCGGCCTCTACTCGGAGCAACCATTGCCAAAGGCGAACGCCTTGCGGAAAAGCGCATCGCCCGCGGTTGCTCAAGGCATGCAGCGGGCCCCGTCGGCTCCGCAATCTGTTTGGCCAAGTTTGCGCCCATTTCATTTGGTGGGGCTCCCGACTTACATGGCGGGCCGGGGAGAGGGACGGTCGCAGGCGCTTTCCCCCGTTTTCCCAGGCGGGGCAACGGCCGCGCTAGCGCTTTTTGGGTGGGTGCGGCGCGTTGGGGGTAGTGCGAAAGCATGCCAACACTGCCGCCACAGGTGATAAGAAAAACTATCCGCTCGCGCGCCCGCGGGAGCGCCACTCTGTCGCGTCTTTTATCTTGGGGCGCCAGAACCCCAAATGAGGAAAGCCCCTGCGCCTAGTAGGGGGTCTTCCCGCGCCCCCCCTTCGCCGCGCCATCTCTGGCAAATCCGCCCGGGCAGAAATTGTCTGGCGGACCCGGGCACATTCTTCGGCCATGCGTGATGCGCCAAAGCCGCGCGGGGCTTGGAAATTTGGCGCCAGATTTCCCAAAAAAGGCCCTGCGCTGTGGTGGGCCGTGAGGGGCGAACTCTAGCCGGCCGACATAGCGGCCAACTTAGCGGCCAGCCGCTTTCGTCTCAGAAGCGGGCCACTATGAAGCGCCCCGGCCGTATGGGTGTTTTGCGCCAAAAAATGCGCGCAAACCAAGGCCGGCCGTGGCCTTGCAGCTTTTTCAAGTCTTTGACACGTGCCCGAGCCGGTTCAACTGTTTTCCTGGGCCCAGACCAAAGGTGTTCAAAATTGGGCGGACACACCGCAACAACCCGAGGCAGGTGAAAGAGCGTCGCTTTTTTGTATGAGCGCCAGCTGCCACTAGTCTCCACCGTTCATCTCAGGCCGCAACTATCTTCTGCCAGAGTTTGTCCTTCTTCATTTCTGTTGCGGGGCTTGGTGTTTGGAGTGGTGCCCAACATGCCACTCACGACGATACGCAGCTCCGGGGCGTCGGCGCCGGCAACAATGGACTATGCAAAAAAACGTCTTCAAATGCGAGCTCAAATTTACCCTACCTATCACCGCGACAAGCTAGCTAGATAATAAGACAACTCCAGTGACATCATCAACATACTCCAGTAATTCAGGTAACGAAAAAAGGTCCCGCGACTCACCTGCCCGACGCCTTCCAGTTCAACGAGGCCACCGGCGGGGTCCTATCTGGACCCACCCTCAAGGGGGGCAAAAAAAAATTTGATTTTTGAAAGCGAATACGTTTTTCATCGCTGTAACTCTTGGTTGTTATTTGCTTTTCATCATCTATGCCAACTGTCGTGTAGACATCACTCCTGGCTGTCGGAAGAGGTCAGCCTGCCTTCCTCATCGGGGTCTTGGAAAACTTTCTCTGCATGGTCTGATCAGACGTCTTCATGGCTTGCAGCTGTAGAAAGGTTTCCTCAACCAAAAAAAACAAACAAGGTAAAGACCGCGGCTCCCTTACTCGCGAGATTTGACGTGACATTCAACGTATCGAGCTGGACGTTTCGGAAGTTGAATAAACTCACCGAGCTGGACGAGCTGTGGGCAAACGGTATAGCATTTGAATGTCCATAGATACTTTTCTACAAAGGAGCATGGTATTGCTATTCGTAAAAGCAATTTGCAACCGCGCAAGAAAGAGCGCAAATGTAAGTCATATGATATGCGTTTCGGGACGAGTGTGATGCGATCGTCAGGAGCCGTATTTTGACATGCGTGCTTAGCTGCTACGGCGAGTCTGAGAATACTCATCTGAGCCTGAAACTCCTTTTCAAACAATACACTACGGAAAAACAGGTAATGCCAAGAAGCTGATCATCGACCCCACCGTGTCCATGGCCACGAAACTCGACGAGCAGGTTTTCAGCAGGTTCGTGGCGTCGTCGGTGGAGCAATTTCGCTCCGACCGCACGAAACTGGAGATTGACGCTTAGGAGAAGGACGACCAAAAATCCGAAAAGCCTGCGACCCGCTTCTACCAATTGCAGACGACTAGTCTGGTGCTGGAAAGATGCAGAGCAGAAGTTGTAATGAAAAAAGTAGCTGCCATTCTGGCTTGAGAAAAAAATGTATTTTAAAAAGAAAGGTAGACCTAGAGAGCCGCCACAAGAGCTGCTCGTATAAAGTCATGACTGAAAGAAGTATGACGTGCATATACTTTGGGCTCCCTCGAAGATGGTAAAAAAAATGCGTCTTCTGTATCTTCCCAGAACCAGGCAGATTTTTTACGGTTTCAAAAAGAAAGTGACGGCACGTACCTCGTGGTTCGCTAGAAGAAGCGGACTTCCTCCTGCCGGACTCATCACAACAATAATCGAAACAGGCGTCGCAGGAGGCACGTTTTTATCGACTTTGAGTGCGGCAAGCTTCCCTATACCGACTCAAGCTAAGTAACGTGTAGAATTGAATTGAACTGATCTACGACCCAATTCTTCTTTCGTGACCTGAAAGCACGATTTTGATTTTGTTTTTGCGACTACCTAACGCTGGTCATCAACTGCTTACAATCAGAAACTTTGACAGTGCGGCGCAAGAAGCGAGCACATAGCTGATTTTGTTTTTGCGTTGAATTTGATCAAGAATAAGTATGAAATGAACCAATATAATAAAGCAATAGTAGAACTTCCTTTTGTTCCTTATACCATTTTCAGAATTTGAGTTTGTGAAAAATGAAGTGCGTTTCTATTCCTGTGTCTTCACACACTATCTAAGGAGAACTATGGTGGCACACTGGTCGCTCCAGGAAGCAGTGGCAACTAATTCGCTGGGGCGAACTGGTGTCCTTTCGTTTTCATCATGTTTGATTTTGATCTTGTACGATAGAGGCCAAAACTGCAGGATTGATTATTAGTTGCAATTTTGCAAACGTGAGTGAACTTGAAGGCGGGATGCCAAGTCTGGGATTGACTTTTGTTGGGGAAAAAGTCTCAGATAGACTTTTGTTGAGAAAAAATGCGGTAATTGAAATTGTGTGAATCTATTGAACCAAGGCAGAGCGGCAGGAGCCTGGCATGTCTAAGTCGCGCAGGGTCAGTCTCGCGCTCGCCAAGTCCTACGGACTGTTCCTGTGATTGTTCTTCGGCCAAATGTCACCTTAACCTTTACACGCCTTCGAGCGTTTTTTCTGAGAAAGATGCAGATCCATGCAGGAGCGAGCGTAGGTCTGAGAGAGATCTTGGGCGTGGCCACACCCATATGTTGGGCCAGCCAGCTTTTGCTCTTGGTTTCTTTTTCAAATCCGAAAGAGGACGAAGCAGCAACATTCACTACGAGGAAACTTCTTCTCTACGGAGAAATCAGAAGACAAGAGACACGGCGCTTGATGCAATTGCGTCGCAAGTAGACGTAGTGTGGTTCTTCAGTACTCACGCACGACCTCAATTCAACATCAAAAAAGGCGAGCGCTTTGCAGCTTTCGTTTTCAATTGAGCGCCAACTTCTGCTGCCATGGTAATCAATGGAGGAGGAATGTCGTCCATCCTGCAGAGCATCGCGCCGCCTTGGAGCACTACGCTGCGAAGCATCGAGCTTTCTGGGGCGGGCGCTAACAAGGAGCGGCGCCGACTCCATCGACCGCGCACGCGCCGCGTTCCTTCGTTGATGCCTATAGGCGGGCCGCGCGCGCCGTCTCTGTCTGTGCCGTGCGCCCTAGCCCGGGCCGCTTATTTTTTGCATTTGGCCGGCCCCAGGCCGCCGGGCGCCGGCCTTGCTTCTGGCCCGCTTCGTTCCGCCGCGCGCGGGCCGTTTGAATGGGCCCCCGGCAATGGCCGGGCGATGTCGGGGCCAACACCCGGAAGGGCCGCCCGGGCCCGCCCCCGGCAGCTTCGGTAGCCCCGTGGCGGGACCGTGCACGAGCCTGCCCACCCTGGATTGCGTGCCAGATGGGGTTTTGCCCGCCAGGGACATCGCCCATTTTTTTGCCCCCATGCCCGCTAGCGCGGGCCACTTGGCCCCGGGGCCCGCCACGTAGGCGCTCCGCAGCTCGCTGCAGCTAGCAGCCCCATCCGTCGGTGGAGGATCGGTGGGTATTTACCTTGTTTTCGCCGTGGTTGCAGAGGAGGTGCTATAAATACAGACTGCGTGCGGCCCGCAGTGGCACCTTTGTACGCACTCAGCCGAGCAGCGACGCCTTCTGGTGATCAGGCACTCGGCCTCGACCTTCCTTGTTCGTGTCTATTCCTTCCTCGATGTTCGTGTCTACTACAGCCTGTTATTGTGGTCGTCGTTGGTTCAGCGCGGTCCTTAGTATTCTTTTTCATCATTGAGCAAATTAAGATTAACTTCAACATAGATCTGATATGATATAGCCCGCAGGCTTCTTAAAGGACCCCAGTCCTGGCAGGCTTCCTTCTTAAAGCGATAGCGATGGGCAGTCCCATCTTGAGCAGCCGAGGGATGGAGTGAACCAAAAAGAAACTATGAGAGGCGCTTTTTACAGTGGACGTTGCGTAAGAGTTACGTCATTGCCATTTATATTTGCTTCTTTATCTTTGTGTTGATCGGCATCGCATGTATACCTGTCGGCCACGAGAGCGAGCAGTTAACTCTGGCGTAGGTCGTGTGGCCAGTAGCGAACCACCAGCGCACATGTCGTGCGCAATTATATTTCACTTATTATTATCTCTATCTCCTGAAAGCTAGCATTGGAGTTTTCATTCGTCCACGGCAGAGGTTGCCACGATAATTGACCACTACAATCAAAGGAGATGGGGAGCATGAGACGACGAGAGTGATGGATTTACTGATGACGACGAGAGATGGTAGGGAGTCATTGAATATCGTATAACACAAAAACACCTAAAAAAAAAAAGGTCATTCGTCCGGGAGTTAAGTTGACCTTTTTCGTACCACGTATGCCAGCCCTCCTCTACGCAGCGCGCAGTGTTGACAGAAAATTGGCAGACGGTACGACTAGAACTACCACCGTTTCGTAGTTTTGTTGATGCTGAAGCAGATGTTTTTCGCGAGGAGCGATTGCGTATTATGATTGCGCCTTCATATCTTTTACATGCATCAAAAAGAAAGATCCCACCTGTCCGTGATCATGAGGAGTTTCTTCATTGATAAACACAACGACATCACCAGGTCTCTTCGTCGAGAGCCGAGTCATCAGTCCCGTGGTCCGGAGATTGTGGGGCTTCAGAGTGGTCGAGTGCCTCGCGTGGGAAGTTGAAACTGAAATCGGGACGAGCCTGATCTTCGAAGAGATGCAAGAGCGTGGTCGGGGGCGAATGCAGTCAGCGACACCACCTCCGGCGCAAGTCGTGGCGCGTGAGGCAAGAGATCGGCGTCAGCGACTCGAGAATCAACGCGCTGCGCGTCAGTGATGCGAGCGCTTCCGCGCCCCATGTGCGCGCGGCCGCGCCGGCGTAATGCATCCAGACAGCTGGGCCGGGGGCGGGGGCGGTGACCTCGCCCGCGCAGGAGCAGTCAGCGCCGGGGCTGGTTGGGTAGGCTGGTCCAGCGCCATGGTTCTTGGCAGCCCCCGGCCTATTACGCGCGCCGGCAGTCCTGCGCGCGCACCCCCTCGGTGGTGGTCGCCATTATTTCGCTCGCTGCGGCTGCCTGTGCCGTCTCCCGTAGCCGGGCGGCGCTGTGTTTGTCTCGTCTACGAATGGAGCGCGCGGGCGCCGGCCGGGCGCCCTTTGCCCGGTCGCTTTGTGCAGGAAATGCCCGAGGCGCCTGGCTTCGTCCGTGGGCGTGGCCATTAATTTGCGTGCCCCGAAGCAGCAGCCGGCGGGCCGCGCGCGCGCGGCTAGCTAGCAGTGGCTGGCCCCCCGGCCGGCCCAGTGAAGCATGAATGTGTGGATGTTTGTGACCAGGCACCTTCGTGGCTGTTGTTATTTAGTTCTTGTTTGAGTGGTCCCGATTCATCTGGAGGGCCTTTTCCTGCAACTCATGCATTATTTTTGTGTTCCTGTCGCTCATTATTTTTATTTTTGTGAACCATGTGTTTACGTGCTTTTATTAGGACGCCTAGGACTTTCACTTCTGCCTCTGCGGAGCCGCTTTTATGTCGTAATCATCGTTCTGACAGGAGATTGTCTTCTGGTAAGCGCCGCGATCCTTATTTTTTTGTTCTTATCAATTGGCAGACATTGAAATCAAAATCCGAAGGGACAGATCTGTTATGATAGGGTTTAGTCTGAAGTTTGTTACGGCCAACCGGGCGAGGTTTAGCAGGCTGATATCATATCCTATTCTAGGCGTTTTTTATTTGGCTTTCGTAGAAGTAGATGCTAAACGTAAATTCGCATTCGGCACGTTGATATTTTATTTTCTTTACCTCTTCCTGTTGGTTCTTTGCTTCGTCTAGATTGGGATGATACTCTTCGTTCTCCTTGCACCACGATCAATTCGTATCCATAGTTGTATTTTTGGTCGTGAACTAGCACAATTATTTACGACATTTTTGGTAATTTCTAGTGCTGTTGTCCCCTGTCCACTCGTATTCTATCTTGAGTGTCGTTTGAACCACACCGCACGCCAAGATGCGACTCGACGCGGTCAACCCTCATTCTTTTAAAATCATGCGCGCGTCGTCTTTCCTCATTTCCGTGAGTATCGTCCTAAATAGTTGGTGCAAGCACTACCTGTTTTCCGACGTGGAGTACATGTACAGGGGCACACTCTTCAGTTCTTTCCTTTTCACAAGAGCAGCTGCTGCTGGAGGTTCGTCATCATTTTGGACTCTGCGGAACGATCAAGAGCCACCCGGCATTTCCATTTCCAGCAACCCCGGACTCTTGGATGCGCCGCGCCAACGGTCGGAAATGTGCTACCACCACGATGTGCTTCCCTCACACGCCAACCTGTTCTGCCGACAGAGCTCAGCGACGAACACCTTGAGGCCCGGCTATTACCCCGGACGTGGTTTCTGCCGGAGCCAGGTGGGTGTGTCGATCGGGCGCTACCCGTTTCGCAGACCGCGGGCAGTGGGAAGTGACTCGGTTCGAGAGCGGGTTGTTAAGGCGACGAACGGGCACAGGACCGAACCGCGGCAACACGCGGCCGTGTTCGACGACGAAGGTATGCATATGCCTGCGTCACCTCGTCCACCCGATGAAGCAGACGAGCGGATTGTGCACGCAGCGCAATTCCTGCAGAACGAAACAGAACTCTTTGGACCGCAGTTCCCGGAGTTCCGCTATGCCGGCGTGTTTGCTCAACATCTTCCAGAGAAAAGCACTCTTCCTGCTGGTGACGCGGAAGACGGGGACGGCTCCGCTCGGTTTGAAACGTACAGCACGTTTTCCGACCGGCAGGCGAATCAAACGTTGACCACGTCCATACGAATTGCAAAAGTAGAACAAGTCTGCGCTAGTCGTAACTGCATTGGCATTGCAAGTTGAAATTTAAGCTCGGTCAACATGACAAATTGAGAAAAATAAAATTTGTGATGCTGAGGATTACAACACGCGCGACATTGCTTTCGCACGGGATACTCCAAGCTCCACCACGACCTGATCAAACATTTCCGTTTTATCCATCGCAAATAGATATATGTCTCGACCGTCTGGAGCGAGCTAATTTGTGATGCGGAAGTTGCAGTTTGCATGAAGGAAGCGCTACTCCTCACTGCAGCCACGCTGCATGACATGTTTGTCGGTGGACCCTCTGTGGTGGTCATGCGCTCTACAATTTACAGATGGTAACTGCGTTTTTGCATGACAAATGAAGCTGCTGGGGTCTTAGTCACTCATGCAGTACCGATTTCCCTGGAGTGCCAGACGAGTAAGACAATTCCGACTTTTTCAGCAGGTCCACCAGGCATAGTTATTTGCAACGCATACCTCTCGGCCGGCGACAAAACGAGACCATTCTGGAATTGGGATGCGCCAGCGGAGAAACCACGCGGATACTGTAAGAAACGCAAATGAAAATCCTGCCAGGCGTCATGGAAAAATTGCGACGTGTATTATCGAATCCAAAATAGCGTTGATAAGATCGGCGGCTTCTTCAGTGTCATGGAGAACGCACCTGGCTTCTAGAGCCTTCATCTAATAAAGCTCAGCGATCGTGGCGGTGTGAGGAGCATTGTTGCTTCTTTTTTCGCAGAAGCTTCGGTAACAAGGGCAATGTGGGTACTGACTTGCTCACTTTCGCATTGAGTTGAGAAGGAGCCCTGGGGGCCCCCTGGTAGACGACCTGACTTGTGTGTATTTTCTGCATTTAGTTGTAGCGTAGGTAGTACATTCACATCGATATTATCAAATTCTCAACCGCCACCAGTGAAAGCACCTTTGTTCCTCGTCCCTGCCGCCTGTACAATGATAAATCCGTGTAAAGCTCTTCCACCGGGTGATCTGCATCGAGAAGCGGACGCAGCTGACCAAACTGGTGGTGCCGAACTACCCGAATCTGTTGAAGCTCAACTTCGACCTGTATCAGGAGGGGGCCACGTGGCCGCTAGCGCTCTCCTCGACCCGAATCGACGTCGTCTTCATCGACGCCCTGCACGATCACGCGGCGGTGCTATTCGACATTAACGCAGTGCTGTCGAAGCTGGCGTGCTGCGTCCACACGCTGATCTTCCACGACTTCTATTTTCCCGGCGTCATGCAGGCGATTAAGGACACAGGCTTGACCTCTTTCTTCGCGGCCAAGTGGAAGCACATCGGCTCCGGATTCCCGCACAACTGGGGCGAAAACGACGCGGCGCACATGCTGCAGTGTCCACCGGCGGCTGAAAATGACGACCAAAACGTCGAAAAGCAAGAAGAACCACCTCTAACCGCGCACCAGCAGCCCCAAGTTCAGAAAACCCGCTGGGAAGCGGAATTTCAGCCGAAACTCGACGAGTACCTGTCGGGAACAGGGTGGGAACAGCAAGGTCCTGAAGAGAATGAAGTTGTTGGAACAACAGGAGTAAAAACTCGCCCACCACCATTCCCCTCCTCGTCAACACGCCCGTGGGTCCACCGCGAGGGCCGCATGCTTTCCGCCGCCCGTCCGGAAGCCGCGTTTTTTCCGACGCACCCGGAGGGGCTGTTGGTCGAACTGAAACCGCAGTTCGTTTCGAAAGAGTGGTTTGCGGAATCGGAAAATAAACTACAAATCGTGGACAAGAAGAACATCAAGCAGCACTCCAGCAGCTCCACGAACATGATGAACAACGATGCCAACAATATCAATATCTACCTCCGAGAGCGGCTGTTTGCCTCCCGCCACGCCTGCCGGCTGCGCGACGTCGGGCGGGATACGGAAGAGAACCTGCTGCGGTTCCACCGCGACCTGCACGAGTGCCGCGATGAGATGCTGAAAGTCTACCGAGACTTTGCGGACTGGGCGTTGCGGACGGGCGTGGGTAGAAATAGTGCTTCTTCGTCGAATGTTGATCTTTCCGAGCAGAGGAAAATGGAGAATCTTTTCGAAAACCTTTTCGACCACATCAAGCACGACCCACGGCCCATCCTGTTGAAGCCGCAAACGCTCTACCAGTACGAACACGAAGCCTCTGGCACCGGCAACTTGCTCGTCCGCCCAGTGGTGCGGCAGCTGCTGGAGAGGTCCATTCTCAACTACGGCGTCTTCTGCATGCACGACCTGCAGTGGCAGGCCGACAACGCCCGCTTCCAACAGCACTTCATGGACGTCTTTCCAGCCTTGCCGCTCGGGATGCTTATCCAGGAAAAAACAACCCCACCATCCATTTTACGCATGACAAACACAGAACTTCAATCATACGTGTTTTGCATGACAAATTGGAGGGTGGGGATGGTTGTTTTTTTGTGGATAATCCTCGAGTCCATCCCCCACGTGTTCGAAGGCGGTCGCAGCCAGGGTCTCCAGCGGGTGTCCGGGTACCTGCAATTCCGCAAGAGAAACCGGTTTCGCTTGGTGCTATCCCAGCAGGTGGAGAGAAATTATCGTGTGGATTCTGGTGGTTCAACAGGAGCGGGTTATACTTACGGGACTCCCACGTCCCTTTCCCGGAGGACGAAGCACCACCCCCCTCTCGCTCCGGAAGGTATCCCCCGCGTGCAAAAGTATCGGAGTCCTCGTAGTACGTCGAATATTGGGTGATTTACGATGGCAACAGGCATGCATGACCATACTTGTGCACACCTTTTTCGTCCTCCCAAGCAAATTGGTAAGTGGATGAAAATCCACCGATCTTTCTTTCTGAAAAACAAAGTTGTGATTCTATTTTTACAACAGTACAATTGGTGCGATATTCATATTACTTTTGCGATGCATAGAGGCGCAGCTGATGCAGAACATCTACGAGCAAAACCTGCGACAGGTCGAGCTGGGATTGCGACACTTTCCGCATCTAATATCCATTGCGAAAGTGTCTGACGGTCTGGAAAATTGTAAAAATGCAACTCTGTGGGAATGACTATGATGACTGTGATGAGTGCACTGCAAGTAGCGATCCGTGGTCGCGCACGCCAAGTGTTTGGGCTGCCATGTGTAGACTGCGCTTTTGCAGCAAGACTACAGCCAAGGCGATTCGTTCGTGGCTATGCGTCACGAACTAGCTCAGAGTCCTGCCAGACAAGGTTGACAAAAACTGTTGCAATCTTCCAGACACTCAGACATATTTCCCATGGATAACTACCGCCGGGTCACAAGTCGGACTCCCTGGCAGCGTGGGCGGGAACGAGTTTGTTTCCATCTGCAGCTTCCGCTTCAGGGGAAGGCGGAGCTAGTATTCCCACTGGTTCTTCTGCAACTCCAAGCCTTTCCGGATCAGGAGATCAAGCACAAGCTGCGCCATCTCCTCCACAGGAACAGCACGCGTTATACTCTGCCAGAAATAATAACGCGAAGTCCTACGAGCTTCACGCGGTGGAAGGGTTTTGGCACGTCAGCCGGACCGCCCCGTTTACGGTGGTGCTGCAGTTCCACGACGCGACACGGCACAACGTGACGGAGCCGTGGGCGTTGCTGTTCACGGCGAACGGGGCGCGGTTCACGGTGATGGAGGAGGGACCGATCAAAACCATCGGCATCGCGTACCACCAGCATTTTCGGCTGTTGACGCAAGCCGACGAGGAATTTGTGGACGAGGGCAATGCATTAACGAACTTCGTCTGAGGAAGTCGTGCGGGAAGGAGCGAGACAATGAACCTTGCTGCTGGTTACTTACCACGAGGTCGCTGACAAGCACAACAAAAAGGGCCAGGCGAAACAAGAGCGATTTCTGTATGAATACATAAAAGACACAGAATGCGCCAGCAGTGCTAACTTTTCTAGTGTAGTAAGTTCGTACTTGTTACACGTTTCACCTAGGACTTTTTCATCGTGTGTTCTTGCGACGTCCTTCCCTTGAGCCTTGAGCTCCACCTATAATTTCCGATGAAGTGCTATGGGATTTTTCATCAGCGCTATCATGATGTCAGTTCGTGTTTCTTCCGGCCCCTCCTGGCAGGAGGACCTCCAGCTCTAGGCTTTTGTTCTTTCTTGAGTCGAAGTTTTTTTCGTAAAAATTGCGACGAGACGGAGACTACAAGCGAAAATGTTGCCGAGTGGACAACATAGGGATGTTGTCAGCCTTCAAACTGGAAGACGATGGTGAAGCTGAGTCTCTGCTTCTAAGCAACAGCAACAAACTCCAAGTGTTGTACCTGCAACTTGAATAGGTGGCCTTTTCCTTTCTGTGTCAACTGTAGTTTTTCACAACAGTTGTACATCGTCCCGTAACTTCTAGTACATAAATACGCTGACCCTTGTGCCATACGTACGAAATACAAATAGTTGTTCCGCTGGGTGATTTCCGTTTGGAAGAGAACCATATAAACAAAAAGATCAAGAAGTCACTCGTGCTCGTGCGGAGGTCCTAGCGACACAGGCATTCTGGGTCCGGCGCTTGGATGGTGCCTTCTTTTCTTCGATCACGTAGACGTACTACAGAGGCAGAAATACAACCATAACGCCCCCGGTACCTACCAGATCGCGCCACCATGAGCTCGATCACGACCGGCGCAGATCCGCCGCCACCCGCAGTCCCGCCACCAGTTGCAATAGCGTCGTCCCCGCCGGTATCCGATACAAATTTTCCGCACACTTACAAATAAACTAAAACACGACATGAAGTCATCAAATTGAAATCTCGCTGTTTTTCTAGAGCATACGAGCTACTTGTCATGCTGAATAGAAGCGGAGAGACACATCAGAGCAACAGTTCTTTCATGCAGATGCCGCTTAGAAGTTTGTACGTCGTGTAGGTGGAATTATTTCGTGTCAATATCCGGCGTTGGCCCCGCAGGCTCTGGAAGGCACGAGGCTGGATCGGTTCGGATTTGTTGGCGCCTGCGAAAGCCTGCTCGCCACGTCCGGTGGCTGTGCGCACAGCAAAGAGGACCTGCATTCGCTCTTCGACTTCCTCACGAATCTTAACGTCAGCAATGTAGCTGCGGTCAGTGTGCAGCAGGCTGGCGGAGCAGGAGCCCTTGGTGCTGGAGCGATCACGACTACAGGACATAATAATGCGGAAGATGGTGGTGCAAGAACTAGTACCAGCAGTACCAAGCAAGCCTCGTCCTCGTCAACGTCAACCACGCCGGAAAACTTCGAGAAGCTGCTGAAAGCGGTCGGGCAACTGCCAAAATGGTCGGACGAGTACCCGGTGGTGATATCGAGTAACTCCCCGCTACCGAAGGTCCGGATGTGGCTGTTAAAGCACTCCTGGATCATTTTCGACCTCGCGAACCACCTAACCGCGCCGCCCAACGCGCCAAGACCAAACGCGCTCTCTGCGACGACGCAAAGTTTGTCCCGCCTGGAGCTGGAGGAACGGCTGTCCATCATTCCACCGACTTTTCTTCCGAAGACGGCGCGCTCCGAATTGTGGCGCACACTGGCGGTGAACGAGAAGGTGCTGGTGTCGGATTTCCTCTCGGCAGTTCTGGACTCCGCAGAATACCGGCAGAGCTTGAAGGCGCGACTTTTGAAAGTCGTTTTCCGGGCGACTAAGGTATAGGATTCTATTCAGATACAGATTGTCAAAGAAGTATGCTTCTCTTCTTAGTGCGTATGGCTAAGTTCTTTGTGCAACTTGGTTTACACTCAGTGTCAGTGCAAGTAGTAGTGCAAGACACATTAATTTTATAGCTCCGACTTGTTCATCCAATCCACAGAACAAACCCGGCAGCCTGGTGGACCGCTTCCTCGCTGCTGACGCCAAGAAGAGCGGGTTTCTTATCATGTGCAAGAGTTCTTGTATCGTACCAGTATATATAATCAATATCAAGTGAATTGCATATACATCTTTGTTTGATGGGCAATGAAAAATGGAGTTAGTCCTGAGAGTTTACCTTGTGCTAAAGCAGATTGGTCATGCCCATGGCTATAAAAACAAAAAGTACTCATGCAATTGGTACGAACACGATTTTTTTGCGCTGCATATTTCTAACCGACGAGCAAATCGGTCAGATTTTGACGGCGACAGTCGGCCGCGTCTTTCTCGCCAAAGAGGACTTGCGGGTGCTGGGGAACGATTTATGCTCTGCAAAAGTATCGTACCCGTAGTATATTGCAGTCATGCATTACAAATTTTTTTCTTCTGGTAAATCGAAATCCACATTACAAATTTCATTTCTAATGCTGAGGAGATTTGTCATGCATTTCCACGAGTACGATAGGTTTGCACAGGATACGACTACCGCCAAGGGGATCTCGTGTCGTACAAGGTATCCTTTCTGAAAAGTATACCCCGATAAATCTATGGAAGATCTGCCCAGAACGAGGCCAAGTCTCGTGCAACACGACCTAATTTCTTTTGATGGTGCACTCTGAACTATCATTCAAGATCATAATTTTCTTGTTCGGACAGAACCTGCTTCACTATTCATTCTCTCTCAGGAACTCCTCGACGCGCTTCGCGACGAGCAGCGCATGTACCTCGAGCACGCACTGAGTGTGGGCTTCACCATTCTGCAGCAACTTGCGCCGTCGCTGCCGCCCGAAACCTTCGGGGCGAGGCTGGATGCGGCGCAGGTGCGGACTCTGTTGGCAAAGGACAACAACAGTACTACCAGTCTGCCGGCAGACGACGAGCTGATTGACGACTTTGTGGACACCGTGATTGCGGCGAGCAACGGCTTTCTCACCCTCCGCGCGCCGCCAACGTCGGTTTTCGACTTCGCTCAGATTCCCGGCCTGGTGGACCGGGTGTTGCCCAAAACGGCTTCGGAAAAAACCACAACTTTCAGTCGCCGCGCGTCAAAGGCGGGCGGAGCTGCAACTGCCTCGTCGGGTTCGTCCAGCAAAAGCTCCACTTCTGTCGGCGTTGTTTCGGCGACGAACAAAGTAGAAAAGCAGCTACAAACAGACGCAAGTACGGCCGGGAGTGCAGGCAAAGCCGGCGCGGAAGAGGAAACCGCAGGAGGCTCTACGTCTACCACGATGAAAAACAAAGCGCAGCATTTGGTTCCTTTGCTCTTTTTCGAACTGTCGCAAACCATGCGCCGCAACGACATCAGCCTGGGGAGTGCGTTCAAGTCGCTAGACCGCGGCAGTAAGGGGTTTCTGGATTTCAGCGACCTGCGCCGCGCTGTGACGACGGTTCTGCAGGAGGAAGATAGTGGCAGCTCTTCCTCTGCAGCAGACATTACCGCGGAGGACCTCGGGGTGAAACCAACGTGGACACTGACCCTGCAGGCTTTCGAGCAAGCAACATCCTTCGACCTGGATGCGTTCACAAACGCTTTGCCGAGCGTTTTCGAGGATCAGGGCTCCCTCCCGTTGAAGGTTTTCCAAGAGCGCATGTGCGACCAGAACGGGATTCCCGTATTTGAGCTGAAGAACCTCCTGGCGTTGATTTACCCCGGGGCAAGTTCAACATTGTCCGCAACCGTCGAATCAGCTCGCACGGTGGACCGTGCCAGCTGCGAAACTTTCGCCCGAGCCAACCGAGCGGCAACATCTACTTCGGGAGGTGCTGGGAGAAGGCGATTTGGAGGCAATTCGTCTTCACTGCAGAAACCAGCAAATCGGAACGATTCCGGGATGAACCTGTTTGTGTTAGAAAACGAAGTTAGGTCACCGTCCGGAGGTGCAGCCAGGGGGCCTGGTCGTACCAGCAAATGCTCCACGGCGTTCGGCGTGTCGGGATCCTCAGCTGCGCGGCAAGGAACTACAACCACTGGCGAGCAGCAAACCGATGTAGAAAAAACCTGGCGCAAGTTTCAGCAGGCGGACAACAAGCTCGCAGTGTCCTCGTTTCTTCTTGACCAAGACCAAGACAGTGTGGACAGCAAGGAGCTGCTGCAAAACTTGCTGGACAAGTGCAATTTGACGGAAAGCGAGTGCCTGCAGGTGCTGCAAAACGCTTCGGCGCTGACAAACTTCTACTTCCGCTACACAGGAGGTGCAGGTGCAGCTGGTGGGATCGCTGCTGCTGGTAGTCCGACGTTGACGAGAACTATCAAAGACGACACAGGAGATGAACAGCAGACCGGCTATAAAGATTCTTACCCTCTCCGTCGGCTCTCCCTTCTTCCTCTCATCACCTCTGATTATGACGAACACGAGCTAGAAATCCGCGTTCTGGGAACCGATTTGACTTTATGAAAGCGCACAACCCAAGAACACGAGTCGTCGCCCTCGTTTGTCATGCAAACTGCGAAAGCGAAAACGAAATGGAAATATAAATATAGGGAAAGCTGTTTCTGTTCTTGCTGGCCGTGCCCCCTGGTTAGAACTAGGCGCAGCAGGGGGACCACTATAAACAATTGCGGTCTTGTGCCCTTTCATAAATGTCGCTCCCTGCCGGCACTTCCGAAAACGGAGGAAGCGGCGCACAGCCACGGTATTTTCTCCGCTACGCCTGCCACGGCACGACGTATCAAGCGCAAACCACGAGTAGCCAAGCGGGTGGCTTCTACCCTTTGGACTTTGCTGCGTCGCACACGTTTTGCTTGGCCTCAAATGCGGGGGACAGTCTGACGGACCTGCTCATCCAGGAAGTGCGGCTAGGAACGCTTTCCTGCGGCCTGTTGCTCGATGTGGTGCGTGTTTTACCGGAGAACCGCGGTGGGAGCAATTACACTTCCGACGGCACAGCTACAACAGGTGCATATGAACTTTTGCAAACATGATGTCTGGGTCAAGAACATCTCCTGGAATACAGATTCGAGTAGCTTGTGATGCTGTTTGTGAGAGGACACACAAGACGAGTGAACCTGTAATGCGTAATATGGCAGAATGCATGTTCATCTGCCACGCTGTTGAGAGATGAAGATTTCTCATGCGCAACAGGCACTGCAAATCCGTCGCATGAAAACTTGTGATGCGGGGCCCTGCGTACGCGTAGTTCCAGACCATATCTGGGCCATGCCAAACCTGCATGTAGTTGACAAGAAACTTTAGCACGTAGTTCCAGACGTAGAGATCATGTAGTTTGCATTTGATAAAACAGCAGCAGGGACGACGGTGAACAACACCCGTAGCGCGTTGCGGTACCTCGATAACACCGCTTCCAGCAGCAGCACTGCGGTTACCGTCGGTCGCTGCGTCTTTCCGACGGAGGCAATCGCCGCGTTCTTGGACGACGTTGCCGAGGCCAAAGGCGGTTGGAAGGCCGAGGCTTTGCTGGGCGCCACGTGGGAAAACCCGGTGCCGGTGTTGTCCAGTGACGGGACGAGACTTGGCAGCGTCGTGGTCCGCCTGTTCTACCAGATTCGCCGGGCTTGCACCGCAAAGGCCCCGCGTTGGCGGACCACGTTTGAAGGCAACAGCCTGCTGTCGTACCAAATGCGCGCTGGCGGGGGAGGGGGTGGTGGAGCAGGACCAGCAGGAGCAAGCGCTGACCTGCTTCTCCCAGGAATAACTTTGAACGGCGCTGGCGCAGCACTTGACTCTTCGCTACCGAGGAGAAAAAGCGGGGACTACAGGAGCGCCGCGCAAGCAGACACAGCGTTTGCGATGTCATCATCTTCCACTGGAGCTGGTGGTGGTGCCGGTGGTGCCGGCATGGTGTTTTTCCCGCCACTTTCCACGGTGCGGGGCTCATGTCTATCCGGTGGAGGTGCGGTCTCCCGTGTGTCTCGAACAGAGCAAACGGTGGAGAACACGGTGGGGATCGAGATTGGGTTGTCCAGGGGCGAGTTGAATCCCGATCTGTTCCGCCGGCTCGCGGAGCAGTGGTACAAAAGCTCGCTGCAACCCAGCGTGTCCACAAGCGTGTTGGACATCCAGAGTGTGCGCGTGGTGCTGCGCATCGGTTTGTTCCCGAACCACCCGAAGTTGCAGGCGGCCTGCGGTGGCGCCTGGATTTCGGGAGAGCCGAAGCCCATGTCGTTGGCATCCTTGTTGTTGGGATGGTCGTCCGCTTCCTCGTCTTCAGGTAATAAAAACGGCAGCGCACCAGCAGGAGCACCAGCACCTACAGCAGCTGGAGCAATTTCTGCTGCGAACAAAGCTACTGCTGCCGCACCGGCTGCAGCAGCAGGAGGTCCCACAGGAGCTACAACTACTAGCGCAGCTTCTGCAGCAAACGCATCTACTGGTACAACAAGTGCGATGAAGCCCTCTTCAGCGCTTCCTCCGCAAAACGGCGACCTATCCCCAGTGGCGGCAGCGAAAGCACGCATGGCCGGCGGGACGGACAGTCAGCCGGTGGTGGCGCAGTCCATGGACAGCTCCGTCGCGAATTCGGCCGCGAAGGCCGCGGTCGCGTCCCTGAGTTTCATGCCAAGTGCTTCAGCAAGCAAAGCGGCTGGTCCTGCTGGTGTTGTTCCAGCGGCGTCAAGTACGAGCTCCATGAGCAATTTCAGACAAGCTCCCGCCACGGGGTCTTCATCAGGGTCAACTCCCGCTACAACCAGCAAACCAGGCTACACTGCTCTGGACTTCGGCGACTGGCTATGCACAGAAAAAAACCAACCCACATCCAATTTGTCATGCAAAACACGTATGAAATCATGTGTTTGCCATGCAAAAAATGGATGTGGATGGGTTTTTTTCTGTGGATACTGGCAGTGGCAATCCCCTTTGCTGCCGCCGACCCCGGGGTTCTTCGAGGCTCTCAAGTCCGACATCGGCGTGATTGAGCTGTGGCTGGTAATCGAGCAGAATGACGAATTCCACCAGCTGGACCGCGCGAAGTCGGTGGAGGTGTGCCTCGCGAAGGACACCTTCCCGCTCAAACTGCTGCACAGCCAACTCGACGCGTCCAAGGCACAATCCGCATTGGTGTTGAACCGCAAGGCCCAGTTCCACGCGAAGGTAGGCGGGCCGGAGAGCAGCAGTTCCTCCTCTGCGTTTCCCGCCGGAGGAGGACCGGGAGGTGTGAACAGACCGATGGGAGGTACTACAACTGGCCCTGGTGCAGCAGCTGCCCAAGGCGCGACCTTCACGTCCGGTGGGCCGGCTAACGTCGCGGTTTCCACCTCAGCCGGAACCACGATGATGGCCCAGCCAAGTTCCGCGCAAATGGCCGGCCCGTCCGGCGCCATGAGTTCTGCTCACCAACAACAGCTGTTTCTGCAGCAAAGTGCGGGGGAGTTCCTAGCGTCCGTTGACGTGAAATTTTCCATCACCCTACCCAACGCGGATGTGATGAGCTTGCTGTATCTGACCGGGATAAACGCGGACTCATCTGGAGCTGCGAGCAATAAACCAGGAGTCGGATCCTCTACTCTGCCCGCTATGCCGAAAGCGCCCTCTGCAAGTTCCTTCGGCGGGCCGACCTCGGTGTACGGGGGCAGCGCCGTGTCCTCGGTGTACGGGAGCGCGGCGATGGCGCAACCCTCGTCGGCCGTACCGAAACCTGGCGCTCCTGCTCCGGGCGCTGCTGTTCCACCGGCTCCTGCTCCACCGCCTCTGCCGAAGGAGATCACGGGGCACGAGCGCAAGATGCTGTTGCGGCTGAAGGGCGCCGTGGTCCGGAACGGTATGGTGGGGAACAATGTCTGCTACTACGTGGAATACGCTTTGACCACCACCGCCGGGGCGACTACCAACCACCGGAGTTTGCCGCTACAAGTCACCGCGTTTTTGGACGCGCCCAACTCTAGTTGGGCGCAACTCGGGCCGGTGGACGAACTGGTACCCATTTATCCACTGAGGAAAAACTACACCCGTCTACTCTCCTGTCCACCAATTTGTCATGATGCAAAACGTGCATCAGATGCATTGTCTGTCATGCAAAAAGTTGATGATGATCTCCAGGGGATGGGTTTAGTTTCTTCCTGGATACCATTGCAATTCCCGCGAAACCGAAAACCATCCCAGCCCCAGAGCAGATCGTGCGAGTGGCGGCCAAGCTGTTTCAAATCGGCGGGAGTGGGGCGGGTAGGATTGGGTTTTATCCTTGTTTTTTTCTGATGTAGTCACTGTCGCGTAACCAGAAAGTATTTATTTCTATGTATGAGTTACAGCTGCGGCCATTAGTCAAAATCCTCATATTTTGAAGAACGAGGAACTTCCTTCCTACCACAGCTCCCGCCTGCATCGGCGAGGGCAGTATGACACTCTACGCGGACGTGGGTGCGATCGAGACCAGCGCGTGGGGCAGCTTTTCCTCCAAAACGGAACTCGTCGGAAAGTTTTTGTTTTCCTACCAAGTCTGCGTTCCGGGGCTGGAAACGGATTTGCGGGTGGACCCAACGACGTCGTTCCCGCCCTTGAGTGGTGCTGCAATTTCAGTGCCCTCCGATCCTACGGGTGGTGGAACAACTGCTCGTGGTGGACCACCTGCTCCCATGTTGATGCTCCCGTCCAGTTTAGTGACCCCCTCCTACAGCATCCCGAGCGTGGCGACCCAAACCAAGTGGAGCTGGGTGCTCGGGCACGGCCCGCCCACGATCGCCGCCGCGAAAAAACTGCGTCCGCCCCTGGAGCTGATCATGGAAGTGCTGTGCAAGTTGCTCGCCGACGAGCAGATCGCGAGCCAAGGTGGTGGTGGAGCGGCTTATGCATTGCAAAAGTACTAACTATCGCCGTCGTACTAAAAAATGCGGTCATGCAAGACATTTTTTTCCGAAGGTGTACTTTCGTAGCATTACATCATGATCATGCTGAGCAACTTTGTATATGCAATTAGAATTAGAATTACCTTTATCAATAGCCGCAGCACTAGTACGACAGCGATGCAACTTTTGCGTTGCATACAGCCGGTTCATCTGGAGGAGGGGTTGCTGCGGCACCGCAGCCACAGGTGGTGAACCTGATCACCCGGATACAAGACGCTTCGTACCGAAAGGGCGGCGCGGAGGGAACCGTCTTGAAAGACATGATCACTTCAATCGTCCCCAAGTGCCTGCTGGAGGGGTTGATGGTGTCCTCTTCAGTGGGTGATGATGCTGGTGCAACTTCTGCTGCCGTGAAGACTAGCACAACTTCCTCTTCCTCATTTTTCACGACTTTGTTGCACCAATCCGTCCCTGTCGTCCACCATTTGCGCGAGAAGCCGATATCTACAGGAAGTTTACTCCCGTATTACAGGACGCACAAAATGAAAATGCACTATTGCATGACAAAGTTTTGCTGCTGGTATTACAATCAAACTCAGCATTACCCCACAGCTTTTGATAGCAGATGGTCCGTGTAGTACGATGCTAGATTTGTGTTGCATAACCCATGGACGCACTGTACACGGTCGAAGCGCTGCTGTTCTACCTCTCCCTCCGTGCGGTCGCGCAAAAGTTGCAGCCCTGCTGGCTGAAGTTACGGACGAAGCTGTTCGACTTTTTGGCGAAAAACAACAGCTCCGTGGTTCCCCTGCGGTGGTCCGAGTTCCGTCGGTTGGTGGACTTCGCGCTCGCGGAAGCGGACCAGAGTCCGCTACCGGAGAGTTACTGGAGTTTCTTGCGACAGCATCCGACATGGTGGGACCCGGTCACCGGGGTTTTCGATGTCGTCGCCTTTCTATCAACTGCAAAAGTGTCTGGGTCTGGAAGAGTGCCAGACTTGTCATGCAGGTTTTCCATGTCCCAGGAGGTCTGGCATGTAGGACATAGCATGACAGATTCTGTGAGAGTTCTATCATGCCTTTGCAGCATGAGAAACTACCTGTCGACTAGGTCAAAAGTGGACAGCTTTTGGCAATCATACAACACAGAGCTTTTACATGATTCAGATTTAGCATGGCGGGTAGCGAAGGTTCAGATTTAGCATGACAAGTATACTTTGTTCCAGACCCAGACGCTTTTGCATTTGATGCTTTGTAGTCGACCTGCAGCTGTTCCCCGACATCCAAGAAGTTTTGCGCGAGGTGAACGACGCATCAGCAGTAGATAAAAACAAGCAGCCTGCAGTGACGGTGAATTCCCTTCTCGCATCGTCAACAACGTCTTCGAGAATTATGAACACTGATTTTCAACACCACCAGCTGGAGCGGCCGTCCCCGTCCTCCCGGGACGTCGTGATGCAAGACGCATGGTCCCCGAACTACGGGACCTTATCAGGAGCCGGAGTCGTTGGTGGAACTTCATCTACCGCTGCCGCAGGAGCAGCTTCCTCGTCCTCCTACCTGCGCGGGGGCGTGTCGCCAGCGCGATCAATCAGTGCCGCGACGAGCCGACCAAACGGTGCTGGAGATAATAACCCTGTCGTGTGGAAATCGTTGCAGGACATTGAGTGGCTAGAAGCGAAGCTGCAGAACAACCTGGCCCAGCTGGAAGAACGGGTCTCCTCCATAAAGAACGCCGCCAGCCGCGAGCGGGAAGTCGTGGAGGGTACGTTGCTGCGGACGTCGCGTACTAACGGGAATTTTGTCTCCGGATCCCAAATTCAAAAATTTTGATCCCCTGGGGCTGAGAGGTAGCCCCGGAGGGGTAATGGCGACCAGGCGCGATCCGGTAGGCCGGCAGAAGCGACGAAGACCCGGCAGGGCCGACGACTGGCATCAGGCTGGGAAGCTATTGCGGCGCTGCGACTTTCCGTGTGTGGGCAGCGTCCCAAGGCAAAATCGCTGGCAAATGGCGCGGCACTTTTTCCAATGTTTTGGACCCTGCCCATTTTGTTGAGTTCTCAGTGTCTCCGTTTGGGGGCTTTGAGTTTGGCGCCTGTTGGTTTCTGTTTTTGAGCTATGGTGGGAGCAAGAGAAGCCAAAGGGGGTCGCGCTTTTAGCTGGGGACTGTCAGCGCAACTGTGGCAAAAGTGCTCCTATAGAAACGCAAAGAAAATTCGGCCTCCCAAAATTGTCTCCAGACTTGACTGAGGGGTCAAACGCGACCCCCCTTCCAACTATGGAGACAATTTTGGGAAACCGGCAATAGGTCGGTCCCAAAATTGTCTCCATAGTTGGACATGGTGTCGCGCGGACCTTCGCGCAGACCCTCGCGCGGGTTGGTCTGGGTCTGGAAAAGTGTAGCGCTTTGTGATGCTTGTCCGGCATGCGCCAGAAGGTCTGGATTGCGAACTGTATCATCGCAAGTTTTGCCACGGCTCCGCAACGCCTATCCTGCGTGAAGAGAGGCATTGCCTTCCAGTGGCCTAAGCTGAATCTCGTGCAAAGTGCCTCGCTGTATTATAGAACGCTTTATAGAATAGGGAATAGGGAAACGGGTCTCCTCCATAAAAAACGCCGCCAGCCGCGAGCGGGAAGTCGTGGAGGGTACGTTGCTGCGGACGTCGCGCGACGGCGGAGTAATTGGAGGGACAACGACTGCAACGTCAATTTTCGGAGGTGGTGGAGGGTCAATCTCGCCCGCGCGGTCGCTGTCCCCGCCGGTTCTGCGGGGAGCGGGCGTCACCGGGTTTGCGACCGCCGCTAGGTTTGACGTGGCCGGGGCTAGTACTTCTGGTATAGTACATCAGCCTGCACCAGGAGGTTCTGGTCCTTCAAATTTCTACGAGCAGCGCTGGGAAAGCGGTATGCAATGTAAATTTCCCGTACATGTACAAAATGCATGACAAATTTCGCTAACTTGCAGTGTCCAACTTGTCATGCTAGACTAGGATTGAAGGCGAGACTGCATTTGGACGTCGTGCACGGAAAATTTGCTGTGGATAAGCGGGGAGGCAGAGTTACAAACCTACGAATCGGACCAGCTCCGGGCTTTGCACCTGCAAAACATGGCGGAACTGGACTCCCTCCGGAAGCGCATGACGCAAGACAACGCGAGTGCAGCTGGAAGTGGTCTCGTCGGAACTACGAACAGTAGTTCTAGTTTATTTGGAGCAGCAGCTGGTCCTTTTGGTACAGCAGGAGGGGCCACGACCTCTCCCACCTCCGTGCCGGCATCGAGCAGCAGTGCAAGTTTCGCAGTACAACACCAACCGAAGTCCCCGTTTTTGTTCGCCAGTGGAGCGAGCGCGGAACTACAACCGCCGCTTGCGAATGTTACGGTTGGCCTTCCAGCAGCCACGGATTTCTCAGGGGGTGGGTCCAAGGCGTCCACAGCAACAACCGGGCTGGCCGCGGGAGAGCAACAGCAACAGCAGCTGAAGTCGAGCACGGAGTACGAGCGATTTTACAGCACTGCTTTGCAGTCTCTGCTGGCGCAGCCGCAGCTCCGCGCGTCGACGTCGTCTTCGCAAAAGACCGCCAGTGTGGAGTTGTCTTTCCAGAACGAAGACCCGTTTCTCTTCTCAACGATACAACAGCCAACGTCGTCGCATCAAATTATGAGCAGCTATGGTGCACCAGCGCCGTCAAGAACCGCGTCCTCACGGACGATGCAGCAACACGCTCAAGGTTCATCTTCCGCCGAGGTCGCGTATCCACCGGAGCAGCAGGTTTATCAACAGCGCCAAGCCGCGAAGGCGACATCGAGTGGCCCTGCCGCAGCGTTGCGCTTGAGCGAAGATGAGCGGATTTTGGCGCACCAGGTAACCCGCATTCAGGCAGAACTTCGGAAAAGTTCGCAAAGTCCCCGAAAACAGCAAGCGGGTGGTACTAGTAGTACTCCGAGTGTTCTTGCTGGTGTAGTTGGAGACCAAATTATGCAGAATAGTTCCGATCTCCCCACAACTTCCGCTCCTGCGCCACCGCAACCCATAGCGCCATCCTCCTCCAGTACGGCGGCGAAAGCAAGGCCGGCAGAGCAATTGTTTGCGTCGGAAGAGGAGACACAGCGAATTTTTAGCATATTAACTGGGGGACGAAACAAACCGGATTCGGAATGAGAAGATCATGCTGACGGCGAAGCATTGGAAATGCGACGGTAAAAAGAGCTACAGGATGGGGACGGGAATGTATACGTTTGAAACAATTTCTCACCGCAAGAGTGAAAATCATGGCTACAACAACTACAGTACCGGAAAGCATCTTGGTGTGCTGCAAGTTTTCACTAGGCGGCTCCTTTCTGCCAAAGTATGAGGATATTTGCCTCGCGGCTCGCGTCCAGGGCCAAACTGTCTTTTGGATGTTTTTTTCACTTGCTAAACATAGCGACTTAATGGAAAGGAACTCGTGATGAAACTGCAGGCAGCGGAGCATAAAGGTCTTTTAAGATAGTAGAGCGAGTTTCAATTTTATCACGAATTCATCATCATATGCTCCTTGCAGCATCTATCACGTTGACCACGCCACACCATTCCACGAAACGGACGATCGTCTTCGTCCTACACGGCGTTGCAGACGCAGAGTGTGACGACGTCTCAACACAACTCGGGAATAGTGGAAAAATACTGCAAGAATAATGATTTTTCTCGAACAGAAAAAACTAAAACTATGAATAGTGTTTAGCTGCTAATATAATCTTCAGCGTCAGCCGCAAGAGTGATACAGGGTTTTTCAATTGCTTCGTGCATGATACCATAATTACCAACGACAAAGACGAAAAAATGTTTCGATGAGTACTCGTTCTCATCGTCGCAAACCCGATGGAAGTAGTCAATTTTTATTGAAGATGAAAGAGAAACCCGGCGTAGGCACAGTGAGATGATCACTCGCCGTTTTCTAATTATGGCAGTGGACGCAGACGAACAGTGAAGATAATGAACAAAATGCACAGGTGGGACAAAATTATTATGGCGCGCGCTACTAGTGATTGTACATCGGAACAGATGATTGAATTTCGATCTTAACTGCCGGATGGATGTGTTAGCACTTGAATGACCACATTATACTCACATGATATAGAAAGACACGGCAGTGAGTCTGTGTTGCGGCCTGTAGCGCCGCTGCTGTGCTGGACCTCCACACTGCATCTCGAAGGTGTAATTGTTGTTCCAGTTCGTGACAATCATTCCGCATATCAAGTGGTATCCCTTTCCTCGTCGTCCCTTCAACACATTCATCCGAGTTATGAAAAGCGGGACGCACGGTTATGCGACGAGAACGCAAGGCTTCTGGTTCTTTTGAGAGTGTAGTTGAAATGAATTCCAGGATTTTTGCATCCTGAAGAGCAAAACCAAAACTACTTCTCTCCACGACCAGCTCACAGCAGTCCCAGTCGCGCACGCGCTCTACTCACAAAAAAATAAACGACGGAGCAGATACAGATCGGTCCATGATGGCCGCGGCCAACTACGGTCCTGTTGCTGTTGACGAACAGGACGGGCCGTCAGAGGACGAGAGAGTGGCCCTTACCGGCGCACCAGAAGATCATGACGGGATCAAACAAGAAGAGGGCAGGGGCCGCCCGCGTTCATCCGCATCTCCTGCTGACGGCACAGTGCCCGTTTCTGCAACCGCGCCTCCAGCAGCGTCATCCTCAGCTAGAACTGAAGGAGAGATAAAAGATGTTCCGGCAGCACCAGAAAGCGATGAAGTGAAAGGAGATCCAAATGTCCGTGTTTCTATTGCAGAAGCAGATGCAGATATTAGCAAGGAGAAGGACGTCGAGAAGGCTGCCGCTGCTGTGAACGACCTGCCACCAGCAGAAGAGGCGGCCCTCGTGCCTTCGCCTCCCGTAGATGGCAATGTTGGCTCGTCAACGCAAATGAATTTGGATCCCATAGAAAGTCAAGCCGCAGTACTTGCGGAGACTACCACAACACGACCAGGAGGTGGCGTTGACAGTTCCGTCAACGACGTTCCAGGAGGCGAAGAAGAAGATCAACCAAGTCCTTCCGCGGTCCTCGAGGAGGAGAAACAAGAAGCGGGCGTCGAGAGAAAAAACTCGGGTCGTCCTCGCGATAGTTGCGTAGTTGCAGATGGAAATACGAAAGAAACGGACGACGTCGAAGGCACATCAGCCGCAGTGGTCGACGTACTTGCGCCGCCTGAAGCGTTCGAGAAAGAGGAAGACGCAGGTTCTGCCGGGAGGACGAAAACGGATCATGAAGGAGCCCCATTAATTGGCGAGAAGACCGCACCTGCAACGTCTTCTCCTAGCACTACCTCAAGTTGTGCCGGTACTAATTTGCCAAAATTTGGGGCGGAGAAGAAAGAACGCAGAAGCAGTACAGACGCTTCTGCAGCTCCGCAGGATGTTGATGCGGTAGTTTCACCTATAGTTCCACCTGTTGGAACGACTACTACAGGCGCTCCCGACTGCGGAGGAGCCGTTACCGCTCCCGTCGTGGCTGATAGAGCGGCCTCATCAACTGCCTGTGTTTCGAAGGAAAGGAGCCCAACTGCTCATGGTCCAGCGATTACGCCACACCAGAGAACTTCTCAATCTGCTTCTGCTGCAAGTAGGTCCTCTTCTCCGTCTAGTGGACGACCAGATGTAGAAGTTGCAGCACCAGCAGCTGCGCCAACGACTCAGACTCCGCCGACTACAACTCCTGCACGAGAGGACATCAAAGCTCCCGCCTCCGTTTCATCCTCCGCATCTTGTTCCTCAACGCCAGCCGTGAAGGCAGGTACTGCTGCTGCTTCGTCGTCAACTACCAAACACCTCGAGTCCTCTGGTGGCACAGGGGACGCAGCGGCCGCTGCAGCAAATGGAAGTCCTACCGTGCAGCTGCAGGGGACAAGCAGCGCTGGCGCACGGTCGTACCCTCAAGGGAGTAGGACTACATTGGTTGAAGAGGCTGCAGTTGGCGAAAGCATCGCGCAAGATCAACATCTGAAGACAGCTCCGTCCAGCGCGAACCAAGATTCTGGAGCGGATGTTTGTGCCGGACCGGCGGCTGCTAGAATCACGGGCAGACAGTCTGTTCCCGAATCATCAGCGTTATCGTCCGCATCGCGTTCCGCTGCTCTTCTAGACGAAGCAGGAAATAGTCGCGCTGAAGAAAGCTGCACGGGAGCCAGTAGCCGTACCGTTTTTATCCAGCCATCCCGCCCGCCCGGTCCCGTAACCTTTGAACTGTGCAACGATGGGCTGCGCCTACCGGGAAACCACGACGAGGAGGTAGATGGCAAAAACCTCGCTGTATCGAATCGAAGATCATTGGGAGGAGCGCATGTGCCGCTACTCACGACTTCGCCGCCTCCGGCACGAGCTTCAACAGGTCACAGAGGAGCTCCTTCGGCACGACCACTGCCTCCCGAGGACTGCGCCGGCCTTCCTGTTTCATCACTATCCGACGATAACGTGTGCCAGCTCCGGTTGGGAATCAATTGCAGTACGCGGGGGCTTTTCTTGTTCCTGGGCCTGGAAACGTTATTACCCTACAACATCACCTTGATTCTCTTGCCGTTTTTGTGTCACAAAGTCTTCCGCAACACGGACGATTTGGGGGAAGAGTTGCTCTTCCTCTTCGGCGTGATCAGTGGCTTCGCCATGCTGTTCGGCAGTTGCGTCACGATCTTACTGCAGGGGTGGGAGTGGAAGGGGCCGACACACGGAGGAGCGACCAAGCGGTGGACAAGCGGCGAAGGCGATGCTGGACATCTATCTAGTGGTCGTGCAGGAGGACCCACCGCCCACGGAAGGAACAATGGCAGCGGTGAAGACGTTGTTGACTTGGAAGTCCTTCCGAAACCTCGGTCTACCTGCGTGGTCGTTCCAGAGGAGATCAACTGGGAGGTGGATGAAGTAGGTGCAGTACTACCTCCAGCTTCCGGCGTAGTTTCTCGTGCAATAAAACCAAAATCCGAACGCGATTCGTCCTTGTCCGAGCAGACTTTTTTCTCATCTGCGGCCATTGACGAACAGAAAAGGAAGAAGACCAGCGTGATTCTTCGCGCGGCAGAACAGCAGGTAGAGGTACCGCCACAAGGTCGTGGGCCGGAAGTGCAAATAAGTGCGACAACCAGCTCTGGCTCGAGCTCCTCAAGTTGTGCTACCACGGGTGACGGAGCTGCGGCCACTGCGTCGTCTTCGAGTAAAGAATGGTCTGGCGTGTCGTCCTCGTCGTCGGCTTCCTCCTCCTCGAGCAGCTCTTCTGCGTCGAAATCCACTTCGGACACAGAGGCCTCGGGGGCTTTGCGCGGACACAGAAACAGTAAAACAAGACAACGCACTGGCGAAGAAGAAGCTGCTGCCGGATCGATGATTGAGTTGCAGGCCACGCCGCCACGGCGCAGGGTGAGTGGGGATCGAGATGAAGAACAAGTGTTCGCCGAAGGTGTAACTTGTGAGGTCGTCGATGTACTGCAAGTGGTAGAGCACGACGAGCACGGGAGCAAGGCTCCTGCTGAGCCATCTTCAGCAAAAGAAGGTGTTGGCGCTGTCAATGATACTGAGGATCAAGCCAGTCCAACAAGAAAGCCGAACAAGGGCGCTACCACCCTTCCCCAGCGGCTTCAGCCACCGCTACCCCGCCAAACGCAGGCCGGGACACCCGCGAAAATGAAGCGGAGAAAGCGGAGGAGCAGAAGGCCTCCAACTGCAGCTGCCGTGGGCGGGCACCAGGGGCTTGCTGGTCAAGAGGCTGCCGGTGGTTTTACAGAGGATGAGCAGAGGACAGCGGGGATGAAAGATGAACCCGACACGAGAAATGAATCAGCGAAGATGAGCAAGCGCCTTCTTTCAGCTACTGACGGTGACGACCGCACTCCTCGACCGTGCACGCCACAACAGCAAGATGAATGCAGTGACGCCTCCGAAGATGAGTCTTCTGAAGATTGTTCTTCGCCGGAGGTGGATTTACAAGCCGACTTTGGTCGGGAAGTAGAGGTAAAAAATTCTCATCCGCCTGTCGTCAACATTGCAGCTTCCGCCAGTCCGCATGGGAGCCGCACTAGTAGAGTGACTGACGTTGTTCCCCTTCGCGGCGCCAGGGGAGACGTCGACCTCGATGGCGTTGCCGAGCGGAATAATAAAATGCTGGAGCCCCCTAGTGCGGACCTTCACACGGCCTCGGAGCAGGACCACGTGATTTCGTTTGGGGATCAGTTCCAGGAAGAAAGAATGACCACAGTTCGTCGTGCCGCTCCTTCACCTTCCCCCCGAGAAATTAAAACTTTCGCCCTCCCCCCGTCCCTCAAGTCCCGCATGTTTTCCAGCAAATCCTTCTGGCGCGACCTTTTCACGTCGTTCGAACTGCGCTGGTACGGCAGCCTGTACGGAATGTGCGTTTCGCTGATCTGTCTCCTCGTCGCGATCGCGCTCCGGTCCTTCACCTTGACCGTTGTTTGTCTGTTGTTCTGCAACTTCTTCGGGTCAGTCTTCTGCACCCAGATCGTGGGTTTGTCCGCGGGACTCGGCGCCGTGGAGGTGCTGGTCGCGACCAGCACGGGACAGGGGCTGGCCGGCTTGGTCGGCGGCTCTCTGTCCTTCATCCCGCTGAGCAAGGTGCTCACGTTCATCTACTTGCTGCTTTTGGCTTTCGTGCTGTGGCTGTCCTGCCACGGCCTGTATCTGGTGTTCAAGAAGCAGCCGCATTTGAAGATATCAGATGCAAAAATATCTGGGTCTGGAAGAATGCACGTTTGTCATGCTTGTTTCGCATGACTCCTATATCTGTCATGCACAGTACCCAAGAGACCCATTTTTCTGTCGTGTAGAAACGCAGTCTGTCATGGAGAATAGGCAACACCTAGAAGCTCAGAAACTTGTCATGCTGAGCCAGCACTTGTGGCCTCCTGATGATACGCCACCCAGCATCACAAGTTTCCAGACCCAGACACTTTTGCAATTCATAGAAGAACCTGGTGCACAAAAACGGATTGCAGTATTTCGGGCAACGGGAAGGAATTCGAAAAATTACAGGAGATCTGCGAGCAGGGAGTGGAAGAAATCACGGTCAGCAAGAAAAGACAACTGATCATGATGTTCAGGATGGTACCCCACAACAAGTGGAAGATGGTCATTTAGAACCTCACAGCACCGTCCAGAGTGGGGCGCTCGTTATGGCTGATCTTCATCGAGAGGAAGCAGATGCTGAACAGGCTTTTAGTGAAATAGAAGACAGTTATAGCACGCCAGACGAGGAAGAAGAGCGACGTTATAACTTAGTCGCCCAAGAAGAAACCTCTCTCCTCCGAACCGTCTGGCCGCGGATTCGGAGCTACCAATTCTCGCTGTTTCTTTGCTACGTCACAACCTTCGCGCTGTTTCCCGGACCGCTCGTGCAACTCTTATGCATTGCAAAAGCATCTTCGTACTCGTACAAATGCATGAGAAATTTCCTCAGCGTGAGAAATAAAATCTGTAATGCGGATTTACCTTACGAAAAAAATTTGTAATGCAAGACTTGCATTTATACGAGTGCGATACTTTTACACAGGATAACTCTGCCCGAAGGACGATTTTCTCGGTCAATTACTAATCGGCACCTTTCAGATATCAAAGAAAAAAACGCTGTTAGTGTAAATTTGTGATGCGCAGCATGCAAATTGATTGCGTCTGTCATGCTTGTCATGCCATGTAGGTTCCATCAAAGACCGTTTTCACGTACAATCTGCGCATGACAGGTTTCTGCTGTCATGCCAGACAGATTTGTAATGCTGTTCCTCCAAAAAAGTTACACCTACAATGTTTTTTTCTTGGATATCAGATCTTCGACGTGGTGGGGCGGAAAAGCCCGGATGTGGAGTTCCTGCGCACCACCCGGAAAAAACCCATTGCGGTTTTGTCGGTCTTGAGGATTGCCTTCATCCCGCTGCTTTTACTCCTCGCGCAGAACGAAGAAAACGTGGGGCTGCCTTGGAAATTTGTACTTTTTTTTACGGGTTTTTCCCGTCGAATTCGGAAAATAACGGGAATCAGATTCATTTTGTTGCATTGATTTGGGGAGATTCTTTCGTACATGTAAAAGACACGGCATTATCAAGTTCAAACCTGTATTAAGCTTTTTTGTTGTTGTGATGTTCAACTTCAATGCACCACACAGTTTCTCGCCGGTGTTTTCGCAGTGACCAACGGCTACTATCCTGTGCAAAAGTATTGTACTCGTACTAATTGCAGATATGCATGACAAATCCAACTCTCTACCTGAAATAGCATGACAAATTGCATTTTTGTTCTTGGAAAAATTTGTAATGCAATTTATACTAGTACCACGATACTTTTGCAGTGCATAGCTACCTGTCCACAACGATCTTCCTCCAAGCCACCAACACGCAGACGAGTACAAAAGCGAAGGAGATGGTCGGGCAAATCACGAACTTTTCTGTCACCTTCGGGATTCTGCTCGGGGGTTGTGTGGGCTATTTGCTGCAGGCTTTTTTCCGCGAAACGGTCACCATGATCGACTACTACATGCACACCGGGATTGCCTACTGAGTCGCGGTCGGTGGGTGATGCCACCAATCAAGATGCGGAGGAGCCGCGAGTCAAGTCTTACATGCAGTTTTAGATCACCTCCTCCAGGACCAGCGGCATCCGCTTCATCGGACGATTTCACGCTTACCAGCGGTCGGTGACTGTGCGTGGTGCTGGTGCCGCACGACTTCCTTTTCGACGAAAATCAAAATATGATGATTTCCAGCTACACCGAATGAATTCTCTGGGTCTTCTTGAACTTTGTGCGCTATTTTAATTCGTAGACCGCACCAGGAGAACTCGAGAAAACAGCCTTCACAAATGACAAAACTTCTGAGGCCGCTCTGCGGATAGTTGTTTGTTACTTAATTTTTCGTCTTTTTCGACGACCGATGCCGACCACGACAAGCCTTGATATGGATCATGTAATCCTGGTCGTCGGAGTCCTCGTTGCCGAAGAGGCACAAAATGAACCACGAAAGTGAATAAACGTGAACTACTATCGCGACTTCTAGACCAGGTGGGAGCTGCATGTCCCTCACCAAATCAAATTTTGAGTGGTTTCTAACGTACTAGCGGCTGTGACTTTAAGCTCGTTAGATATACATGTGCTGCACGACAGACCAAGGACCATATTGCTTCGCGTTCACGAGAGTGAAGCTGAAGTTTTTCGTCGCAATATTAGGTGCTCGGCGGCACATCTACCTCAAAGATCAATCTATTAACACATTCAAGAAAGAAATGAGTTGCTCGGCCAATCGTTTTTGTGATTGTGATTGTGAAGTTCCGAACCCGAAAATCTGAGCAAAAGAGCAGAATTGCAGTATATCAAAACAAACACCGATCGTTTTTTCATTGTCTGTCCGGAAGATCGACGTTGTTTCATGCCTTTGCTCATGTTCTTGAAGAAGATCTCCGTAAAGCACAGAGAAGTTCATTTAAATTCAGCGAGAGCCGGCCCTCTTTGTCTAGTAGAGTGATTCTGATTCTACTCAAAATGTCACAAGTCCAGGTTTGTGATGGTGTGTGATTTTTTTTGCGACAGCGACTGGTGCTTTTGGCCACTTCATTGATGATTCTTGTCATTTTTTTTGTTAGGCCTGGGCCCTCGAGGTTTAGCTCATCGTAATGTTGGCTGTATCAACACCATATTGGACGCCATATTTTAATGATAGTTGAGGCGATTCAGTCATTAGAAGTATTGGACTTGAAGATTGTCGACGCATAATTCGTTGGAGATGATGAATATCATACCCAGTGGCCAATGCCGAATCAGGCATAGACGCACGTTAAAAGAAAGCTAAATTATCACCTGGCAGCCGAACAAGTAAATTATACTGAGAAGGAGCATGCTGATGGATGTTGACCCTGCCGAACCCGATCGGTCGGGAAGTGGTCGAATTCTAGGTGCGTCAATAACTGCGACACCACTGGCAGCTGCAGGAGCAGGCGAACGGATGAAGAAAACAATTTCGACAGATGACCTCCACGAAGTAGACCAGGAGGTACAACTAAAAACATCATCTTCATCACAAGACCCGCAACAAGTGCCTGTAGAACCCCTGCCGCGATGGGTGTTGCTTCTCCTGGGCATCAGCGGGATGATCGGGTACAACGTAACCGCGATGTGCATTCCCACAATGTCCGACGAGACTTTTCAGAAGCAAACGCAGTGGGGCGACCTGGTGTCCCTCTTTCGCGCGGTGGGCAACGTGATCGGCGCTGGCTGGACGTTTTTCTGCACCCGCAAGGAGTTGCCGCTGCTGCTCAACTGGCACATCGCCACGACCGTGCAGGCGGGGTGCTACTTGGTGCTGGCGGTCCTCGTTGCCTACGCGAATGTATTGCCGAGGCTGGCGGGGCTAGTAGTAGGGGATCATGATGAGCAAGGTACTATCGCTGGTGCCTCCACGACGTCAACAAAATCTTCGACTATCCGAACGATTGACCTCATCGCCGGGTCGGGTTTCGCGCTGATCCTGATCGCCGGCATTGGTTCTGCGGTGCTGAACGCGACCATGATCGGGTTCGTGTCCCGTCTGAAGGATCCGATGGGCTGCTACTGTTTCAGCGTCGGGCAGGGCCTGGCGTCGCTCGCGATCGCGATCCTGGGCTTCATGGTGCAAAGCATCACCAACCCGTGGGCGCCAGTCGGGTGCTTCGCCTTCGTCGCGGTTTTTCTCTTCGCGGGGTTTGCGCTGGGCCTCAGCTTTTTCCTCCGCAACAGAGTCCTGCAGGAATATTTTGACGGCAGCAGGAGGTGGCTCTGTGGACGACGACGAAAGCGGGGGGACACTACCTGTAGTAGAAGTACTGGGAAAAGCAAGATAAGTGGCACTTCTGGTCGTGTTTTTGAAATCACATTGACGAGGGACGAATCAGAAACTGCTGCTCCTCTGAGCAGTTCTCCGAGAGCTATGAAAAACCGTGAAGGTGGTGACCCATCAACTAAACTACACTTCTCTCCTGAAGTTGACATCGCCAGCGACGGTGATCAAGAGCCGGAATTTCTTTTGGACAAAAACTACACACTACGATCTCGGTCCAGATCGGAGTCAGGGTGCGCAGACCACACGGAGGTGCCCCCTCTATATGAAAATAAAACAACTTCTGCAGGCCAGCTTCTTGACGGTGGCGCGGAGGGGACGACAATAACGGATCGGGAAAAAGCAACGCTTCTTGAAAAACCAGCACTTCTCAGAAAAGATGACGAGATGAGTGCCACTAGCTTCCATCAAAATTATGATACTCTTAAGAATACCGCTGACGGAACAACAAGATCGGTTGTAGCGAACAAGCCCGAGGACACCACGCTGGAGACAACAGAAGCAGCCTCACTTGAAGATCAGCCGCGTCGCTCGATTTGGGCGATTTTTTGCGACGCGAGTTTGCTGATTTTCGCGAAATTTTTCAACATGATGGTGCTCATGATGGTGTTTCCTGTGTTGTGCAGTCAAACACTGCCACAGCTTCCGTCGGATCTGCTTTTCGGGTCGCAAACAGCATCTTCAAATGGAACCAACGCACTACAACCACAGCCTGCAACAGCCCTGACGCCGGAGCAGCAACAGCAGAAGCAGGACCTGATCCTGTCGTTCAAAACGCGGTTGATCGTTACTGTAGCCCTCGCCGACGTGACCGGCCGCGCACTGTGCAGCGTGATTGCCAAGGGCTGTGAGTATTGCTTCTGCTGTCACGACCGAAAGAAGCGCAGGGATGAAGATGCTGGTGGGAATGAGGAAGCAATTATAGACGCACCAAAATGCAACAGCGACGAGCAGGAGGTGGACCCGCTTCTAGTACACCGACCTCCAAATTTTGATTTGGAGGCGCAGCAAACTCGAGGTGGCATGAGGTCCTCGCTCGACAAGCAGCAGCAGAGGCTTATTTTGCAAGACGACAGAGCCGGCTCAGAAGATGCACCAGATCTCGAGCTGGGCCCAGAGGTCGTTGCAGACATGGAAATACAGGATCAAGACACCGCAAATATTGAAGATAAACCACCTTCAGCCCCCTCCTCGTCCAGCACCCGCCCGTCTCTCTTCTACCAGCTAGTTCTGCTTTCCGCTGCGTTGCTCCGCGGCATCGGGTTCATCCCTCTACTATTGCACGTTCGAAACACGAGTCGGGCGCAGCTCGAGCAGCAGGAGGCTCCCGCCCCGGAAGTACTACAACTGAATAGCAACGACCCCGTAAGCACAACTACTTCAGATCTAGACCACAATATTTTCAATCAGGACTGGTTCAAATTCGCCGCCTTCGCCTGTTTCGCTGTCGTCGGCGGGGCCCTGACGTCGCTTACCATGATGAACATCGGGAAGACGGTGGACCGGGGGAGCGAGAAGCAGCTGGTCGGTGCCATGTTTTCCGGCGCGGTGGTGCTCGGAATTACGACGGGACAGGTTTTCACCCGGTTCCCGCCGTTTCGGCTGTAGTGCTGGGAAGTAGATGCTGATGTCCTCCTCGTGCAGCTGGGGGGAGAATGTTCTCGGGTAGCACGAACATGAACATGAACTGGCTCATCAATCTGGACGAGGATGAACAAACCGAAATTCTTAATCTGGTGATTCTGACCGCTTTGGCAGAGCCACAAGCGATAAACACCAATTTTCAAGCAGCAAAGAGTGCTGCAACTCAGTACAGTCGTGCTACCTAGTTACTAGTAGTAGTGTAGAGTAGTTTAAGAAGTTGTTAACTTCTCCTGAACATGGTGTCGTCAATTCGACTCGACGAAGTGTAAGTAATTGAGAAGATGAAGGCGAACAAGAAATTGGAATTGCACATGCCCTCCGTAGTTGTGCCAGCTCTCTTGTTATCCTTGCGCATAGATCACGCTTGATGTTGGCTATGACCACTCCGATCGCAAAAATCCTCTTGTCACCCGCCCGATGCAAGGGCCACGAGAAATCTTACCCTAAGACACACATTGGTAGTCCCACCCCAAGTGCATGTGGTGCGCTCTATGATGAAGAAAACAAATACAAAACTACATAGAGTAGTTGAGCGACATTCATTCCAATGAAGACGACCCCCTAGCCCTACTTACCCCGCAAGCACCGCATTCAACGGTGATCGAGATATCTTAATCTTCGACCAAAGAAGAATACATGATGGCCTGACCACACCATCTCGTTTGTGACCGCATTGAAAACGCGCACAGACAGGAGGTGCCGTGTGAGCAACTACGGTTGCACATCTCGTCTCGAGTACTACCGTATTCTATTGATCCTCACGTCGCTGTCGTTGTTCTAGCTTGTTGCCTGAGCGAAATAAAAATTCGTAAGCCCAACTACACCGATGCTGCTTTTATCGTTTTGATGATTCCATTTCTTGAATGGAGGTTCGTTAGTACGTGTGCCCTTGGGCGTTAGCACTGTAGTTCATCATTTGTCGTGAGTGAATAGATACAACAAGGCAAGAAATTCTAGCAGCTCTATATCAACCTACGTCTGCGTGTCGGCGTCCTGCTCGTCCATGTTGCTAGCCACAATGTCTTCATCTCCTGTGTGGCGTAGTACGTATGAGCGTTTATTCGTGCATTGGGATGATCTCTTTGAGTGTCAATGAGCGATGGCGACGGATAGAGAAACTAGCACTTCGTTTGCGACGTTCTCGTAAACGCGGTAATTAAGCATACCTTGTTAGTTTGGGACATGTAATTTTTATTTTTCGGATTCGGGTCGGTTTAATTTAATTTGAACCTGAAGCACCAGGATGGCTATACGTGGTAATGACTCAAAATTATTTAAAGTCATAACAACATCATGCAACTCTATCACAATGAATGGGTGAAATCGAAACATTTTTCATCCAGGGGGGAGTAGATTTTTTTTTTTTTCCTTCGGTATTGTTGTACAGACGGCCGTAGGCTTCTTGATACAACAACAGTGAGATTTTCAACGAAAGGAAAGAAGAAAAACCAAAAAAAATGCCCGGCCTGGCGGCAACTTCAGGCGGTGGCGCACCGACGCACAATGCACAGGTGGACGAGACGCTGTTCGGCTCAACGACCGGGGGAGCGAGAAAAACGAAGAGCAAGGACATCTCAAATCTGATGATTGTCGGCAAGGACACCGTGAAAAAGAAGAAGGGAGGCCCCGTAGTCGCCGCAAATCCGGTACTATTCTTCACGAAGATGAGTAGCAGTAGCTTCATGAATATCGATATCCACTCCAAATCGCCCCGTTGGGAAACGCAGACGAGTTCACGACTCGTCGTTTTTGCATTTATTTTCGGCTTGGACTGGTTTGTACTTCATAACACACAACTCGAACTCCATTTCAGGCCGACGCTGGCATGGCGACCGTAGTGGCAGCATCGGAACTGAACCGAATTAAGGAGTCCACGAAAATCGTCTCGAAGCAGGAGGAGGTGGCCATGAAAAAAATCAACGAGGCAGCGAAGGCCGAAAAAGAGGCCAAGAGCAGAGCGAGAAAGGAGAAAATGGTAAAGAGCGAAGCGGTTTATGAATTCCAAAAGTAAAAATCATGTTGCACTTGCAGTGTGTGCTGTTTGTCATGCTGATTTACCTGAGAAATGTAGTGAACAATGTCTTACATGATTATGATTACATCTTCATGAACTCAAAGATCCTGATGGAGGAGGAGCGGAAAATGAAGATGGCGATGCAAATATCGCAACAAATAAAAACCTATTTCACTGGAAAAAACCTGTGATGCTGAAGATGCAAAATAGCAAACTTTATTGTCGTGTTAGAAATGCGAGAAGCACGTAGCCTTTAATATGTCTGTGCTTTGCTATTGTTTCCTACTAGGGACGAAGCACGCATGGAAAACTTTCTCTGTTAAGCGCAACAAACTTGTCATGCAAAGTCTAGTACAAGTACAGCTCCAGTGAAGCAGGATTTTCCCTCGATAACGAATGACGGACTTCGAGAAAGAGGAGCAGGCCAGCACAAACGGTCTGCTGCAGAAAGCGAAGGACAAGATGGACGAAGCGCACGATGACGTGAAGCACATGAATGCCATGATGATGTACTCCAAGGTGGTCACCATCAGGGACGCACAAGTCCAGGAAAAGAGGTGTGCTCTTGTTTCTGTACGTACACATTGCACTAGTTTTACTTTTATTTTCATTTTGCATTGCGTCGAAGATGTGCCCACCGCTGCGCTCGGCAAAGAGAAAAATTTATGAAATGACCCAAATAAAGGTACATCCACCAGGAACGGGAGGAAGAAGAGGCACAATTGGATACGATGATGGAAATTGAGCGACTCAAGGCCTTGAAAATGTACGAGGAGCGAAACAAAGCCCGAGCAATGGACCAGAGGCGAGGGGCACAGGTAATTATTAGACGAGTTTCGTTTATTGAAGATGCAGCATGGTTTTACACATTTTTGCATGCCCGTGCGAGTGCGATAAAATGTCGAGTTGTAATCTGTGCCACTGGAAAAAATGAAGCAACGCTTCTTGTTCTTCGTACGTGCGGAAAGGTCAAGATGAATTGATGCCCCGCATGAATCAATGACACATAACATTATCAAAACAGGTTATCATCGAGCAGATTAAGGACCGTCAGGCGCAGCGATTACGGGAGGAGGAGTCACGGGACCAGGAGCGAGCATTTATCCTGAAGCAGATTCAGGCCATGAAGCAGGAGGAAGTGGAGCTGCAGAAGGCGAAAAAGGTGGCCGCCGCATATGAAGGCCTCAGAATAGAAATCCTCAAAGTGGAAATAATTTGTGATGCATGAAATGCAAGGCAAAAGCGACTGGATTGCAGAGGACACAATGGAGGCCGACTGTTATCCTGCTAGGGGTGAAGGAGTGGGCTGCTGATTAGCACGACAGAAGGGCACCCCTTTGCCTAACTAGCATGACAGACACGTTTTGAGTGCCCGGGAAATTTGTCATGCGCCGACTACAAATGGCGCTTCAACTGGAGTCGTTTTTTTGCATTACACTTTGAGGATTTCCAACCTGAGGCTTTCATACCGCAAAGCTGATGGGCGAGGTCGCGGTGGCGAACGCAGCGACCATGAAGATCAAGGAGGAGATATTGAAATGAAGAAATGTGCCCTACGAGGACCCCCAGAGGTGAAAAATGTTAATGTTTCTCATGCATCAACAGTTTTCTAGCTAAATGCGAAATTTTCGTCTTGCATGATTGAAAGGACCGCTACGATGAGTCTGCTTCCTAAAAATCGAAAGCTCAGACTGTTGAAAGTCGTTGCTACAAACATGGTAGATCCTCCGGCTGCTAGGTCTTTTTGCAACACAAAATTTGGCTCTTCTGCATAAAAAAATTGTGTTGCTGCAAGATGCAGCAAGGCTCGGACTGTTTACAAGAACATTGGGACTTCTTTCGCAATAAAACTAGCTTCCTTTTATTTCTGGGGTACTACCACCAGGGGCAGTTTTCATTTCGATAAGAGAAAATCTTGGCCGAGCGACTCGATGATCAGCAGATTCTCGAGTACCAGCGGGCCAGGGAGCGCCGAGAGCGCGAGATCGAGGAAGAAAAGAAGCGCGTCGCGGCGGTATCAAATGCAAATATGTCTGGGTCTGGACGGACCCGAACTTGTGATGCGTGTTCCGCATCCTACAAAGATCTGTCATGCTGAGAGGGCATTTCTCATGCGGAATACGCATCACCAAGGAGCTGCAGAACCTGTGATGCTAGGCCCTGCGTTCCAGACGTGGAAGACCTTGGAAAAACTTCATAACAAATCTCGGAATCTCCCAGACCCAGACATTTTTGCATTTGATAGGCGGAAAAGGAGGCCGAAACCGCGAAACTCCGAGCACAGCAGGAAAAAGCCGCCGACAAGGCAGCAGAAATGGTATAACTAAGGATGTTGTCAAAAAGGTGGAAGATGATGGCATGCAAGAATTTGTACAAGTTTCAAGTTTATTTTGTCATGCGAGACCAGCGAGATAATTTTGTTGTTGATTATGTACTACTTGTATGATACGAACAAACTATATGATCATAGTCCATAGTAGTTGTTCTTCCCGTAGTACATTGCAGACGTCCACGCATTTTCTATTTTAATTACGCGGCAGGATGCGTTGCGCGCAAAGCGGGCCTTCGAAGCCGCGGAGCGTGCGGCCCGGGGCAAGGAACAGCAGGAGCGAGCGCGCATCGAGGCCATCAACGAGGAGCTTTCCGTGGCCCGCAAGCGTCAGACCGCCGAGAAGGAGCGACGACTGGCCGAGCAGGCGAAGCAGGAAAGAGACGAGTTCGACCGGATTATCGCTGTGCAAATCCAACTATCCTACGCAAAACTATCGTACTCGTATTGCAGTCATGCATTACAAATCTTTTTCTTAAGGTAAATCCGCATTGCAAATTTTATTTCTCATGCTGAGGAAATTTGTAATGCATTCATACGAGTGCGATACTTTTGCAGTTCATACCAACAAGAAGAAGCGGAAACCGAAAAGTCCAGTAACGAGAAAAAGGCCAGGTACAGAATACATCGATGGGGAATGATCTAAATCAAAATCAGAATCATTATGATCCACCGATGTCAGTTTGTAAACGATCCTCCTGCTCAGATGAAAATGCTCAGATGCTTTCTTGTTTTATCCACTCTACTAGACGAGAAGCAGATGCGCAAGCGGAGCGAGTCAACAACATGTAGGGGGCAGCTGTATAATTTGGATTATCCGCATGAAGAGAACAATCGTTACACGCACACTGTAAGAACATTCATAAAGGTATCTCCACTGCGACGAGTTGCGTAAGCAGATTGCGGCCCGGGAGGAGAAGCAGTTGCAGGACCGCAGGAATGCGCTGGAGGAGGGTAACAACGTGCGGGCAGAGCTGGCCGCGGAACGGCGCAAGCTGGAAAAGATCAAGTCGCGCAAGATCGACGAGCTGAAGAAGGTCGGTGTTCCGGAGAAGTACTTATGATGGTGCACAAGTTCCCCTCCCCCTCATGATTTGTATGTTGGTATGACCAGCAATACAAACCAATACAAGTAGCACATCACACGCATGCTGTGCATGACATGTTCGTGCGCCGATTGTAGTTCTCTTTGCGCTTCCAGAGTTTGTCATGTGAGCAGTGCTACAAGGCAGCAACTGGTACTGCGTTAGTTTGGAATTTTGCGTGACAACTGCGGGGGAGGGGTAGCTGTGCGCTCTCATAGTACTGGTCTGAGCTTGCGAAAAAGAAGATCGCGGTGTAAAAAACGCCAGGTGGGTCGAAAAATGATGTTTCGAGTGTGAACACGAACAGTTCAGAAAAACATAAAACATTTTTATGCACATCGGGGCAAGCATGAAGAACCAGAAAGACTAAAAACAACACCCTGCAAACGACGAGCGTCTTCCTTTGCAAACAAGATGATGCAGCTCAACTAGTAGAAACTTAGCCTAAAAAACGGTCGCGATAGATTGGCCGGTGGGCTTCTTCAATTTATTACCAGAAATCAACATCAATAGTACCAGTTTGTTACGAACTCAGAAAATGCCAATGAGAAAAATGAACTTGAACAGAATTTAACCTTAACAGTACACAATAAATACAAAGCTAATTATCATGAAGATGCTCGTGCTCGTCGTGGTCATCGCTGGTGATTTACTAAAACTTTTGTCTTAACTTTTACAACTTCTAAACCTTCAGTTTTATCACACTTACTCGTAATATTAAGCCTAGAAATAGTTCAGAAATTGTCAGAGAAAAATCAAAATAGTAGAGAGAGACAACTCAGAAGCAGAGGAATAGTTCTTACGCGGACGCACGCGTAAGATGAAGATAACACAATTGTCACACAGTAGAGCAAGCAACAGAAATAGCGTGGTCAGCACCACAGCTGGACTTTTATCCCGCCATTTCACCTGTCCTCGTAAATATGCATTTGCTAAAGATTATACGCCGTTAGACTTTACAGTAGCAGTTGTAGTACAGCGTGAGGTGGCACTGGAACAACTCCACCTCCTCGTTCTCGTTGCTAATTGAAAATTTCCCTCTCGATTTCACGAGGAACGAAACTTGAACTAACCTTTACCAACTTGTTTATTTATCAGCTTATTTGTTTTTGTATCAGTTTTAGCGTACTAGCAACGAGACAATTCTACTTGTGGAGCCCGTGGTCGTCCTCGTCCGTGCTGGAGGGTATTAAGCAACAAAGGTATTTTGGAGACGCGGCAAAGGTATTTTGGAGACGCGCGCGCTGCGCGCGCGCGCAGTACTCGTCTTTCATTCGCCAGCTAGGGCTAGCAATGCCGCGCGCCCTGTGTCCTTCTTCGTGTTTTGGCAAAGCGCATCGAGGCGCGAAGGCCTGTGGCATCGCTTGGAAAGGATGGCTGGAAGCCGGACAACCTGAGGCCGTCGGGCTTTTGTGTTTCCTTGTCCACGCCCCCCAATGCTGTCGCTGCGCGGCTAGTTTCCTCCTTGCTCTGTGTGTGTATTTGTGATCGCCGGGGGCCAACGAGTGGTTGACGTTTTCTAGCTCGGCGCTGGCGATTTTTGTGGCGCAGCCTGGGGGACGAGTCTGTCGTCGTGGTTGTTGGGTGTTTGAGAGGTTGACGTGTAAAACACGCGCACGCCCCTCCCAGATCGGGGGCCTGCGCCGGGAAACATTGGGGCCAGTTGCGTAGAGAGCCCGCCGCTGCGTGGCGGTCGATGCGCCCACTTTTGCGGCCTGCGTTTTTGCGTTCTGTCAGCCACCATACTATCGGGCCAAGGGGGCAACGTTGGCGCTCTTTGAGGTGACTTACATGATGCCACTCACCCCAAAATCCCAAAAAGTGGGAAATTCTGAATTCATTCTGAATTCATTAAGAAACACAATTAATTCTAGGGCGGTTCTGCATTAAGAGACAACTCTACTTGTGGTTGTGGAGCCCGTGGTCGTCCTCGTCCGTGCTGGAGGGAGGTATTAAGCCGGGGTAAGTACAACTGCTACGAGGGCCTACTGTCTACTTCGTGAGCAGGTCGACTCCTCCGTACCACTGTCGCACAGATGAATAAATAGTGCTGCACACCAGTTCTCGTGGCACACAGAAGAATTTTGCAGCAGAACCGCAATAGAAATTATCCTCTGGCGGGGTATGGCCTACTTCTGAAGATCGAGACTTTGCTGGTGCGACATGAAAGGAGGAATTTGAGTGCTGGTGGTCCACCGGTTTTTACTACAGGCAACAACTCCAAGTCGGCGAGGACGATGTAAATCTAAATCCTAGTGAAAATAATCCACCTTGAACTACATCTCGCGATGTATTTTTCAAGAAGAAGTAATATCACAATACGCGGCGGACGACTAAAGTGTAAAAGTCCCTTGCCGGAGCCCCCGCCTCGCGAGACTGTCGCAGCAGCAGTGCTAGCGAAAATGATTCTTTACGAATACGTTTCTGATAAGTGGTGTTCCCCGAAGTACGAGCGATATCTGCATAGCCTCTTGTTTTCGTGGCGTCTATAATTCGTCTGGTGTTGGAGTTGGAACACGGAAAAGCGTGGTGCGAGTGCGTGATAGTATTACATCCGCCTCCTCGGACGCTGTAGAATTCATTGTGACACATAGAACAGAAGATAATGGGGCATCAAAAGGAACATCAAACTCTAGAGAGCATTTTGATGAGTGTGAGCTACACCGTCTTCACCAGATCCAGAGTGGTCAGTGCTTCTGTTACTGAATTGGTTGCAGTGGATTTTTCTTCACCTTGACTGCGAAAAATTTACGAGCTTCTTTATTGCCCTTGCAAGAAATAAAACAGAAGAGCCTCGTCGTACTACGCCGAAGAAGAGGACAATGCCACTCTCGAATCGGAAGGGGGCGCGACGTCGTCCGGTATTTTTGACGACGTCAAGAGTCTTGCGTGCGTTCGAAGTATTCTCTCGTGCAACTACTACATCCTGGTTATCACGAGGATCTTCGTTCTTTGTCTCGCAGACGGCACATCACCTGTGTGGTGCAGTGACCGTGATCCCCAGCAAAAACAACAACGCGAAGAACCGCCCTGCGCAGACACATCAACAGCAGCAGACAGAAGTAGAGAAAGTAGAAAAAGAAGCACGGGCGGCAGGAGCAGGAACTGCAAGAACGCCCTCACCGTCGGCCGAAAATGAAGAAGCTTCAACAGAAACGACACAAAACTCTGGTGTTGTCCAAGGTGCTGCTGCTGGTGCTTCTACAACACAGTCGTCCAGCTTGTCAAAGCATGCATTGATGTCCCAGGCACTGCACGACCACGAGCAGAAGGTGAATAACATCTTCGAGGATGGGACGAACAACGAAGAAACGACAACTACATCAAGAGAAGCCTTCGACGAGCAGCAGCAGCTGATTCGCCTGCACGCGAAGACGGAACGGGACACGGCTTCGCACCAAGACCACCCCTATCAAGTGCAAATATGTCTGGGTCTGGAAGAATGCAGGTTTGTCATGCTTGTCTGGCATGACCATTAAATGAATCTGTCATGCACGTTACCCAAGAGCCCCATTTTTCTGTCATGCAGAAAGGCAGTTTGTCATGCAGAATAGGCAAGAACACCTAGAAGCTCGGAAACTTGTGATGCTGAGTCATCGTTCGTGGCCTCCTCATGACACGCCGCCCAGCATCACACGTTTCCACAGACATCCAGGGATATTTGCAATGCATAACCCCTACACGGTGACCACCGATCCGAACGGCGCGCGTCCGGCCTGGGTCACCAATCCCCTGGCGGAGTACTTTTTCAAGTACACCACGGGCTTGAAAATTTGGAAGTGGCACCACTACTTTCAGGTCTACCACTATGGAACTGTAGTCAGGATTGAAATTGACAAAGTTGAAATGATTTGCCATGCATAAAATGGATGCCAGTTGGAACCCAGTTTTCTTTCAAGTGGCGCGTGACAAATTTTGGCGGTGCCTAAATCCAGTCTGTAGTGCTGTTTGGGTAAGGAAGATGCCTTTTGTCATGCTACTTTAGCAGCTCTATCTCTACCCCTCAACAGGCTTGCAATCTGCCTCCCTTGCCTACTCTGCAAGACAGGCACTTTGTGGCTTGCATTTTATGCATTGCAAGTCATTCCAACTTTGACGATTTCAATCCTGACACTTCCATAACCACCGGCACCTGGATCCGCTGCGCGCCTACCGGGATCAGCGACTCAACATGCTGGTCATCGGGGTCCAGTCCGGCGGAGAGGTGGGGATGTGGCGCGAATACTTCGGGCCGAACCTGCACTACTATGGTATCGACGTGAACCCGGCCTGTAAGCTATGTTGAGAGTGCACATCTCCTACTTCCCGTTCCCCCTCATTTGATGTCACGAAACAACACACGAGGACACCCTCAGCTTCACCTGTTGTACTATCGCCCAATAGATGAAACAGCTTCGCCTTGCATTACAAGCTCGTCGAGCTGGACCAAGACCCTAACACAAGTATACTTGCACAGGTTGCGTCTGTTGAGATGATGAAATCTGTCACGCATAAGCTACGCGGCTTTGCCGCGCGGCCCTAGTCTCTGTCGCTTTTCAAATACGGGAGACGAGGGGGAAGAGTTGTGCACCACTCTCATACAAGCAAATCGAGCAGAAATACCCGAACACGAAAATTTTATCCTGTGCAGAAGCATCGTCCTAGTATAAATTGCATTACAAGTTCGCCCAGCATTACAAATTGAATTTGTAATGCTGATTTTCCTTGATAAAGAGATTTGTAATGCATAAATGCGATTAGTACGAGTACGATACTTTTGCACACGATAAATTTTCATCGGGGACCAGTCGGACGCCTCGTTTTTAGCGTCCGTGCAGCAGGATATGATAATGCACAACTTCCCCTGCTCCCCCTCATTTGTCATGCAAAATACCAAATCCTCCACTCTTTCCCCTTTGGCACAGCTTGCATGACAGACTCCGGAAGCCGATATAGCACTAGAACCGGTCGCGAATTTGCCATGCAAAAGCTGCACTTATGCCAGGACTTGTGTTGCAACTTATGCCCTTCAAATGATGGGGAGGGGCGGGAGTTGTGCACACTCATACAGGAGATCGCCGCTTCGGGCGCACCCTTACACATCGTTCTTGACGACGGATCGCACATCGCGTGGCACCAAATCGCGACTTTTGAAACTATGTACCCGCACCTGCACATCTACAACGGCGTCTACATTGTGGAAGACGTCACGACCAACTACGGTGCGCCGCAGAGCTCGGTTATGGATTGCAAAAGTACTTGTTCTATCGTAGTCGTACTAGTACTTACCTAGTATAAATAGCAATAATTTCATCGACAAGAAAAAACGAAGTGGAATCTGTAAAAAGATGCTGCTCCAGGTATTTTTTTGGAAAGAGATTTTTCATGCGCGTGGCGACAATTGATATTACGCGTTTGCAATGCATATCGGTGCACATGCAGCAAGCCCCGGCGAGCATCCTGAGTCTCCCCGCGGTCAGTTCGCAGCAGGAGTCGTTCGTGGAGCACATTATGGATGTGTTAGGATCGAAATCGACAAAATCGAAAAATTTGGGATGCAAAAAATGCATGACGCGAAATACGTGTGTTGCAGAGCAGGCAAGTGAGGCCGATTGTGAGCCTGTTTGGGGTTATAGCTCGAGCTGCTAAGGCAGCATTAGAGAATAAGTCTTCTTTGCCTAAACAGCATTACGAACTGGATTTAGGCACCGCTACAATTTGTGATGCGCCACTTAGAAACTGGGTTCGAACTGGAATCCATTTTATGCATGACAAATGATTTCGATTTTGTCAATTTCGATTTTGACACTCCCATACACATGAAAACCAGAGTCGACTACGTGAACGGGTATTGGAATATGGATTTGGCAAATTGATGTATCTGGGTCTGGAAACAGAAACCTGAACTTGTCATGCAAAGATAGGCATAGGAACAAGGGTAGAAGACTTGTTACAGCAGGGGCAGAAGGCAGTCTTCATCTTCAAGCATGACGAATTTTTGAAGAACGGTTCTGCAATTATGCGTAAGTCGCATGAAGCGAAGTAGCCCTAGCCGTATTTTTGTACGACAAAGAAGCAATACCCTTGCCCTTCTAGCACCGTAGCATGTCGTACATAATTCAGGAACACTGTGGTTCAGCATTGCAAGTCATGCAATTTTTTTCCAGGACGAGATCGAGACCCAGAGGTACTTATTTGTAGTGCATATAGAAGTTCGCGCAGCCTGGGGCTCCGGTGAACCCCTGGAACGACCCCTTCGTCACGTTATGAATTGCAAAAGTATCGCACTAGTTAGTATAAATTTAAATTGCATTACAAATTTTGTCAGCATGAAAAACTGATTTTGTCATGCTGTTTTACCTTAACAGTAGGATTTGTGACGCATCATGCCTGCAAGTAGTAAGAGTACGTTACTTTTGCACAGGATACACGTCTGTGAACGACATTTCCTTCTACGATGGCATGGTGGTCGTAGAAAAGTCCCCGCATCCGCATCCGACGCAAGAACACCGGGGAACCGAGGACATTCCCTACTGCACGCCGGGACAGCAGAACGGCTGCTTGACGTGAGGGATAAGTGATATCTCGAGTGTTTGTTTTTGATCCGATGTGTTCGGAGGTACTTTGTTCGGCATCACGGACGAAGTAATTTTCTTTTCCCCGGGACGAGGTGGTCGTTGGATGAACAAGAAGTATAAATAGAGTAAAACTGAAACGCAACTCCAACACCTACTGTTGATGCAGTCGTGGTGTTGCGATTATCTTGGAGGAGTGGAGGCTCTGTCGAGGACCTCGCGGCCGCCTTTCTTGTTTTTTCCAATCACTTTTCGCAGTGCTTGTGCTGCCCAAACAGCAGGGCATATCATTCAAAGTAGAATGAACAGTAGTTTTGCTTGTTCATCATGTTCACTTGAACGCCTAGCACAGAAGATGTTCGCGCCCACCAGCGGAAGCTCTTATCCTGTTCCTGCTAAGGAAGGAGAACGAGGTCGGTGACGGTGTTGATCTTATTTTCATGTCGCAGTTGCACCACACACGAACGATGAAAGAAACACCTTCGATAAGCTTCATGACGATCGATGACCACCAGGAGGTGGAGAGGATCTTGTTCAGAAGTCATAACTACTCACTAGGTTTCGCCATCTCTAACCATCATTTTTGCCACAGCGTAGCACGAGGATCACATTTGATACTAGCTGTGCGTGAGTGAAGCTGTGTATTTTGGATTTGAACATGAAAAATTGAAACGATATTTTTGTTTTCCCTTTTCCCGAAGATCGCGGATCATACGGAAGATGAAAGAGAACTGGGAGGACAGCTGGTGTCAATCTCAATGCTGTACTAGTTTGTCTTCGTTCCGTTGTCAATCTCATTTGTATCAGGCGAGCGCGAGGGCGACTTCCGACCACATACGATAGAACTAGACATGTAGCAGGTACTAGCAGCTTTGCTACAAAGAAGCCGCACGCAGATCGACATCGATCCACCATTTGCGAAAATTCACGAACTTTTTTCCGTGACAACTGCGCCGTCGCACTCATCTTTATTTCGATCAGCCATTGGCTCTTGCAGCAGGAACGACCTTAGATTGATACATTTACGGCCTGTAGTTTGGTGGACGAAGATCTTCCGATTGATGAGATTGTCGATCATCATCTTCGTGTTGGATCAAGTATGTACGTAGTTATGGTCTGCATTTTCTTTTTCTCCATCAGCGACACTCCAACAACGGTTTTCGACACTTAGAAACGTTTCCAAAAGAGTAATGAATTTAGAAACATAAAGTGTTTTGATGACTCGTACAGTTTTTGTAGCAGGCAGGCAATAACTCCCTTCTAGATTTGTTTTGTACGCCGTGAAAAATTTATGACCTCGATACCAACAGCGAAGACAAGAAAAAGCTGTGCCGCACCACGAGCACGACTCTTTGTGCGATTGCGTACACCGACACCATTGTGTGTCACCACATGATATGCCTATGCTGAATCATACAGATAAAGATATCTGGTAGAAGTTTTTCTTCCCCTATTAGTACATCAAGATGGCCACAATCGAGGCGCTGCGAAAGGCGGAGCAGGCTTTCCGGGCTCTGGACGAGTGCAGCGAGGCAAAAGAGAAGCTGAATCTGCTGCTCCGCATTGAAAAGTTCGTTCTGGTAGACGACCCCAGTTACCGGTGCATCGAGGCGGTGCTGCAAAATTTTTTGCACCTCCGCCACTATGACTCGCGGCCGCCGCCGCTCCGGCGCTACCTGGCGTACTTTCTCGAGCAGGTGGCGCTGCGAAAGTCAAAAATGGCGCTGCGGTGCGTCCCCGCCTGCATCTCCTTGTTGGAAGACCCGGACAGCCTGACGAGGCAGATCGCCATCCAGTCCGCCCGCAGTTTGCAGAGCCGCGCTCTATTACTGATCGCAAAAGCGAGTTCGGCGCAGAGCAGCAACGTAGAGGCCGCGTGCCAGGCCTTGGCGCAGCTGCAGGATCGGATCTGGAAAATTCTGGAGTACAGCGTGCAAAACCTCGCCAACGACCAAAGTAAGAGCACGCCGTTCCACCAAGCCTGTCTCTTTATCGCGCACCAAATCATCATCACCACCTCATCCGCGGTCTTCGTGCGTCCCAGCATCGGCGCGGAGCAGCGCGGCGTAGCGAGCATCGAGGACATCCCCCCAAACGACTTTCTGTCCCCCACACACCTCATATGACAATGCACAACTCCATCTCATCCCCCCCATTTGTGATGCAAAATACCAAATCCACTCTTGGCTTATTTGTGGCACTACATGCATGACAAGTTTTCGAAGCCCAAAGTAGTGCCCTACAATCCACCGCGCGTGTATTTGTCATGCGACAGCCACATTTGTACCACTGCTTGTGTTGCCCTTCATGCTACAGAAATGAGGGGGAGGGGGAGTTGTGCACTGTCACACCTCACCGAGCGGGCCACGGAGCGGCTGTCCGGGCTAATCACGCTTCTCGACCAGTGCCTGACCCAGCCCCAGGCCCAGAGCAACCCGGACCACGTCATTTCCCTGTTGGACGCGCTGTCAGTCATCGGTCGGTACCGGCCGCAGATCTTGTCTCGCGTCTTGGAGGCCTTCCAAAAATGCATCGGCCAGGACCCCTGGCTCGACACTTTACTATCGTTTCACGTGCGGTATCACATGCAAAAATGTCTGGGTCTGGAACAAATCAACTTGTCATGCTATATCTGAATGATGTAAAAATCTGTGTTGCGTGATTACCAAAAGCTGTCCACTTTTAACCTAATCGAGAGGCGGTTTCTCATGCAGGATAGGCATGATAGAACTCCCACAGAATCTCTCATGCTATGTCCTTCATACCAGACCTCATGGGTCATGGAAAACCTGCGTGACAAGTCTGGCACTCTCCCAGACCCAGACACTTTTGCAGTTGATATGCGGTCCTTTCTCGCGTGTCCGCTCGACGGCGACTACCACGCGACCTGCGTCCACGTCTTGAAGCGGATCGACCCGACCAGTGCGGGTAAAATAAAAACTGCTTGATGAATTTTCTTGTTGCTTTGTACTAGTAGGTTGATGATTCATCTGCTTTGATGTCGCTGTAAATTTATATATCTTGTTCGGAAGTAGGACATGATGTTTTATCAACGCCGATGCGGGTGCGACGACAGAAAGCCGCGATGATATGAATAAGCTTTTTATTGTGCTGCATGTTGACTTGCATGATCTCCTAATTGCAGTATTCTGAGTATTTGCAATTCCACCAAGCTGCTCCTGCTGCATTCTATTTTAGGTCTTCCCATGGAGAATTTGATTGCGGTGGCGCGGCAGGATCAGCTGCGCGCGAAATATTCCGAGAAGCGACGCAACCCATTGGTGCAGGAGATTCTGGAGTATCCACATGAAATTTTCCGTACACGTACAGACGCTGTTCCTGCATGACAAAACTTGCCTTCAGCATTAGGCTACTTAGTCAGCATGACAAGTTCTTTGACCCGACTCCACCAGGTTAATAGCGAAATCATTTGTCATGTATTTTGTGCATGTACGGGAAGTTTGTATTGCATACGAAGCTGCCCTTTGATGGCGACACGCTGCTGGGGACGGAGCAAGTCGTGTCCGCGTCGGAATTGGTAGAAACCGACCAGACCAAGTACGTCGAACCGTATACACTGATGACTCTGCGGCTGAACCCCAAGGACGCGGCTCGCGTGTGCCTCACCGGCTTGGAAAAGCAGCTCGACTCGGCGAAGACGTTTGAGCAGCCGCTGCGCGCGACGAAGGATCTGGAGGCTTTGCCGAGTACCGGAGGCGCCGCGGTAGCTGGCGGCGGAGGAAAAGTGGGAACCCAGGGGGCCGCCACCCTCGTTCCCGGGAGCGGCAAGGTAGTCACTGCGGACTCCTTCCTGGACGAGGCCGACCAGGAGGTGGCGGACCCGCGGGCGAGGAAACGGCAGAAGATTAAGGATAGCACGAAGGAGCAGTACCTGGACACCACGGTGACGCAGTTCGAGGGGTCGGCAGGGCAGCAGCAGATCCAGGGTATGCAACAGATGGTCTTTCACGAGGTGCTGCAGGCCCGGTCCCGGATGATGCGGAGTCTGCAGGCCAGCTGCGTGGCCTATCAAATGCAAAAATGTCTGGGTCTGGAAACTTGTGATGCCGGGTGGCGTATCATGAGGAGGCCACAAGTGCTGGCTCAGCATGACAAGTTTCTGAGCTTCTAGGTGTTGCCTCTTCTCTAGAGGTTGTGCGGGATATTCAGTTTTTGTTATCCCGGGACATTTGTGTTCCTTACCCACTTCCTCATTTCCTGGTTGACCAGTTGGTATGGTCGACTATAGGTGCCACCCTCGTTTCTCACCTCCAGGGGCCCTGGGCTCACCTCACCAGTGATGTTTCACTTGGCGGAAGTTGACAGGGTTCTACGAGCTATTTTGGGTGTCTATTGTCTATTGCCTCTTCCGCATGACAAACTGCGTTTCTGCATGACAGAAAAATAGGGCTCTTGGGTAATGTGCATGACAAATTCAAGAGTCATGTGAGACAAGCATGACAAACTTGCATTCTTCCAGACCCAGACATTTTTACATTTGATATGGCCGACTCAGCGCTGAAACAGTTCGACCAGATGAATAACCGTGTGGTTTCCCACCTCGCCAGTTTCATCGAAGACCCTCTGTTGGAGGAGGTGTTTTACGGGAAAGCCATCGGCAAGGCGCTGGTGAAATCGAACGATATCCTGTGCACAAGTACCGTACTCGTATCTATAAATGCAGGTCTTGCATGACAGATCTGCTTTTTTAGCTTGTTCTGCATGACAAATTTCATTTTTCCTTAAACGAAAAATTTGTCATGCGTTTTGTACTAGTCCGATGCTTTTGCAATGCATAAACGACACGTGGCAGCAAGACATCCTGCCCCTCTTCTATGCCAAGTACGCCTCCACGATCCAGCGTACCATGGAGGACCGGTCCCGGCTCAAGGTCGCGTATCATATGTAAAAACGTCCCCACACCAGAGTCAAGATGGGAACGTAGCAACACAAATCGACGAGTTTTGGGAGCCACGCATGACAACTTGCAGTCCGTAGAGTAGTGCATGTTACTAGCAACGACAACCGCATCACGAATCCATCTGCCTATCCTGTTTACAGCATTACGAATTCCAAAACACGATTGGAAACGCCTCTCAAGGAGATGCGCATTACAAATCTTCCTGTAATCGCAAATCTGCATGACAGCTCTGGGGTGGGGACATTTTTCCTCAGGATATCGCGCTGGAAGTGGCCAGCGACCACGACTTCAGCTATGCGAGCTTGTTCTATCACAGTGCACAACATGCTACTCCCCCTCGTTCTCATTTCTCATGCAAAGCACCCAATCCAGCACACTTTCCCTCCTTTCACTATTATGCATGACAAGTTCTGGTAGCCCAAATAGCGCGACAATCCAGTCGTGCAATTTAAATTTGCCATGCAAAACCGGCAGTCTTGCTGATGCTTGTGTTGCCCTTCGTGCTGATATACTACCAATGAGGGGGAGGTGGGGGAGTTGTGCGCTGTCATATGTTCGACCTCTTTCTGCGCGTGTACGCCAAACAGTTCGGGACCGTGACGAAAAAGGAGCTCCGCGAGTTCTTCGGCCTCCTGCCCTACCTCCCCGAGTCGTTGTTCGCGAAGCTGGAGGGCCAGTGCCACCACGAGGGCACGCGGCGGCAGGCGCTGATCACCTGCTTCTACGTGGCCGAGAAGTTTCCGCAGGCCCGCGCGCAGGCGATGCGGGTGCTGTTCAAGATGGCGTACACCCATCTGAGCGAGGGCCCGATCACCGACGAATCCACCTGCCAAACCGCGACCCGGTTTCTGGTATCCACAGTAAATTTCCCGTACACGTACAAACGCAGTCTCTGCATGACAAAACTTGCCTTCAAACCTAGTCCAGCATGACAAGTTGGACTCTGCAAGGTAGCGAAATTTGTCATGCATTTTGTACATGTACAGGAAATTTACATTGCATATCTGGCCGGAAAAGTCTACTCGCCGCAAGACATGCTTTCGAAGAAGAAAACGGAGGAGGAAGGGGGGGAAGCTGGAGTCGTAGAACACCAAGCTTCCTCCTCCTCGTCATCCACGACAGGAGCTGCCCAGCACCAAGTGGCCGACACGAACATGAACAGCGTGATTGCGCTGGATGCGCTGAAAGGCAAGGACCTGGAGGATCTCGCGACGCAGATGCTGCGGAGTATGGTCGGGTACCAGAAGTTTGGCGAAACGCTGCATCTATGCATTGGAAAAGCATCGTACTCGTACTAATCGCAGAGGACGCAGTCGTGCATGACAAATTTAGCTGTTAAGGTAAATCCGCATATACAAATTCAATTTAATTTGTAATGCTAAGCCAAAGTGTCAACATGCGATTTGTACTATGACGATGCTTTTGCGGTGCATAGCCTCCCTCCGGGTACGTGCGGCAGATTGTCGAGGAGATTCTAAACAACCCCCACGTCGTGCCGGGCACGCAGCGCCACTGGCTGTTTTTAGCCATGAGCATCAAGAAACCGTTACTGCTCACACAGCTGCTGGAGGTCTACTCGATCGCGGAGCAACAGGCCGGCCCTCTGGATATGAAAGCCTCGTCAGGTTGGAAATCCTCAAAGTGGAAATAATTTGTAATGCAAAAAAACGGCTCCAGTTGAAGTGCCATTTCTAGTCGGCGCATGGCAAATTTTCCGGGCACTCAAAGCATGTCTGTCATGCTAGGTAGGCAAAGGGGTGCCCTTTTCTCGTGCTAATCAGCAGCCCAATTCTGAACCCCTAGCAGGACAATAGTCGGTCTCCATTGTCGTGTCCTCTGCAATACAGTCTTTTTCGCCTTGCATTTCATGCGTCACAAATTATTTCCACTTTGAGGATTTCCATTGTGAGGCTTTCATACTGGAGGCTGTGAAGGACACCCTCGCGGAGCACATTGGCGAGGCCGTGAAGCTATCAAATGCAAATAAAAGTATCATGTCTACTGGTGGGCCTGGATCATGTAGTTGCGTGCAGATCTCTGGCATGCTGGTTTTGCTTCATCACCCTGCACAACTTGGTCTGGCATGCAAGTTGTCCTAGCACCACATTTTTTTACAAGGCCTGCCAATAAATTATGCCTAAATGATCCGCATGGGCATCGGCATGAGCAGAACTCATACAAATACAAGCGTCCTCTTTATTCGGTGACAAGAAGCGCAACAGCGGGAGGCTTTTGCTGTTTATGCATGACAGATTTTCGTACAACGATCTGAAATGCGCCGCGTCACGAGTCTGCATGTCTCCAACTCCAGACGATCCATAGTACTACGTACACATTTGCAATGCATAGAAGCACATTGACCCCGAGGCGCAACAGGGGACGGAGCTGCTGGAGGTGATCGGCGCCACGGAGCGGGTGAACGCTATGGCATTCTCAACTGTTACATTCTCAACTGTTACGTGGATTTGTGATGCAAGAATTGGAAAAGTGAAAGGGGAGAGGTTGGCTTTGCACAGATTTAGGTGCTGTTTAGCCCTTCGCAAATTTGTCATGCGAAGCAGCTTTCCAGTGTGAATCTTGATGGTAGTTCTGCATGACAAATTCATGTAACAGTTGAGAGTGTAACGGTTGAGAGCGCCATAAACGCGCTCGACCTGGTCGGAAAAATGCTCCAGATTTTGCTGCAGGAGCGACTGGACACGTACGCGCAGGCGAGCACCGACGAGGAGCGCAAGGCGCGCCCCATGAACCTGCCTTTCCGGTTTCGCGACGTGGTGTTGGCCAAGTACGAGAGTCTGGGCAACCCGCGCCTGCTGATGCCGATCATCGCCCTGGTCCCGCGGAACGACTGCGTGCGGTACTTAACCGATTTGCTGACGTCGAGCAAGATGAGCGGGGAAGACGTGAAGTGGATCATTCGCCACCTGGTCCGGATATCCTGTGCAAAAGTATCGTATTCGTATGAATGAGAATGTGAATGCAAGTCTTGCACTACAAATCTTTGACTTAAGGCAAATCCGCATGACAAATTTTATTTCTCACGCTGGGGGAATTTGTAACGCATTCATACGACGAGTACGATATTACTTTTGCAATGCATATCGGAGTTCCAACCACGAAACCTTGGTGGGGGAGGTGGACGCCAACTGTCTGGGGGTCGCGGTATTCTGTGCAAAAGTATCGTACTCGTATTGCAGTCATGCATTACAAATCCTTTTGTTAAGGTAAATCCGCATTACAAATTTTATTTCTCATGCCGAGGAAATTTGTAATGCATTTATACGAATACGATACTTTTGCAGTTCATACGCGGAGCTACTCAGCGAAATCCACCATTTGAACACGACCTTGTGCGACCTGGTCCCGTATCAAGTGCCAAAAATGTCTGGGTCTGGATGTGATGCGCATTTCACAACACAGACAAATCTCTCATGCACAGGCAGCAAAAGGCGCCCACTTCCTGTCACCAAAATGGGGAATTTGTCATGCGGATTAAGCAATTCGGAAGCTACTTCTCGAAGTCTGTGATGCTAGGGCTTCCATGACAGACATTTTGTGTCATGCAAAAACAGCATGACAAAAATCTGCATTCTTCCAGACTCTCCAGACACTTTTGCAATTCATATCCCGACCGCCAAGGCGGTGATTTGTCTGAACACGATGCACGAGCTGCTCGAGGCCGACGAAATTGATGTCTCGCGGTACGTGTTCGCGCTCCAGAGTCTGGCGGAAGAGGAGGAAGAGGCGGTGGGGTTCCCCACCTTGATGTTCCGGACGTTGATTCGACTGCAGAAGCACACTATCAAATGCAAATATATAAATATGTAGTCTGGGTCTGCCTCTGGAAGATTACGAGATTTGTCATGCAGTTTTTCCAAGTTCCACCAAGTCTGGAATGCAAAGCATAGCATCACAGGTAGTTCTGCAGCGCCTTGGCGATGCCTATACTGCATGAGAAATGCTGCCCTCTCAGCATGGCCAGAATAAATGGGGACCTTTTGCAAGTCACGCAACACAGATTTTTGTATGATCCGCAACACGCGTCACAAGTTCGCATCCTTCCAGACCCAGACACTTTTCCAGTTGATACACGCCGACTTCTTAAACGACTTCATTTCGACCGAGATTCTCCCCGCGCTGGTGAAGAAGCCGATCATCTTTTCCGAGAAACACTCCCGGTTGCAGGAGGGCATCCGGTGGTCGATCAAGTATTCCTTCGAAAAGGCGGCCGACAAGCGAGTGCCGGCGAAGGTCTTGTCGCTCCTACCGCTCCAGCAGTTGGAGGACCAGTTGGCGCAGTTTCCCGAGTGGAAAAACTATCTGAAGGAGTACTGCGCGACGCAGCCGCTGCACCTGATCCCGCACCACGTGAGGCAGTTGCTGCAGTGAACCAGGACGAGCTGAGGAGATGCCGCTGTTTCGTGTGTGGCGGGGTAGAAGTCTTGCTAGGTGATCCACCAGACGATGATATTGGGGAACAGAACGGAATATCCCACTTTCGGTTTCGTCCTTCTTGTCACTTTGAAGCCAACATTGAGACGTCGAGGACCACCAAGAAGTTCTTGTACTAGGCCGAAATGAATTTAAATCAACAGCTGCCTCTGTTGTATTATATTAAAAAATAATATGCGTCTACTCCACCGAAGATCATGTGATGGACCTTGATGTGTCCATTGTACTGCAGCCGAGGAGGTCCGCAGAGCTCCTTCGACTGGTCTGTAAGCTTAAGGTTGTACCGCCGCTATTGCAGAATTGTTTTGAAAAAACAAAATGTTGTTCTAACTACGAGGGAGCGGATCAAAATGCAGCATCGGTGAAAAATTAGCCTCAGGTCAGTGTATAAATGACTTATCAGTTTATGCCTGCTTCACTTGTCGGTACACGTACAAGCGATCTTCATCTCAACCCTCAAGCGTTATACTGATCGGGAGCTGGCGCTTCCTTCTTGCAGCACAGATCCGCCACGGAAGATCATTCCTCCAATGAATACTTCTATAGCAGTATCTAGGACTTCGTCGAACTAAACGAAAATCAAAATTTCTTGTCACGCGAAGCAGCTTGTTGATCATCTTGTGGCCATGGAATGTGATATTGACTCTGCATACTAAAACGTGTAAAAAGAACAGCGATCAGTGTAACCACGCGTGAGAACTTCTTCATACTTGAAAAATCCGTGTCAATGTTAATAGATGAAGATGAAGATCCTTATAAGAAATTCAAATGTGGCGATCTTCAGTTGGTGGTGCAAATTTTTATCATCGATAAATTGGTGCATATTTTATTAGTTGATCAAGAAATAAACTGCAGCCTTTCCTCTCGACGATGTTGTCCTGGTGACATTCATTCGAATTGGAATAGGTTTTGCCGGCGTCTGCATCCGCAGAATCATGAAGTAGACAAGACCATTTTTAGAAGTGACACGCGGAGCAAGAATCGTTTGTCCTGGTGCAGCCGGCACGACTACATCTACTCTGTCTAATAATATCTGCACAGGTCTACCTACATGGTATTATCTCTCGTCGCGCAAGAAATATAGAACAGAACAAGCGAATAGAAGTTGTACGGAAACTGTTTCTGTATCTGGAGCGACCTAACGATCCTTCGAAGACAAGATTTTATATACCCTTGTTTATTCCATGTTATGATGCGGAGCAACAGCAATTTTAATACCGAATAAGTTCTTCCTTGCATGGCATGCGCGCTAGTACCTTCAACTTCATCTGTTTTCATCCAGACTTTTGTTCTTGAAGCACTTTGTAGCGCTGCTGCAGTTTCGCCCCTAGTCGTATATCACTGGTCTACAACTCCTATCTAAGTCTAACCACCATGCCCCGTGCCGGCAACAAGCGGAAGAAGACCCGCACGCACAAGGTCGCGGCTGCGGGCGAGGAAGAGACGCGCAAGACGCCAAAATGCTTTGTCGTGAAGAAGGGCAAAGTGGATAAAACGCTCCAGGAGCTGGTCCAGGACTTTCGGCACGTGTGCGCTCCGAACTCGGCCCTGAAGCTGAAGGAGTCTCGGATGAACAAGATGCGCGACTTCGTGAACGTGGCCTCGCATTTCCACGTGACGCACGTGAACCAATTTAGCCAGAACACGGATTACTGCTACTTCAAGATTGGCAAGCTGCCCCAGGGCCCCACCCTGACCTTCGTGCTGAAGGAGTTCACCACGTGCAAGGACGTAAAGAGCTTCCAGAAGAAGCCCCGGGACGCATCCAAGGACTACCTGCAGCCGCCTTTGTTGTTGTTGAACGGCATGCGGTTGCAAGATGTTGTTCCCGAAGATATTGCTGCACAGGAGGAGGCTGGTGTGGATGCTGCGGGGAACAAGAACAGTAGTTGCGCTACTAGCAGTGGGACCACCACGTCGACCACACGACCAACAAGTACAACCTCCGCATCTTCTAACTCTACGACGTCCGCCGCCAGCCTGCACCTGGTCGCCACGGCGCTCAAGAACATGTTTCCAGCGGTCGACGTGAACACGTTCTCCACGAAGCGGTGCCGTCGCGTGGCCTTGTTCAACTACGACCAGAAGAAGCAGCTGCTCTACTTCCGGCACTACGGAATCGTCGAGAACCACGCCGCGGACGTGTCGCGCACTGTGCAGAAGCTGATGAAGCCGACCTTTGTGAACCGCAAGAAGGACGTGTGTAACTACCTGTTGAATCAGGGCGCGGGCGGGTGCGACTCAGACAGCGAGGGTGGGGAGTCCATGCTGCTGGAAGAGACCGCCCCGGGCTGGACGACGAGAAGGAAACAGGGGGACGCGGAAAATTATGGTACGAGTTGGTGTTGTGTTGACCTAGTACAAGTTGTACTGTACAACCAGAACGTAGTTTGTTTTCTAGTAGTTGCTCTCTGTTCAAATTCCGCCGCGCGGTGGTTTTTAAATCAGGAGGGGAGCAGCTGCGGCCAGTATTACTTACTGACGCTGCGTCGATCCGAGGGAGTTGTTCTTCGATCTTCTACTGAGGTAGTTCCACCAAGATGTTGAACCACGGGGCAGAAGGCAGCTTCCAGTAGTGCTAATGCGTAGTGAAGATGAGAAGTAGTGCATCAACATTCATGAAGGGCAACTACTCAATGAGCAGAGACGTTCTCGCTACTTAATGTACTATCTTGCTCACAAGCAAAAAAAACGTATGTAACCACGACATATCGTCGGCCCACCACGCCAAAATGAATTCAGGGGCAGAGGATGCGGCACGCCGCAAGAAGAACTCCGTGGCGGTGAAACTGGTGGAGATCGGGCCGCGGATGACGCTGAAATTGCTGAAGGGCGAGACGGGGTTTTACGAGGGCAGTATCCTGTTTCAGGAGTTCCTGCAAAAGACCGCGCGGGAACAGGCGCAGGTGGCAAAGCGCATGCTGGACGCGGAAAAGCAGAAGACGCTGAAACAGGAAAAACTGGAAGCGGACCAGCAGCACCGGGAGCAGCTGCGCGCGAAGCGGGATATGCATCGCAAATATTCATCTAGGTCTGGAATAAAGTTGGGAAGATGCATGTCAGCGATGAATAGTTTGAGCGCACTGAAGTACTATTCCACGTGCGCCACGACCAAGCATGACATATTTTTTCGCGGTCGTTCTGCTTTGCGTATAATTTCGCATGAGACACTACAGCGTCTTATGACAGACAACACGAGGTCCTCCTGGTGCCCACGCAAGAAAAATTATGTATACAGAGCTCAGAGTCCGCGACCTGCCAAACTAGCATGTTGACCACAGATGATCTCGCAATGTACTTCCAGAGAGCCAGTGCCAGACATGATATTTGCAATCCATACAGGAGCAATTCGAGCAACGAAAGCAGGACCGCGTCGTCAAGCGAATCGGAGGGGAAGAAGAAGACGAGGAGGACGACGATGTCGATATGATCGAAGGAGCCGACGTAGACGGGACGAGAGCAACCTCTTCCGCCTCAACAACCAATGGCTCTAAAAATACGACAAGTAGGGCGAAGTTTAACCCCTTCTCGTGGTCCCGCAAGAACAAAAAAGAAGGGTCTTCAACAGCATCTACTGCAGGAAACCCGGGAACGGTGGAAATCAACAGCGCCACGACTTCTAAAGCGAACAAAGGAGGTAAGGGAAATCAAACGATGAAACAACATCCAAAGATGGACAAGAAGAAGCTTTCGGTGTTAGACAAATGGAAAAAATCATCCTCTGGTACAACCCAAAAGAACAACGCGGCGAGTGGAAATAAAATGAACCAGAAGAGCAGAACAACTTCGAAGCCGATGCAAAAGCACGAGAATAAAAAAAGCACGCGGAAAGGACGGGGAAGGGAAAAAGCAAAAGCGGTGGCGGGAGATGCGGCAAGTGGAGCAGGTGGCGAGTAAGTTGTTCTGTTGTAGTAGAGAACATCATGAGAACATCAAGGCGCCAATTCTTATCTTTCTATCCAGCACAATCTCTGTTTGCTGTCCGCCCCGAAAGCAGAGACATGTGCGGATGGCATACTAGCCCACGTAGAGACAGTTGCAGTAGAGCACATGCCTACAAGGAAACAAACATTAAGAATAAGATCAAGTGCTGTCTCCATTTTGTCTCTGCGCGACCCGCTGTGCTCAACTACATATGCCCATTTTAATGGCCGATAGTCACACTGAGCAACATCTTCATCAAGCGCATTCTGCTTCTGCAACAATTACGATCGTGCGAACGCCACAGACTTCCGGCGTGGTCCGCATGAAATAAAATGCAACAGGGGCCGCGGATAATTGTTCTTCAGCATCGTCTCCACCTCGTGCTCTTCTACATAAGTAAAGTACTACGAGCACATGGTCGTTGAACTTTAAGCGTATTTGCCCCATGCTACAAATAAGATGCCACGCGCTTTTTATATGTAGGTCCCCTTCTCATGGTCCTAGTCGTCCTCTGGTCTTTCTTACGTGATCAGAAGTGAAAACAATGTGGTTCGGATTCATCGTCTTTTCTCATTCATGTCGAGGAGGTTTCGACGTCTTCACGTTGAATGATAGATATGCTCGTGTGGTTGTTTTTGCAATCCTAGAGTTCTGGTACAAGCTTCCAGTCCATCTCCATCTGAGATGAAGATGATCACTTTGACCGCCACCTTGGAAGTGTGGAGGGAGTATGGCTTCCGCCCCCGAACGATCTCACAAAAATTTTACACTTTTATTGGCAATAAGAAAGGTTGCCACCAGGTCGGTAAGATCTATCTATCTCTTTTAAGATCTATCACCTGCCTGTATCAGGATCTATCTGAAGCCAGCCTCCATCAAAATTTATCAGTCACATGCGCAAGAAGAACAAAGAGGTGCGATTCGTATGTATGAAGTTTACCCCGGTGGTTGTGCGTGACAAAGAACAAAGTCAAGGTTGAAGCGACCTCGACTCCCGCCTTTTCCTTGTAGACGTAGAATATATTTCTGTATTTCTTTGTTGACCTTCACCTTGACTTCTCCTTCTGGTTGTATGGGCAATATTAAACTGTTGGTCTTCATCTTTAACCTTTAAAAGCGTATAACTAAAGTTACAGTTGTGATACCAGCACAAGAAATCGAACATGAGGCTGCGGTTTATATTCTTGACGCCGAGGCTCGCGCCGTCCACATCGTCTTCCTTGAGCGGTACTATGAGCGGCAGGAGGACGACCTACTACAGTCGGTGGAAGCGGACTTTTTTGCCTCAAAAGTGGCGCGACAGTCTGGAACTGAAGGTCGTGGAAGATTTCTTTTTCCCCCTATGCAATACAAATTTCCTGTACACGACGTACGAAATACATCAAAAATTTCGACAACTGGAAGCATGACGCTTGTCATGCTGAATAGCAATAGGATGAAGGAAAATCATTTTTTTTGTCGTGCAGTAGAGACCGCTTTTGTACATCAGCGCGTGCGGGAAGTTTTACTGATTCTCTGTGGATACCCCACCGACGAGGAGTACGTGCTCGACTTCACCCGAAATTTCTTCGTCGGGTGCCGCAAGGCGGTCTGCGACGGACTGATTTTTTCGCTTCGGTCCCGGGCCATCCGCCGGGAGCTGCTGGAATTTTTTCGGGCGCAGGCCTTTGTGATTCTCGGGTTTCTCACACTGACGGTCTTGGTGTTCGTGTCTCCCCTGTTGTTACTACGCAACGTGCTGACGAAAACCCGCCCCGCCTCCAGCAGCCGGCCCCAGCAGATGAACCCACCGAGAGAAAAAAGTGTGTTAAATATAAGATCGCCCTTTTTTTTTATCGAGAACTTGCGTCCAGTGAAGGAAATAATTCTTCATTGTTGAAGACAAGCGCATGATGGGCATGTTGCACCAATATGTTGTAAAAAAAAGAAATACAAAATCAAAAACTCATCGAGTTCGAGAAGTTCTTCTTCTTGTGCGAAGTCATTTGCTCCCTTCGGGATCTTCGGGATCGGAGGCGCGGGCGGCGCGGGCATTTTTTCTTTTCGTAGCGGCTCACCGGGTGTCTCTACCTGTTTCGGTTTCACCAGACTGCGCGCGACTTGCTCGATATCGGTGCGGAGTACGAGTGGTTTTTTCTGCACTGCTTTCTGCGCATCGCGCCCCTGGTGCACCTGCTTCTGATCCGGTACCTTTTTTTCAAGAAGTTGGATACCTGTTTCTTCCTGGCCCTCAAGGACCTGCTGCACCGCTGCAACGCGAAATTTCAGCGGCCTCTCATGCTGGACGGAGGTAGTTCTTCTAGTAGCTGCTCCTCTCGTGGTCGTATCCTGTGCAAAAGTATCGTACTCGTAGTGATCCTGATCGCAATTATGCATTACAAATCTACTTGCTAGGGTAAATCCGCATATACAAATTTAATTTGTAATGCTGAGCCAATTTGTATTGCGATTTATACTAGTACAATACTTTTGCAAACAATGCATAGGTCGTGGGGACGAAGGACGACCTGCATGGGCAGGACCACCCGGACGACCACCTCCCGGGGGCGGCCTTTCTGCTCCTGGTGGAGGAATTGCACGACCAGAGCTGGAGCAGTACTCGACCCTGCCCATTTCCAACGTCGATGAGTTCGTGGAGCAAATACAGGCCCTCCCAGCGGTTTCGAACACTGTGGACGCCATGGCCTACAGAGTTGTGCGGAACCTGATCGTATGAATTGCAAAAGTATCGTACTCGACGTTATGAATGCATTACAAATTTCCACCTTAGCATTAGAAATAAAATTTGTAATGCTGACGCAGCTTAAGAAAAAAATTTGTAATGCATGACTGCAATACGAGTACGATACTTTTGCACAGGATAGATCGGGGTCCTCGTGCTCATCGGTTTCTACCTTTTCTCAACGCTCGGTGGAGGACCAACGGCTGCAACAGGCCTCTACCCTCTGCAAAACAAAGTATAACATTTATCGAGCTCGTCCACCTCGTGCAACTACTGAACCTGAAGTGAATACAGCATGACAAAAAATCTACATCTAGTGTCCCACGACGGGGGCGGCCTTCGCCAGCACTACAAACTGGGCGTGATTTTAAGAACTTGGGACGATGAAGCAGGCACAGGCTACGCCCAAGCGCACACTAGCTCTGGAGCGCGAGGATCATACTTTTGCAATGCATAGCCGAATCACCGGCGTCGGTACCGCAGAGGGCAGTGCAAGTAGCTCTTCGCCTGACGATGGTGGTGACGGTTCCGATCATAGTCTTGGTGCAGCAGCTTCTGCAGTAGCTCCATCATCCTCATTTTCCTCCTCTGCTTCCTCGCACCAGGCGCGATTTCGGTACGGGTACCAGGTCTTCCAATTTTTTGTGATCTACGACAAACTGGGGCTGAAGCGCGCCTTTTACTGTGCCTGCGTGACGTATGGAAGCGTCAGGATTGAAATCGTCAAAGTTGAAATAATTTCTCATGCATAAATTGCAAGGCATGAAGTGCCTCTCTTGCCGGGATGGCAAGTGAGGCCGACAGTCAGCCTGTTTGGGGTGTGCGGTAGAGCTGCTGAAGTAGCATGACAAAAGACGCCTTCTGTCCCAAAACAGCATGACAAACTGGATTTACACGTTGCCGAAATTTGTCATGCACCGCTTGAAAATTGGGCTTCCAACTGGTATCGATTTTATGCATTACAAGTTATTTCAACTTTGACGATTTCAATCCTGACGCTTCCATATGACCTTCTTCCTTCCCTTCCTGACGCCAAACCTGCTGCAGTTTGTGTCCTACTTCATCGCCGTATCCGCGCTCTGTCGCGAGGTATTGGACCCGGTCATTGCCCGGCTCCGCGAGCACCCGGACTGCGTGCTGTTCTACCACCAAGAGCACCGTCGGCTGGAATTCGTGCCGCGCGACGCCTACTTTCGCTACAAAAAAACTGGACGGCTGCCACCACCGGAGGTGGTAATGGCGACGTATCCAAGAGACAAATTGTAGTGTAACTGTAGTAGCTGTAGCTTCTGTGACGAGTGTAGCTTTTTTATCGGAGCAGGAACAACATTTGCATACTTGTTATACAAATTTCATTTCGTTTATTATTTGTACAGAATTCCGGCCTGTTGCTGCACCAGAAAGTACTTAAAAAAGTACGGAACTAGTCTAAAAAGACGCAACATGTCATGCAGATTCGCAAGAAGAAGTAATTATAACTGTTTTACACATCACCACGTAATATGCAACTAGTACACAAGGTTACACCTTGTTTCGCAGTTTTCTGCTTGCATACGAGGTCGAAGATGATGAGGAGTGATGACGCGCGGCAGCGGGGCCCCGAACAAGGTCTTCAAGATCTTGCTGCTTCTGGTGGCCTACGAGACGAGTTCAACACAACTCCGCCTTGATGTTCTCCTTATTTCTCAACGTGCGAAGTAGAAGTACCAAGAAGAAGGCGAACAAGTCCTCGCGGAGTTATTCTTGCTGCCTTTTGGTACTGATCGCATGATATCAAATGACTGCGGAACAAGCCAAGCCCATGCGCATGCCCGGATTTGTGATGCAGAAGCTACAACAGTTCTACTTGACGAGTGTGTGTCTCAGCTACTTATGGCTCATATCACACAATTCAGGGGGACGTTCGAGGGGGGGTTGTGCAATCGGATTCGATCTCGAGCATGGAGAAGCCTCGGCACCTGCCTCACCTGCCAAGCGCCTCCTCAGCAAGAGCGCGGGCGCCCTCTCTTCTCTCGTGACAGCGGCCACTGCTTCCGTGCAAAATCGCTACGGAAAGTTCAACCGGGGCGGGGGCGGTAATTCTACATCAGAAAAAAATGCTCCCGGTGGCGCCGCTTACTCTTCTTCCACTAAGTCGTCTGCAGCTCCGACGCCTTTCCTGGACCGCCGGTGGAGCGACATATGAGAACAGCGCACGAGGACTTCTGCTTCATTCCCTCCCATGTGTCATGCAAATAAATTATTTCAGATCCAGGCGCACCAGGAATTTGTTTTCATGCACAGAGTCCATGTTTGCTCGGCTGCTGGCCCTGGCGTTCATTCCATTATCCATTGCACCTGTTAGGCTATTTCAAAAATAAAAGGGGGTGGGGGCGGTAAGTAGCCGCGCACGCTCATACCAAACGCGCTCGGCACACGAGCCGGAACTGTTCGGTTTTGGGCTGCCATATGAATTGCAAAACTATCGTGTTGGTGGAAATTTCAACATTACATAATTTGCAAATTTTCCGGAAACAACAAACTGAAATTTGCATTTGTCATGCTGTTTCAGATTAGAGAGTAGATTGATCTGTCATGCACATGCATAACCGCGAGCAATACGGGTGCGATACTTTTGCAATGCATATGCTATTAATTCTGCTGATCGCCGTGCCGGGCGTGGGCCCGCCCGTGGGCTGGTTCGCTGCGCAGAGTGCGGCGCCCGCCTTGTTTCTGCGGATGTGGGTATCCAAGGTGGAAAAAACTGTGTTTAGTGAACAAAGTACGGTGATGTCATGCGCATGCGCATGACGAGCATGGACCAGTGACAGCGTAAGAACAACTTCAGTCTGCATGAAGACAGAAAAAGGCCTTTGTGCACGGCTGTTTTTACGCGAAAATGTACTTCATAGCTGACCACCTCCAGCATGCCAGGATGTAACTGTGTTGATGCATGCTTTGCATTAGCTCCTACAGACTTACTTTCACTTTACACAGGGTTTTCTTGCATGGTGGGTGCTCGAAATTCATCAACTGCAGCTCCTCATGGACCACGGAACGACAACGTGACGAAAACAAAAATAAATGCTATCAACGTGGCAAATGGAAATGTAGTGTCATTCGGGTCTGGAGTTCTTAAATAAAGTGGAACCTGTATTGCTTGATGACTTGCATACAAACCAAGTCTGTAATATTGCAGGAGTAACATCACAAGCGCGAGTACCTCTCTTATCATACAAAAACGCAGTTTTTATTTGTAACGATCGCCCTCGCTACGCTGGTACGCGTACGCCCAACGTCGCTGCAAAATCTTTGCCATTCTAGGCTGCACACGAGAGCAAGAGCAGCGAGATGCTCCATCATTAACTTTCATCAGCAGCAGAAGATCTGTTGTACAGGCCCAGACTTTTTTATACATTTGCAAGCCATAAAAATTGCACCGGCAGTACTACGCACAGGTACTACTACAAGGACGTCGTCGAGCACCAAATCACGAGGCTGTAGTACATCTGAGTCTATATATGGATATGCTTTTTTTTTGTGCTCTAGCAAGAACATCGTAGATACTATCGAACTGCGAAAAGCGAACCTACGTATGATAAAAAGAAAAAACGTTTACGTAAAAAGTAGGTGTAATTGCAAGCACTTGAAGGGGCAGTAATTTCGACCACGCTGTCTTGTTCTGGCGATCATGGCTTCAGGCGAAGATATTGAAGGATTCGTATATATGTCTTAATTTTTTGAGTGCATGACTTTTGTTGAAAAATTCGGTGGGTCAACTATTATTGATAGAAGTCGTTCTTGTTGCAGACTGTTGTTATGAATAAAACAAAAAAGCCTCATGGGTTGATGGACAGTCCTCGAGTTGTTCTTGAAGCTGGACCACAACTATCCGTCTTTCTTTTGTCCTCTGTCCCGAAATTTCGGTTGGGTCCTCGTTAAATACGTCGTCGTGCTTCGGATTTTCATTGTCGGACCGTGGGCGGGAAAGACAAAGATCTAGCCCAGGAGCATGGGGAGATAATATGAAAGTGGCCTTCTTGTTGAGGATGATGATGAGTTATGCAGCTTCATGCCTAAAAATAGTTTTGGTTTTCGAAGATGATGAACAAGAGAACGTTATAAAATAAAAATGAAAGCAGGACGAGCTACGTGGTCGTGCAGGTACTTATGCGCCGAGAGACAGCGGGCACAGGCACACTTTCGCTACTTTGGTCACAACCACTTTCACTGCGCTACAAAGTCGCCGCACCTGTTGCCCGCGCGCGGGCGTTGTGTGAAGTTGCGGCCACCCTAGGTGGCCGCCTACGTTAAGGCGCGGCGCCGCGCCCCCCCAGGGGGAGGGCCCTAGTTGCATTCTTACTTTAAGATACAGGTAGTGCGCGCAGGCGGGCGAACTGCACTGCAAGGGCGGTTCCGGTAGAGGTTCCGGGAGAGGGTCCGGGAGAGGGTCCGGGAGAGGGTCGGGGAGAGGGTCTGAGAGGTTCCGGGAGAGGGTCGGAGAGGTTCCCGGAGAGGGTCCGGGAGAGGGTCCGGGAGAGGGTCGGGGAGGTCCCGAGAGGGTCGGCCGAGAGGTAAAATAGAGGCCCCGGGAGAGGGTCGCGGTAGAGGGTCGCCTAGAGGGTCTCCCTATACTGCGCACCCTCTCCGACCCTCTGCACCCTCTTCCCCTATCCTCTATTTGACCTCTCTCCAACCTCTACCCTACCTCTGCGCGCGTATAGGCGCGCTTTAAGGGCGTACATACTACGCACCCTCTCCCTTACCTCTATTTTCCCTCTCGTTTTACCTCTCCCCGACCCTCTCATTTTCTCCGACCCTCTACTTTACCTCTCCGACCCTCTATTTTACCTCTCCCGAACCTCTCCCCAACCTCTACCCTACCCTCTCCGGCCCCAAAGTTTGCCTTATATAATATATATGTCGTGCGTAGCAGTTATANCGGGTAAAAAGGCCGCCGCACGGAGTCGCGTAGCCTTTGGGGCAATTTGCGCGGCTCCGGAAGCATGACGGTGAAGCGGGCGCGGAAAGCTATCATATCGGAGACTAGCTAGACGCCCGTCTTGTCTTGTCCACCAATTTGCCACGGCCTCTGAAGCTCGCCTGTCGCGGAAGACATGTTGGTTACTTTAGTGAAGCTCATGGCGCGCGGCCATTGTTGCAATGAAGCAACAGGCGCTGGCCAGCGGGATGGCGTTTTTGGGCGAAGCTTGTGAGCCCTTCGCTCAGATTTCGCAACTTTTTTTTTCGAGCGGCAGGCTGCGTGGCGTTTCCACCATGCGCAGCTTGGGCCCTACAAGTCCGCCACAGTGTTGGCAGAAGCCCGCGCGTCCGCCTTCAGGTCGGGGCCCCGGGGTTGGCCGTTCACTTCGCTTCAGGAGTGGGGGGCGCTGACCTTGTCCTGCGGAAAGGTGCGAGCCGAAGTCTGGCCTTTCGAGGCGTTCCCGGAGGTCCCCAAGGGAGGTCCTCAAGGGACCTCTACGAGGAGGTCTCATACCATCGGGCGAAGATTTTCCGAACCATTCCACTTTTGGTCGGATTTTAGAACGTTATAAAATAAAAATGAAAGCAGGACGAGCTACGTGGTCGTGCAGATCGTGGCAAGAATTTTTACACCTTTCAGAAGTATTAGGGGAAGAACAAGGTCGATATAATCAGAACAAGCCGGTCAAGGTGATGAAAAACTACTTCTTACACCATGATCTCTTCGCAGCGTGGCTTCTTTGATTGTTGTAGTACTAGTTGCCTTCATTTTTGTGAATAAGAAAACAAATACGCAAAAAATGTCGAAAAGCAAGGGGCACACGGACCCGGTCACGCTCCGGTTGCACCACCTGCAGGAGCACTACGGCCCTTCCGCTGTCGACGTTATCCAGGAAAAAACACCCAGCCCCGTCCAATTTGTCATGCAAAACATGCATAAAGTCCATTATTTGGAATGCAAAAAATGGATGATGGGGATCGATGGGTGTTTTTTCCTGGATAGACGCCGCGAGAATAGCATTAGGAATACCACAGGAAGAGCTGCAGACGAAGGACGTATGCATTGCAAATATGTCTGGGCGGTCCTCTGGAAAACACTTGTAATGCGAAATAAGTTGAAGGGCAGCGAGATCTGTCATGCGGGAATGCAAGTGGCCACATTTGATGTTGTCTATCTTGCTGGAAGTTTCAGTTTGTCATGCGACGCACGGTCGAATTCGCCTAGAAGACCAGAAAAACTTGTGGTGTTGCGTTCATGTCCTACAAAAGGTTGCTCTGTCATGCAAGGCTCTGCATGCCGAATCCAGTAGGTACCTGCTTGTTTATCCAGACGACCCAGATATCTTTGCCTTCGATAGAGTGACTTCGGCAACAAATATGAAGCCGAGTTCACGTATCCAGGGTGAACAAAGAAGACAAAAATTGTTCTCGTGCGCTAAAATTAGAAAGCTACATAGATACGTCGTGCGAAGTAGCCTGAAGTCGTACAGAGGAGCATGGAGAAGCGTAAACCATTATATTGAAGAATTCTACTCATTACAACCACGAATTATGCCTCCTATTTCTTATTCTTTGGAGGCAAAACGATATGCAAGATCATATGTGATCTGGTTTCATTATTTGAAGATCCCAGAACTGCAGCACAAGAGAATCACTTTTGCGTTGCATAGCACGTCCGCGAGCGAATTCCGAAAAGACTTTCTGCCGGATGACAGGTAAGTTTTGCTTTTGAAGCTGAAGGAGCAACTGCAACAGTTTTGTACTTTATCTTTAAAGTTGTATAATGAGATAATTTCTTCATCTTCGATTCATTTGCAGGTCACCACGGCTGAAGCAGCGAAAGAAAGAAATGTGGGAGTTCAAGCGGGAACTGCATCTAGACGCCATCGTATCGCAAGATGAAAAAAGTGTCTCAATCTCCAACCTTTGCAGACTCATCTTTGATGCGATCAGTAGACCACAGCTGCATCACGAGAACACACATCAAGGAAGGCTGCCTCTCTTGCATTACCAGCATGACAAAAAACTGTCTCAAGGACGAAGTAGTGCGTCACAAGTTCTTGCCGCGGAGAAAGTTTTGTCTTGCGATACCTCGAGAACGTCCTCAACGGGCATCGTAATGCGCCAATGCCTATGGATTGCAAATATGTCTGGGTCTGGAAACTTGTGATGCTGAGGCATGGATGAGTCTGGTGTTTTCAAGTGCAGCCATGCATGACAAGTTTAGTTGGCGCCGTCTGATGCGTAGCACGCATGACAAGCTGCGTTCTTGCATCACAAAAGAGTCGCGCGCTTGGTGGCTATGCAATACAGATTTTTCAGAAATGCAGGACATGCAACACAAGTTCCACCTTTCCAGACCCAGACGTATTTGCATTCGATAATGCCCAAACTCCGCGAAACGGGCCAGAAGCGATACATAAGAGTATCCTGAGTAAAAACGTACCCACACCATAGTTGTCATGCAACTCTGCATGCTTAAAATGTTTCTCATGCGGAGCCCCATGAGAAGCATTTTCTAATGCGGTTTTGAAATTTGTCATGCTCCAATCAGCACGAGATACTAGATCTGTAATGCTGCT